CCAACCCCGACTCCAAGCCCCCCAAATAACCCCACAAAACCCGACAAAATACAACAACCCCCCAGCATCCCCTCAATAACCTCAAGAACCCCTCCCCTCCCTTCAATATCCTCCTTCCAACAGCCCTTCCCTTCAACAACCACTCCCTGCAATAGCCCCTCCCCTTCAGCAATCACCCCTCCGCAATCCCCAAGCCCTCAGGCCCCCAGCCCCTCAACTAGCCCAGGCACAAGCCCTTGCCCCCGCCCCCCTCGGCCGTAGCCCCTCAGCCTCAACCCCTCAACCCCAGCCCCTCAGCACCCCAACACCACCCATCCCCCACCACACCCGACAAAACCCAAACCATTAACAGCAAAAACAAAAAGCAAAGCCTCCCAAGACCCCAGCCTTTCAGCCCCAGCCCCACAGCCGCAGCCCCTCAGCACCCCAAAACCACCCACCCCCCACCAAAACCCCCCAAACCATTACAGCAAAAGCAAGAAACAAAACTCCAAAATATGATAAAACTCCAGACACAAACCCTATACAATTTCTAGTAACCCCCAAAACCCTAAACCGTAAAACCCTTAAACCCTGAACCCGGAGGATCCCGAAAATTCCGGGAATTTTCAGATCCGGGTTATTCCCAAAATTCCTAGGATTTTTAGACAATAAGCTTTAAAATTCCCGGAATTTTCCGGATCCCCCTGCAAGGCCCTCACAAGCAGCCAAATTGACCGGAAGAGGAGGCGGGGCAACCGACAGGACGGCCGCAGAGCGAAAATAGGGTCGAGCCCGTAGCCTTTTATGGGGATATATACGTAAAGTATTATCCAAAATTATACAGTCCCTTCCCAAGCCTCAATTAACAAAATACGAGCTCCCTACATTCGCCGATTGTCCGGTGGGGACTTCCTATCTGAGAGTAGAATTCCACAAGCCTACGGGCCTCCCCCAATAGTCTCGAGCAGGAGTGGCCTTTGAGCCAAAGGGAGTACGCGAGATGGATACCAAAACTCCCTCCCAGCTCCCTCCGAGTTGCAAGAGATTGACGTCCCACCGTATCGATTACGACAGGGATTTCAACGAATACAGAAGAAACACAATCCACAGATATCTGCCACGCACAGGCTACCCAGTGCGCAGATGGTCCCCCCCCCCATGGGCAGAAAGCAGCCGTATTGGAACTACCGACCCGGATTGGGAAGGAATTCAAATGACTATCCAAAAGACGCGCTCCATAGACCACACCTTTACGCTACTTTCATGCTCAGACAGAATTCAGAATATTTTTCTTCTACGCCTATATTCGAATAGAATACGAGGCCAGAATACGAGGCTCGAACGACCCCTTCGACGAGGGACTATATGGACCGCTCCCCACGCGAGTTCACAGACGACCCCCCTCCATGGATGGAAGATAAGTGTACCACGACAGCCGCTGGAAATTGTTTTTCTGTTTTCAGTCCTTCTGCCATGGCGGCGCCGCCCGTGCGAAGCGCTGATAGCTTCGCAGGCGCCTCTCACGAAAAGTAATCCTCGGCTCCGCAGCAGTGTAGACATCTCTAAACATCTGGAAGCCCTGAACCCTGTAAACCCTACACAGCATCCGGGCCCTAAACCCGAAACCCCAAATCGAACCCCCAAAACCCTACAGCAACAGCCCTGAACCCCCTAAACCCTAAACCCTATTATAAGCCCTAAGCCCTAAGCTCAAAACCCTACTTTAAGCCCTAAACCCTAAACCCTGAACCCTAAACCTGAACCAGGCCGATGCAGGGAAGGCTCGGCGCTTCGTGGCTGCCCGTAGTCGGGGGCACCAGCGGACGGAGCAGTGTGTCCAACTGCGGCCTTGCCAGCACAGAAAATGGAGCAGCATGGGAACCAAACCTACAGAGCCTACAACTCCTCAACACCCTACACTCTCCAAAACCCTTGTGCATCATGAAACTCCGCTGCCCGGAGTTGTCTCTGAAGCCGTGTGGCTGGAAGAAGAAAACGGCGGTGTGGCGCTGCTTCGTCATGTCTTCAGGACGCGTCACCACTCTGTGCGATCCCTTGGCAAATCGCCTCAGCTCGATAAAGAACAGGGGACAAAACCTCAAAACCGGCGGTTCTTGAAGATTTCGAGGCCGGACTGGCGCATGCTTTTGAGCCCAGAGCTTTTTTGGGCGACTTGCACGTGTCGGTCTGTTTTCTTCTGTCAGAGCATATGTGTAGTAAATGCCTGTACGCAAATACATTTAGTTGCTTGATGTTTGCTCTTGTTGCGTTGTTTTTTTTCCCCACCCTCGGTGTTGGGTTGTTAGATTTTAAACTCAACTCTTCTCCGCGCCCGGAACTCTTCTCCTCGCCCCACTCCTCGCGCATCCCTGGAGTGCCCAACCCCAAAGTGTGGAGTGCCCAACTCGATGCTCTGCACACATGAAAGGGCCCAAGTCGCATGTCTCCACGCCCACAGAGCTGATGGAAAAGCTGGCCAATCAGAACCGTGGCGAACTCGCAACCAGACCTTGGACGAGGCGCTCACAGTAGAACGATTCTTGCACGCGAACATGTCCTTGGCATCACGCCAACCCTGCCTCACGAAGCAAGTGTAAGGGCGCGGCCGAGGTACAGCAACGAACTCCTCAAGGCATAAACGAACATAGTATGATCATCACATTGGCCTTGGTGCTGGAGAGCGGTCTCCTGCGCCCTGTCGTCCAAGATTTCCAGGCCTTGACCCGGCGGCTTGGACGAAGCATGGATCAGAAGAGACCTTACTTACAGAGCACACGTGAGCACAATTAAGGGATCTTACTGTGAGGGCTTTTCAGAGCCCTTTCAACAGAGAATGTCAAAGAGATGCACCGGTCGACGTCCGGTCCAAGGCGCATGAAGCTCGGATCTTGGTGGAGCGGCAGCCGCACCTAGGGGGGTCATGCTGCGAGATGCTTGCGTGATCTTGTGCCATGACTCGCGACCCCCTATGCAATGCACTTGCCACCCCTATGTATGCACTTGGCAAGGCACACTCTCCCCATCCTGGCCTCGCAAGGAAATGCATCCATTCGTGCGGAACGCTGCACGGAACGCTTTCGGGGCTACTCTTTTTTTCTAAACCTTCGTAAAAACACTTTGGGATGCGAGTAAGGAGCAGGCCTGCGGAGTGCATCTGCTTCAGCTGGAAGTGTGACCCTGAAATCCTAGCAGCACCATCGAACCGTGGGAGGCTCAGGTTTGCATGTCTGGCAAGTCGAAAAAAGCTAACGCCACAGAATCCCTCTACTCACCGTCTACTGCATTGTTACTGACGGCAAGATTCTGCACAGCCGTTCTGATATGGAAGCTGGAAGCATGCCTCAAGACAGGCAAGTCACATGTCGAAAGAGGCACCCTCATGGAATGCACCCGGATCCAGGTTCTCCTGCCAATGACAACAGCTATACACTGAAACATGTCTAAGCAGTGTGCCAGCAAAAGAGTTCCTCGCTAGGCCGAAGGCAAACTGAAGATGTCGGAAGATGGAACCATAGGGAACCCAACCGCGGCACCTTCAATGTTCCAGTGCAGCGCAGCTCGTGAAGGAGGTGGTCCAGAATCCTGAAAAACAGGCTAGTTCATGCTTGCAAAGCAGCATGCAGCAGCTCTCCAGGATGACCAGCTACTCAATACATTGATGCAAATTTATTGCTTGCCCGATCTCGAAGATGTATTGCATGCTTCAGTGGGAGATTCCTACATCTCATAAGCCATAACCATTTCCGGTCGTGGGATCCTCTCGGAGAGCCGCCATACCTGATCCCGCCAGTTCGCCACTTCCGCCTGCCACATACTAGGCAGAGATGCATGCGCATCTCTGTAGCCATGTGTTGCACCTGCCTATAGCTGCTTACAGTACGGGCCGTGACACGAGCGCGCAGCGATGGCAACACTGAGTCGAATGCACCTTGCCTCAAACGGCTCAGGCAACAGGGGCAGGGTGTTCTTGCCGTGAAAGACGACGCCCGAACGAAATCGATTGAAACCTCAGCTGGTAGTGCCTGCTGGATGCCGAGAGCCAAATCAATCCAGAGTCTCACACTGCTTTGCAGGGGCTTCCATGCGCCATGTCATCTGCGTTAGTAGCTTCGCAAGGTACGGCTCCCGATCTTGTGAGCCGGAAGAAGTCTGAGACTATTCCAAAGCCGGTGACGGCCATGTCAGAGATGCCACACAACGAGCCATAATTACCGAGAATGTCACGAGGTTGCCCTATTTTGCTATTGCTTCTCAGTGCTTCTCTACACACACAGATTCATGAGCGAGGGTCTACCATGGCCATGGTTGTAACACGAGTCGTACGCTCATCTCGGTTGCGGAGCCTCAGCCTCGTCACGCATGGCACGCCACATTGTCCGGCAAGGGGCGCTCGCCCTGTCCACCACGCGGCTGATATCCATGCACCTGGACCAAGCACTTACCTTCCTTGGACTCGTACAACAGACCAAGCTTTCGACGTCTCTTTCACATCCAGAGCAACAGCTAGCAGGCCACAAGTTTTTCATCGCAATACCTACCGACATGAGATCTGCGGAGGACCGCGCCGAGCGGCAGCCAGCAACTCTTTTGAGTCGCAGAGGAACTGGTGCCGTGCCTTACCCAGTCAGTTCCAAAAGGTGATGTGACAGACGATTCTTTAACATGCCCTAAAGGACTCATGAGGATCTCATGCAAGTACAGCAACCGTTGCGCACATTTCAGATTTCAAGGTCGGATTGAAATGTGCCGTCATGACAGTCAGGCGTCTGCTTCTGGCAGCGCCATGAAGTCTCCAAACTGCGAGAAGATGAGTCTCGTGTCATAGGCCAGTTTTGGAGGCATCCGAACCTGCCAAATCTGACTCGACTGGTATCCTACCCGTAGTAGCTTGAGATGACTTTGTTTCGCGGATGGGTGCGCATCAGGCATCAGCCAACGTCGTTTAAAGTTTACACCCGTGTAGCAACACAAGCAGCCATGCTAGGTCTCGCAGCTGGAGAAAATCATTGGGTCAACGGTGCACGTTGAATAATATTCAAGATGATGTATACTGATTTACACTGTCCATACATAGGTGTTTCGAACACCGGCCTGGAAAGCGCCAATCTTTCTGAAAGCATCCAGAAGCGGCCCAGGAGAGGTGGCCTCTCAAAATGTTGAACTACAACAAAAGCATAAACGCGGCAAGCTGCGCGACAGCACTTGGGCCTGAGTTGGTTGACCTGGTTGTTGGGCAAGGTCCAGAAGCGGCACACCTTGAATGGAAGCCCTTCGTCTGGAGAAACCTGAGGCACACGAGCATTTCATCCAGAACGACCGGCTGCAGGCGCGATTAGAAACCTTCTCTCAGCTGCGGCCATGTGTCGGCGACCCACGAGGCGTCTCGTACCAGCAATGGCCACGGCGGCTGCGCCAGGCAGGCCAGGTCCGTGCATCCAGTGGCGTGTTATCAGTCGCGGCGCCTTCACGCAGGGAACAGTGAAGTCTCAGACCGAACGTTGCCCAAGCTGGCACACGAAGTTGACAATCACACATCGGCATGTGCATGGATGTTAGTGGTCGGCGAAGCTCCTGAACAGCATGCCCCGGCCGGAACCGGGTGGCTGCAACAGTGGTCTGCAACGCGACCTTGGCTACACATTCAGGTATTCTTTCCACGACTGGTATACGTGCTGACATACTGACAGAAGCGGCAACACATCCAGCAACATGTCTTGCATCCGTTGGCTGAGCAGAAACTACAAAGCTCAGCGGAAGCAGCAATGGAAAAAGTTCAGTGAGGTGTGCCCACCCCGGCCTCCCAAACTTTTCAACGCAGCGCCGCGTTCCTCTTGGTCTTCAAGTGCCCTCCGACCTCCTCGCCAAGGCTGGGCTTCGGAATTCCTAAGCCTGAAGAAGGTGGTCTTGTGCCATCTTTTGTGCCATGTTGTTGCAGTTCAGCTTCAGGTCCAACAAATGGGATCCATGTCGATGGCATCGCTGCTCTGGGCAACTGAGGAGCTTGAAGGCAGAGCGTATTGCACCCCGGGGAATGCTCAGACAAACTGCAAGTCGAGAGGCAAAGGCTTGTGAGGCTTGTGCATCTTGTGGCAGTCTCCCCTGGAGCCGGGATAGTTGGGGCTGTAGAGGCAGGAGCTGCAGCGTCGGCGCAGGGTCCCGTGCTGCACCCATTCTGGGCCGCGTCCCTCGGCCTCGAACTGGGCGACGAGGCGCTGTCGCCATCGACTCACTTCCGCGGACTGCCCGACCTCTTTCGACAAGTCGCGGGTCTCGTCAGGGTCGCGAACCAGATCAAATAGCTGCTCTTCCCCGCTACAGGCATGAAAGATGAACTTTACAGCGCCGTCCGTGAGTGCATTCCAGTGATTCGTCGCATTGTAGCAGATGTCGTGTTCCAAGTCCACCCATTGGCGCCACCCCAATGACTCCAAAGATCTCTTTGGTCTGAGAAGCCATGTCAGCGGGCGTCCATCCAACTCAGTTTCCCATGAAGCGTTCCAGGCGCCGACGACATCCAGAAATGTTGGGTACAGGTCCCGGAGCTCGGTCACTGCGGAGACGACCGTGCCCCGCTCGACGAAGTCGGCCTTCAGGCAGTTAAAAGTGTCCAAGAAAGAAAGCTTTTTATCTTCACTTCATGTTGTTTCGTTTCGCAACCCTTCGGGACGCCGGGAAAGCTCAAGGCTCTACTTGCCTTGCTACGCAGTTCTTCCTGCCACTAGTAGAACGGGGTTCAGGTACTTTATGAGGCGGGGTCGTAACCGCAATAAAGACCCATTTCTTTTAACCACAACAAGGAATCACTTAACCATGATAAGGATTTGTGCCTCAGTGCATGATAGCCACAATGCCTGCGACCCTTCAACTACCCACAAAACGCCCCCGAAACCATTCTAAGCCCCAACCCCAAGCCCTAAAACGAAGCCCAAGGCTCCAGTGACAAAAAGGCCTGAGAATTGAGGTTTTGGGCCTCCCAAAGCTCCAAAACCAAGGTCTTTCTGTCACTGCCCGCCCCCCCCGCCGCCCGCATGGGAGTGACAAAAAGACCTGAGAATTGAGGTTTTGGGCCTCCCAAAGCTCCAAAACCAAGGTCTTTCTGTCACTGCCCGCCCCCCCTGCCCAGGCCCGCATGGGAGTGACAAAAAGACCTGAGAATTGAGGTTTTGGGCCTCCCAAAGCTCCAAAACCAAGGTCTTTCTGTCACTGCCCGCCCCCCCCGCCCAGGCCCGCATGGGAGTGACAAAAAGACCTGAGAATTGAGGTTTTGGGCCTCCCAAAGATCCAAAACCAAGGTCTTTCTGTCACTGCCCGCCCCCCCCACCCAGGCCCGCATGGGAGTGACAAAAAGACCTGAGAATTGAGGTTTTGGGCCTCCCAAAGATCCAAAACCAAGGTCTTTCTGTCACTGCCCGCCCCCCCCACCCAGGCCCGCATGGGAGTGACAAAAAGACCTGAGAATTGAGGTTTTAAGGGCCTCCCAAAGCTCCAAAACCAAGGTCTTTCTGTCACTGCCCGCCCCCCCCACCCAGGCCCTCATGGGAGTGACAAAAAGACCTGAGAATTGAGGTTTTGGGCCTCCCAAAGCTCCAAAGCCAAGGTCTTTCTGTCACTGCCCGCCCCCCCCGCCCAGGCCCGCATGGGAGTGACAAAAAGACCTGAGAATTGAGGTTTTGGGCCTCCCAAAGCTCCAAAACCAAGGTCTTTCTGTCACTGCCCGCCCCCCCCGCCCAGGCCCGCATGGGAGTGACAAAAAGACCTGAGAATTGAGGTTTTGGGCCTCCCAAAGCTCCAAAACCAAGGTCTTTCTGTCACTGCCCGCCCCCCTGCCCAGGCCCGCATGGGAGTGACAAAAAGACCTGAGAATTGAGGTTTTGGGCCTCCCAAAGCTCCAAAACCAAGGTCTTTCTGTCACTGCCCGCCCAACCCCCGCCCACGCCTGACAAAAAGACCTGAGAATTGAGGTTTTGGGCCTCCCAAAGCTCCAAAACCAAGGTCTTTCTGTCACTGCCCGCCCCCCCCGCCCAGGCCCGCATGGGAGTGACGAAAAGACCTGAGAATTGAGGTTTTGGGCCTCCCAAAGCTCCAAAACCAAGGTCTTTCTGTCACTGCCCGCCCCCCCCGCCCAGGCCCGCATGGGAGTGACAAAAAGACCTGAGAATTGAGGTTTTGGGCCTCCCAAAGCTCCAAAACCAAGGTCTTTCTGTCACTGCCCGCCCAACCCCCGCCCACGCCTGACAAAAAGACCTGAGAATTGAGGTTTTGGGCCTCCCAAAGCTCCAAAACCAAGGTCTTTCTGTCACTGCCCGCCCCCCCCGCCCAGGCCCGCATGGGAGTGACAAAAAGACCTGAGAATTGAGGTTTTGGGCCTCCCAAAGCTCCAAAACCAAGGTCTTTCTGTCACTGCCCGCCCCCCCCGCCCAGGCCCGCATGGGAGTGACAAAAAGACCTGAGAATTGAGGTTTTGGGCCTCCCAAAGATCCAAAACCAAGGTCTTTCTGTCACTGCCCGCCCCCCCCACCCAGGCCCGCATGGGAGTGACAAAAAGACCTGAGAATTGAGGTTTTGGGCCTCCCAAAGCTCCAAAACCAAGGTCTTTCTGTCACTGCCCGCCCCCCCCGCCCAGGCCCGCATGGGAGTGACAAAAAGACCTGAGAATTGAGGTTTTGGGCCTCCCAAAGCTCCAAAACCACTATCATTATTAACCACGATCATGCCAACCCTAAACCACTATCGTGAAACCACTATCATGCCAACCCTAAACCACTATCATTGTTAAAGAAACCCTTGTCATTGCAAAAACTTTTTTTCATGGTTAGAACCCCTACTCCTTTATGTAGGCACTGGAACCGGGACTGCCCTCACCACATCTTGCCCAAAGGAAGTGTCAGCCCTTGACCAGGTCGCGCTGCGCAAGCCCTGCCTGGCGACTGTCCGGCCACTTGAGCAGCAAGGGCACATGTGCGGAGCCTTCGTAAGGATAACTTTTCCTCCAAAGGAAATGGTCCATCTGCATGTCTCCGTGGTCTGAGGTGAACAGAATGAATGTGTTCGCAAGCATTCCAAGCTGTCCCATCAGCTGCAGAATGGAACCAATCTCTTCATCCACGAAGCTGACACTTGCTTGGTAAGCTCTTCTTGCCATGGTCAGAGACTCCCTGTCCACCTCCCCGCACCAGGCATCTCGGCTGCCTTGGGCGGAGCAACTCCGAAAACGCTCGTCCCAGCCATCGGCTGCAAGTGCTGGTCCCCGGGCGGGAGGCGGCGTCTCGTTCAGCAGCCGTGCTGGGGGGTCGTAGGGGCTGTGGGGCCGGTGGAAGGACACTTTCAAAAAGAAGGGCTTCCCTACTTTTGACAAAGCAAGGAGTGCTCGTCGGGTTGACCAGCCGGTCCAGGCGGTCGGATGGAGCCGCTCCGCGTACTCGTAGGGTGCCCCGCGCCAGGAGTTCCAATCCAAGCCACCGCTGGCCAAAGGATCTCGCCCGGGCATTTGCTGCTGGAACCAGCGATCATAATCATCAAACTCGCTGCCATTCTTGAAGCCGTTGCCCAGCCCATCATAAATCTGTAGATCATTAAACTCGTGAGCGACAGGCGTTTCAGAGGTCCGATTCCAGCCGAAGTGGTTCTTGCCAATCACCATTGTTTGCAAACCTGCTGCACCCATGCTTCTGGCCAGCTCTTGCGGATAGCGTTCTGCCACAGCCCCGTAGCCGAGCATGCCATGCCTCCAAGGCGATCTTCCTGTGAGTATGGCCGCGCGGGCAGGTGTGCAGCTCGGGGTTGACGAGTAGTGATGGACGAAGGTGGCACCCTCGCGTCCTAAACCATGCAGATGAGGTGTACGTACTGGATCAATGTAATCGAATCGAAACTGATCTGCCATGATGAAGAGGATGTTCGGAGCAGCTCCGACACCCACAGCTTGCAGCCATGTGGTCAGAGTTCCAAGGCTGACAAAGCCGATCCAGCACTTCGACCGCTCCATGATCTTCCCAGCTCCGTGCTTCACTGAGGGGAAAGGGGGAAGGCCGAAGACACTCGACCAGAAGAGCAGACGACGCAAATTATCTTTAAAAAATGATTGCGTCATTCTGCAACCCTGATTATTGACGCAAACTGTTTAACAGTCAGTAGGTGGCAGACGTCCTCCATCCCGCGAACATGCTTTGCAGGACAATGCTCCAGTCCTGCAGAGGGAACTGGCAAGACGCTTCTCCCCCTTTCTCACGGGGCACTTTACCAAAAGGATCTCAGAAGGCAAAGCCGAAAGCAAAGCAGGGTCCGCCGTCGGCCCATTTGAAGGCCTGGGCCATGTGGCAGTTCATCAGTGTTGTTGGGGGGCCTGCACTGGAGCCTACACTACTGGAGCCTACAATGAGCCTACACTGAGCCTACACTGAGCCTACCAGGATGTACAGTACCAGGCCTCGGCCTGGGCCTGGCGGATGTGCGCGAAAATTCTCAAGACCAAAGTCGGGAGCAAACGTTGCAGTTCTGGAGCACTTCAAGGCTGAGCGTGCTGTGTTGTAGGGCCAAATGGAATGAGCTGCTGTTTCTGAAAAGGCTACACGCTACGACAACCATCTTCAGCTCTTGGCACAGAAGTTGGCACCAAGCTACGGATGCAGAGACTAGGCACTCTCAGGTGACGAGGCACATGCTCGTGTTTGGCAACAGGATGCGGGGCAAGCATGCTAATGCATGGCATTCGCTCCGGGTTGGCAGCGCTTCTTTCACACGTTCAGTTGTTCAATCTTCCCATGGTGAGATCATGCCACAATCAACAACATTGCCCCTCAGGCTGGGCAAATTCTGCCGATGGTGCATGTCACGGGTGGCCAACGTCAGCACCTTGAGTCGAGAGCCTTCAACATCTCGAAGATGTCCAGTGGAGTTTCAGGCAAGTGTGGGATGGGACTGCTGGACGAGCCGCATCGTACGAGCGTCTGCACACAACCCACCATGAGCCCACCATGAGCCCTCCGAAGTCTCTCTTGTCGTGGGTCGCCTTGACATCTGCTCTTGCACCGTGGTTCCAGTGCATCTACCCAGTCACACTTGGGGTCACCATTGCCACCACCTCTGAGACCATGTCCGTGTACATCCCCGTAAGCCATGCCCTTCTCGTCACGGAATTCCATTAGCCCTGTTACAAGTCTTCCAAGATGTTGGTCCGTAGGTGCTCCGCCTGCCGGGCACAACTTGTCGATCCCTCATATCCCCCCAAAAGGCCCTGAAAACCTTCAGCCCGAAACAGCCTAAACCACCCTGAAGCTCTTGAACCCTTGGACACCTCTGAAGATCCCACCCCTGGAAACTGAGCATAAAACGATGAGAGCGATGCCGTGCCTTGGGCTGGGATCGGCTTGGCAGGGTTGGTCGCGAAGCCTGGGTTCAGGGTAGAGGTCGTTCAGGGCTCCATCGTCTTCTCCGTGTGTTTGTGGGTGAGTGTGCGTTTTGTCGTGTATTGGTGGGGGGTTTTAGGGCTTTCGGGTGCTGTTTTGGGCTCAAGTCTTTTGGGCGCATGCGCCAGCCACTGAGGGAGAGGCAATGGTTGCAAGCAGCTCGGCGCTTCGGTCAGCGGCAGGCGCTTCCTGGTGAGTCGCCGAGGATGCGAGGGCACGTGAGTCCGGTGCAACAAACCTACACACTCAACCCTGAGCCCCCCTTTCATGTAAACACGTTGAAGAGGCCCGCGCCCTTCTTTGCTAAACAAGGAGTAGTGACAATATTGTGGAAGGACTCAGTCTTAAGATTGGAGGGGCACGAACCGAATTTGGTGTATTGAAGTCATCTTCGACAAAGAACAAATAGATTACATGATGTTCCACTTGAGATGTGGACTACAGTACTTGCTTGCCGGTTGGGGCCAAATAAGGGGAAAACACACCAGGATGGCCGAAGAGCAGGATGGCCGGAGAACTTCGACGAAGACTCGGGATACCAACGGGCCGAGACGAGTTCGACGAAGGCCGGGGGGCCGGGCGAAGGTTCGACGAAGGCCGGGAGGTTCGACGAAGGGGGAGGGGGTTCGACGAAGGCCGATACAAAAGGCCAAGACAAAGCCCGAAAAAAAACGCGAGGGTTCGACGAAGGCTACATGAAGGCCGGAGGTTCGACGAAGGCCACAAGGGCCGGGAGGGGGGCTCGACGAAGGCCAAGGGTTTCGACGAAGGCTAGGGGGGTTCCACGGCCTTTGCCGAAAGCTGTGCCATCCGCCCCCATACGCAGTCCTGATCGGTTTGCCCCTGACCAAATTTTATTCTTGCACGGAATCAAAATCCTCCGGTGCAACACCAGTGATAAGGTCACCCTGCCCTCCCATCCTTGTGAAGGTGCTGCTGCAGAAGGTCGGGAGTTTCGGACCTCTAGACAAAAGTGATCCACAGCTGACCGTCCGGCATGCGTTCAGAATAGCACCGACTGAGGGCACGGCCCAGGCGGCGGCTTTGGAATCGCGTGTCCTATGTCGGAAGAAGGCTCCGCTCGCGCATATCCCCGGTAAGGTGAGAGGAACCTTCATTGAACTCCCGGACCATGTCCATGAAGTCAGATTGCCCTCTTGCAGGCGCCTTGCCGATCCAAATCAGCACATTCGAAGAACTCGGAGACTCACCCACGCTTCACACAACGAAGACCCAGGGCCGGACCGATTCCGTTGCCGGTGCTTTCACGAGGGGTTGCATGCGACCAGAACCCGACGCCTGCTGGGTAGCTGCGAGCAGCGGATGCTCTTACTCCAAGTCTTCCTTGTTAAGACATTGAAGTGCCAAATGCCAAGACTAGCCATTTAAGGTGCTGGGCCAGCATACCTGACGCGTGTCATGTCGTGCAAAAAAAGTGCAAGCAGAAGTGCCCGCAGCCTGCTGCGGCTGCGGAGGCTGCAAAGGTCGTGTCCTGAGCAGCTTTCCAGCCACGAGCTGTGCAAGCTGGGTCCCAAAATTGGTCACTACTCTGCATTTTGCAGCAGATTCCGTCTTGCTAGGGCTGATTTTCAGCGCATGAGGTTACACGATGCAAGCAACCATGTGTTGGACATCTAAGCCTGGCGCGCAGAGGCTGGACTCGTGTGCGCTGTGCCTTACGGATGTAGCAACTGCTTGCTCCATCCGCTCACATGGGCGAAACTAGGCCACAGCGCCTCCCCAAGAGGGAAGTCGGACCACTTGTAGCACGGGCAAGTGTAGCGCCTGAGAAGATGATCTCTCACAAGGAGTCGACGAAGGAGTCTAGGAGGCCTAACAGGCAATGAACCTTCCTTCCCTCAGAGCCGGGAGCCGGGCGCCCTGCGGCTGAAACCCTGGTGTGGTGGAGGAACGAAGCAGGGCGAAGGAAGATGTGAGAAACATGTGCGGCAAGCTGGCTTTTGCTCCCGAACCTACATCTCGGAAGAAGTCTCCGCCGTTCAGGTCCCCGACCTCGGCGATCGGCATGTTCAGGGTATTGGGCTTCGAAAACATGAGTGCTGCGTCCTGTTCACCACGTGCCCCCCAAACAAGGTCCGGCAAAGAATGCTGATTGCTCGAATTTGTGGCCCCTGGGCTTCAGCTTTCCAGGGCTGCATGTGCAAGAGTGCAGCTCTTGGCCTGTTTGGCCTGTCTTTTTGGGAAAGTTGTTGGGCCTCGTTTCGTAACGCGTGTTTAGAAGGAATCCCGAGTCCAGAAATCTCGGGACTGCTGTCTTGTAGGGCCCCGGATCCGAAACCACTAACCACCCAAACACGTACTACAGTTACTGAATCGGAACATTGCAAAACTCATTACATGTGCGCAGCTACATTGGAACCTCGAGCCCAGTTCACTTACAGCGGGCCAGCGTGTTCGAGCTCATAAGGCAGAGGCTATGCGTGCTGGAGCGGCTTGCAAGCCACTCGGAAAAGCGCAGATGTGTCGAGCGCCTGCTGCGACGGCTTCATGCACACTGTGAAAAAGCTGCCTCGCGTGGCTGCGCTGCGCCACCTCGCTCGTCGTGGCCTGCGGTGCTGAAACTGCATCGCCTTACCATAATAAGGACCTTTGGGCCCCAAATGCTCACACTGCGGTCAAGTAAGGTTGCAGCTGTCTATGGACTGACGCACTCAAAGAGCCCGCCTTCTGCGACGAAAAGCTGTAAGCGGTATCCTGGCTGTGCAGCGAACGCGTTTTCTGCAAGCCTCATCTTAGACGCGCACCGAATGCCAACAGGTGTCCCAGTCACAATTGGGCTCTGGTCTTGCAAACTGACAGGCAACTGACCCCGGAGCAGGCACCAGAATGCACAAAACCCGAAGGAACGTGTGATCCACTTCCACTCTCAATGTAAAAATGCTCAAAACCTCCAGTGTCATGACCTGCTGGTCACTTGCAAACCGTATCGCAACTTGCAGCCTCTCATTGGCCAACCAAATCGCTGTTGCGTTGTGGGTCCTTGATCATCTCGGGCCTCTCGGGGTTCGGCCAATCCATCCGCTCCCTCTTCGAGGCCTTGATGGCTCACTCAAAAAGTACTCTCGTCTCGTGGGGGGCTCATGAAAGGAGTGCGCCCCTGGGCATTTTTGGCAATGCGCATGTCAGAGCCCGGCGAAAGCCAAGCTGTCAAAGTCGTCGGTGTCAGGTCACTTCGACGCCCCTCAACCTCATCACCACCTCTCCCCGTGGAAAGGGTCTCGATGGGGTACATGGACCTTGAGGAAGCCCCATATCCGATCTCGCCATTTGATTCTGGGAGCCGTCACAACCCGAAGACTCCAAGCCGTCACCGATGCCCTCGGCATCCTCGGCCAGAACTCGTTCGGTAGCCAGGGCGCAGCCATGCCACTGTTCCAGCTGCAGTGCTGCCGGCGGCTCATCTGAAGTAGCCAGAAGTTCATGTAACTCTTGCAGTCATCGCGCAGGCAGCTCAAGTACAAATGCGGTGATGGCCCTGGTACAAGCCGTTGCCCCCATACCTTGGAGGTGCACCGAACATCCCGATGTGGGGTTTCAATATAATTAGGGTTTTTGTGCTGTTGGGCCATGCCTTGTACATCTTGGTACAGTAACCACTAAGGGCTTTCAAAGCCAGGCATCTGTTCCATGAAAGACATCCACTGGACTGCCAGCTCTTCGCGGCGACGAAGAGCTCGCAACTCTGCCAAGGTCTGGCATCCAAGAATGAACTCTTCAGGCTTCACTTGTTGGTCGTGTCTGCTTAAAGTAAGTCCGATCCAACCCCGCGTGGCAAATATGAAACTACGCCTGCCGCGCGCAAAGGCACTCCGAGCAGTTATATATGATTTATAACCTGCCGGCCGGTTCCGACGTTAAGAGCCGCTCGACAGGCATGGCAACATTAAAAGCCCTACATGACTGTCACGAAGCCCTCTCAAGACCTACAGCCCCTCAACAACACCTTTTTCAACGCAATGAAAAACACTATTCTCCTCTCTTCTATTCCCCAAACCCTCCTCAACTGGCCTCCTCAATGCTTTGGGCTGCAGCTGCAGATCGCTGTAGTCCAAGGCCCAAGCGTCCGCCTGCCTCGGAGGTTGCGGAAGTTTACAACACAAAACGAAGGAGGCTCAGATGGGTTTTAGTAGGGTTTGACGAAGAGGGGTCGGGTTATGTGGGATAGGGCTCCAAGGGTTTGTAGGGCTTCTACTGGATGGTGCAATTTTTTGGTGGGGGGGGGGGGGGGGGGGGCTGTCGCTTAGGATTCCCGAAGGGTGGTGTTCAGCTGGGAAAAACTGATCACGCACGGAGTCCAACATCTATGACTATGGAGTCTCCCCTAGGCTTTGCGGGGAACTCAGCTCCAGCCCTACCCCCCTTTCTCCCGAAAGCTTCAGAGCTTGTGAAACAAGATCCGCCGCCATGATGTCGTCTCTGCTCGCAGCCAAGTCGCAACCGCCAACAGCGGCAAATCTCCTCAGCTCATGACATATTCAAGTCGGAGACACGGCTGCAGTAGCTGGTCAGACATTTCTCGACGTGTGTGTACTTCGTGTTTAAATTCGAAAGCCAGGGTGCGTGTGACGCGCTCGGCTTGGGACAAGCTTTCCAAAGCCTGAAGCACAGATGTCTTAAATCCGACCCCCTGCGAATTAAAGTTCCATGAAAACTACTTGAAGCCCAAAACAATCTGACCCATGTTTCGTGCTTGTGAACACGAAGGGCATTGAGCATTCTCGGGGAATGGTGGTCATTTGCAATTTTTCACCAGGGGAAAAGAGGGGACAACTGGGGAGCAAAACGTCTACGTAAGGTGAATTTAAGCATCGCGATGCCGATGGAGGGCGGACGAATCAGGAGCACGAGTTTACCGGCATTGGCCACTACTCAGCGGATTCCCAAGTCACGGTGATTCATCAACCGGACACAACATCTGTAGGTATTCAATGGTACTCAATGGTACTCACACCTACAAAGGCGGAGCTGGCAGCGAACGGGAGTGTGCCGATGTCTGGCCTTCTGCAAGTCTCCCTCATCCATGGAGGTCTCCAGCTCTTCTATGCGAAGGCGGGCCGCACGGTTTGCAGTGAGAGCTCGCTCAGTTGCCTTGCAAAGCAATGAAAGAGCAAACCTCTCATATGGAAAATAGGACTCCGTGCAAATTTCACTCGAGAACGCGGCTCGCTCCAGTAGGCTTGCAGCACAGGCCCTTGCCTGGACATCAGTGCGAGCGAGAGGCAGACAGAAAGAGAGAGAGATAGAGAGAGAAAGAGAGAGAAAGAGAGAGAAAGAGAGAGAGAGAGAGAGAAAGAGAGAACAAGTGAAGAGAGAGAGAGAGAGTTACGGCGACCTGCAACATGCTGCCGGCAGCGGTTCTGCAAAGCTCGCCCGTCGCTAAGCAGCCAACGACACAGAGCCATGTCTCCTCCACACTGGTGCGGCTAAGATGCTGTCTGACGTATGTTTTTGGGTCGCATAAGGTGGCATACCGCGTGATGCTGAACGAAAGCTTCCTCGTGGATGGCCATCGCGCTGCAACCGGGAAACGGGAGCCCGTGCTGCTGAGTTGTATGAAAGCAGATGCGTCGTAGCGCGGTAGAAGACTCAGACAGAAGCACCGAGGACTCTGCCGTTTACCACTTCCACTTGGCCGAGCAGTAGCTCTTCATTCTCAGACCTCAGCTTCGCGGCACCGGCTCTTTGAGACATTTACAAGTCTCTCTACACAACTTCTTCAAGCAGGCCCTGAGAAGGCCAGGGCGCCCCATCACCGAGAAGGCCAACGTGTGGCCTCTCCCTGCCTTCTCGAGAGAGAAGTCAAACCTGGAAGAGTCTTGATGAGCCTTGGGTCGGTCCTTGGGCGCCCTAAGGGCGCCCCTAGGTCCGTAAAGGAGCCTTGGGCTCTCCTCTGCGAGGAAAACTGAAGCTCTCGAGCCTGGTGCTGAGACTGGCAGATATCCCGGCCGATCTCGCATTTTGCACGGCAACCTGGTGCATCGGGCCCCGACATGTGAATTATAGGAACTGCACACGGCTGCATAGCACTGTGTCGCTGTGGATGCATGAGGCCCTCCTCGTTGCTGGCGTAGCTGCGGAACATGAACCTGCAGCTGCTGCACTCGAGGGCACTGCTATTTCTGAGGTAGGGCCTCGGAGGCAAGGACGTGTGGGCACATGCCGGTAGCTTGTCTTGACAGTGCATGAAGCTTCCGCAGTCCAGCACGACGTCCTCACCGGCGAGGCGCGCCACAGCTGCAGTCGAGCTCCCCGTCATCAAGTGCTCCATTGTTGCAATACTACGAAACGCTTACGGTGGAATGCGATGCAGGAGATGCAGGGGCCGAAGCTCCTCATCTTCGCATGCTGGAAAGGCAACGGCAAGCTCCCGGTACCTGGCAAGGTGGAGGAAACGCCTCATGCTCCAATCAAGCTTCTTCTGCCTCCGCCAGCCCCAAAGTATCATGTAGCAGAATGTAGCACTCATGTATTCGTCAGGCAGTTAGGAAATACCAATGCGACCCCAGTTTTCAAGTCCAGATGCGCCACTCCCAGGAATTTGGAACCATGTAGAACCTTTTCTATCCGATTGTCCAGCAAGGGCAGCCATGTGTGGTAATTAGCCTTGCAATGTCATGAGGTATCTGACATCCCACAACAGATGCGCATGAGCCTTACGCCGAGATCGACTGCTCTGTGAACCCTACTTTTCAAGCAGCCAAAACTCGCATGATTGATAGGTGATTACACCGTCTGCCTCATCAACGGCTTGATGCGGCTTGGGACGCCACGTGTCAAAAATGTAATGTCAGATTGCGCGATTACCGCCAACGTTACCATTGCGGGCTCGGCTTTGCTTTGGGGATCAGGTTCGCGGTCCCCATGGCGGGAGCCACACGGTCCAGCAGAAGTGTTCCGGAAGTCGCCAATGCCGACACCTTTGCTTTGATTGACCCGCGGACGGTAGAAGGGATGTCTCGCTTGTGCTGCTCGAACATTACGAGTTCTGAAGCTGACAGCGCTGCTGATTGCTTCTGTACTGGCACTCTTGCCCTGCCCTACCGGTCACGAAACCATCTTGAAGGAGTCTCCAGGGTTCACGCTCATGAGTGCCCTGGCTTCGCTGGCTTCCACCTGGCATTCACATCTCTGAGAGAAGGACAGCTAGGGTGGCCCAGACTTACCTCCACATGGGCTGCCAATTGCACCGGCCGCCATCTGCTCCCACTAGATCTCAAGCTTTCCTGAAGATTTCACAGAACAGTGCATCATGGCATTGACGGTGAAGTACCGCGCCTGCAAGCCACTCGCGTCAGCGGTCCCTACGATTTGCACCTGGCATATAGTATAGCAAGGCGGACTGGTCCACATCCCCCAGGCTCACTCCATGAAATGTGACCATGCGGCGGACTCAGCGTGGTACACGACGTGCTGGGCAGGATCAACCACCTGCCAAGCAGAGCTCCACCACAACAAGTAACACAACAGTAGCTGGCTTCATCACAGGGCGGCAGGGCGGGAAAGATGTCGAAGAAGCCGGCCTTGCCAGCCTGGAAAAGATCCCTCAAACCAGAGCCCTGCCCGAATCACTCGGACCCTGTGAACTAAATCATGGGATGTTCCCCCCTTATACTGAGAGTCCTTACTAGGTTACTAGGGATTAGAAGAGGGGGCAAAACTACGACGGTTGTTCCCCGGACTGCCTTCACAGCGAAGGCTGCCAAGAGTTGGACAAAACGCAGCCACCGCCAATCATGCTGCATGACATGCATGAAGCTGAGCAACCTCCACACAACCTAATCAGAGTGTCCATCGGACAACCTGTCATGTGTCTGAGAAATAGCTCCTATCAGAGCTCTTTCCATGCGTTTCCAGCTTGAGCCATGGTGGAAACGAAAAATACCACACAAAGAAAGTGGCCGAGGTGACCATCATGGCAGCTGCCCAAATTGCGCAAATTCACGGAAACAGTGTGCTGCCGCCGTCGCGCCAGTTTTGGAGATTGCTGCAAGCCAGCGCAAGAACCGTGTCCACAAGAGAATGCCCACTCGTGGTGGGCATGCGATTCTATGGCTTCACATTGGGTGCTGGTGCGGCTTGCACAGTTGTGTGCTAGTCACGTCTGATCCAGCAAACTAATGGTTCACAAACAAGTCAATCATTCGCAAGCGCTCGCATTTCACTCGCGAGCTTGAACTAACAAGCTGCAGGGGTTGAGTCCGCAACGAGCTCAACACCCGCAGTGGAAGCAAGAAAGCTGTGGGTGCTTTCCAAGTTGGCAATGATGGTGGTAGTTTGGGGTATCTGCGACAGCCATGGCTTGGCTCATCAGGGCCGGCATGGTTACTTGTTCGCAATCCTAAGTCTCATCGGGGACTTGCTGAGACCTTTTCTCTTCACTGTTACACCCGCAGCAATCGAGCTCATAGAGGAACAATCCTGCGTAGCGAGCTCTGAAGCACCGCAGCGGAGCACTGGCTGGAGCACAGAGCCCGCTCTTCTGTGTTCTCGCAAGAAGTGATGTTGAGCACTTCCTTTTCTCTCTAAGTAGCAGTAACTAGCTTTTCTCAGGGCGTACACAAATGATGCACACAGTTGCAGTACACGGGATCGGAGATGAACATCACTCGCGCGAGAACGTGGACATATGTAGACTCCCGCGACTGGCCCGAAAGCTACGCGGGAGTCTTGACACCGCTTCAAAGACGAGCAAAAAGGTGTCGTTGCTATCTTTGTGTGTATCTTCACTTGTCTTGGTCCCAGAAAATCTCTCGGGCCCAGACTTTTCTCCACCTCCCAGCGCTTGATCCGTGAGAGCTTAGAGAGCTGGGTACTTCGGTGTGTTGCATCGGCACACCGGGGGGCTGGAGCTAAGATCTAAGCGAAAAATGTTACCACTTTAAGGCCAGGTAGGTCACGTCCTGAGCTTGCTGTGCCAAGGACCAGGGGACAGCATGAGGGCTGCTCTCTGCTTATCTGATGCTACACTATGCCATATGTACCTCTTTGGAGCTGGGCAACTCCCTAAAGCGTATGGCCCTGACCATGCTACAATGTAGAATCTCATAGGCAGGGAATCGACAGCAGCTCAGGGTCATGAGGCAAAAAAATCTCACATGAATGGGGATTCTTCTATACATGATATACTTGATACAATCACCACTATATTTCATGTAGTCAACATCTTTCGTAGAACAATCCCCAAAAACTCGGTTGGCGACCATCACAGGTCTGCTGCCAACTGGCACGCAAGCGCCGTTGGCGCATCCGGTCTGCCCTTCAAACTCAATCAATTCAGGTCGGCGAAAACCCGCGAAAGGGGGCATCCTCTAACTATGCTAGTATTTTGCATGTTTTCACCGTATTCACCTGTGTTGCTACCACTGTGATCCACTGTGATTTGTTCATTTCACTCGCACGCTGTGGGGAGGTTGCAGATTCGCACAGCATCCAGTTTCCTGCAAAAGGCCGCAGGAATGCCAATAGCACATGTTTAAAGGGGTTTATGCCTTGAACAGCAACCTTCGGGCTCCATGATACCTCCTGATTCCTCATCCAACTTGTTTCTGAAAACATGACGCCAGAATTGTGGCGCAAAATATATGCATAAATTGCCAGATCTACGTGCATCTATATGACCTGTATCTGGATCTACATGTTCACTCATCTTTGTACGCACGTACATATACGCAATTTATGTAAATATAAACATGCACAAGCACATAATTGTAATACATGGTAATACCTATACACATACACATGTAGGCATGTCATGTTCATGTGTAGAATTGTATAGACCTGTAAATGCAAAAACATTCGATGGGACCGTAGCCTCTGCCACCAACAAGAAGCAACCACAACACCGTCTCCCTCCTGTCTGCCTTTTGACAGGCCTGCCCCATGCTTCGTCGGTCCTCCACTGGCGGTATCCCAGGATTAAGGAAGACAGCCGCCTGGCGTGAAGTGCTTCACATGGCATGCTACAACACTTACCTCCAGCTACTCATGGCTAGAATGTCGGCTGCAACCTTGGCAGAAGTATCTTGGCAATGGGTGCTGGTCTTAGTGCCCGACGGACCACACCGCATATCGACTATCTGGGTCTGGATGCAGCAAGATCTCCAACCTGCAAGATCTGCAAATTAGACCAGGCACTCCGCTGCAGCAAACAATACATGACTCGCTCTTAGGCAGTGGCAGCTGCAAGAGGTTTGAGGATAAGACTTCCTCAACTGGCTGCCTGGCTTGGTGTCATGGCTGTCACTGTTGCTGTTTGATACACTTCAGGGGCGGCCCATGAACGAAAGCCTAGGCTGTAGGGACTCCAGGTGGGCTCCCATGTAAGGACCCAATCGACTATGTCAAGAAAACATCTACAATCGAGTAACGCAGAGGGAGGAGGGGGAAGGGCCGGAGGGGAAGCGGGGGGGATGGGGAGCTTGTTCGATCAATTCTTCTGAGGTTCCGGACGATGTCCACCCCCAACTGAAAACAGTTCTGGCAGGTAGAAACCAAAGCCTTCACTACGTGAGCTTTCGTGACGTCGGGCGGTCGGAGATTGCGGAGTTAAGACTTGGCAAACGGTGCCTTGTAGGTTTTGGGTCGACCAACTGACTCTTGCAGGATGATAAAATGGTCACTATGCCAAGGGCACCACAGATTCAGGATTTTAACAAGGCAGCTACTAGCTCAGCTTCTCTTCACACCTGACATTCTGGGTTGAGGGGTTCTTTCCCTTCTGATTGGGTTGCTACACCACCTCTGCGGCATTATGCTCCCTTGCTGTGCTAAGGTCGACTCACGAACGCTGGAGGCACGTGGCAGCAATGGCGCCGCGTGGAAGAGGCGATATGTCTACATACTTGTAAATGTGTGTTCACATTTTTGTATACGTACATAGCAACAGTGTGTTTGGTTTTTGAGAACTGGCATGTGGGATGAAGGGTGGCCAAACTGTTCCGAACCAAGCGTTCCAGCGCGTGGCATGGGCTGTGCATGGTCGAGCATGCTAGGATGTTTTCAGGTGGGGAGGAACCCGGACCCGGAAATGGCATGGCGACTGGTCTTGACCGTGGGAAGGCATGCAGCCACAGGGTGGAGGGACACAGCGTGTGTCGAGCGGTGCATTAAACTGTTTACCAGATCCTTTGGGGGCATTGTGATATTCAGATTGTGGTCGGCCCTTACTGGGGATGGACATCTGTGTTGCCTAAACCAGAGGCACAAAGCAATGGACAGCACCTCAACACAAATCTGCAAACTAGGCATGCACTCACCCTCTCGAGCCATCGCTGTGGCGGACACGTCTCTTCTGAAGGAATGCCTCCAAGAGCGTGGAGCACATTTACTGTTACCTATGTTGGAAGGAAGGTTACTTCAGGTTTCCGGCCGTCAGCCCGTGAGTCATGAAGAACTCGAAAGCAGCGCACTGCTGCGGCCTGGACGTGCGAAGCAAGCGCAAACAACTGGAGCCAAACGGCCCGGGTACAGCCTCCCTCATTCATCTGCATGCTTGTGGTCTGACTCTTGCTCTTACTCGTCTTTTCCAGTCAAGTAGTCTTACTAGTCTGACTACTCATTTCACTCTTTCTCACTTTTTTTGATCTTCGATTCTTCGAACTCTTCTTGTTCTTCCTACTCCTATGTTTCTTGTTATTAGTCCTCTTTGTCCTCTTACTCTTTCTCCTCTTCGAACTTCTCTTACAGTTACTCTTACTGATCCCCTGAGTACTCTTACTCTTATTGCTCTTGCTCCTCTTCCTCTCCCTCCTGTTCCTTTTGGGCTCGTCCTCTGGCGAGCTGTGTGATCGGGTTGTAGGTTGTAGGACACTTCGAAACGCTTGCCAGTACGCTTGCCTTCCTGTCGACTGTCCTTGCTCACAAAGTTTTCTAAGACTCGTGTGTCAGTATGAGAGCAACTCCCCTGTGTACGGCCTTTGCAATGCGCATCCTACACCACGCCAACCGGCCTGGTGCACTTCCAGGGATAATCTGCACAGGCGAGGCAGTAGGTAAATACCTCCGACGGAAGCACAGCAAGCCGCAAGCCCTCCCGTGCTTGACCACGGCAAACAGACTGAGTCATCGACCCCACAGGCAAAGAGGTCAGCCGCCCTGGCGTCGTAGAAGCCATTCCTTGCCAAGCGAAACGTGGTCTCTGAATGATGGACCTTGGCATGTGCACGAAGCGAGACGCCGAGGCCAGTACTTGTGCATTTCCGGAGCCTGTGACTCTGACGCCAAACCCTCTCTGACAGCACAGGTGCACTCGGTTGCCCGGGCCTGGTAAGACGGTTTGGCACGGGTGCCCTGCACCCACACATCTGTCGCCTGTCACGAGATCGCTGCCACCGCCCCCGACTGGTGCACAGATCAACACATGCCAGACTCGGCAGAAGCGGCGAAGTCGATCAGCCTGACCTGTCTACATCGTGGCATGCCTATCCTGGATGCCTATCCTGCGCGCGAGGTCGGCAGGGCGGCAGGAATCTAGGACAACTGCTTCTCCATCCGGCCCAAGCAATGCATTCTCCAAGGAAATGTCGCCATGAGCCACCTCGGCAATATTCCATGCAATGCAGCAAGAGATTCAACGAAGAGCTGGTAAGGAAGCGGCTCCGGCGCTGTGCAAGCACCGCACCTTTGCTCGAGCACATCACCAAAGTTCGGGAGAAGAAAAAGCTCGGCTCGACCAGGCGATACGACAACCGCAACTCCCTCGTGTGCAGGCCAGCTAGGCCCAGCTAGGAAAAGAACTCCACGCAGCAGCGACAGCACCACTGGCCACACCTGCCACTGCAGTATGTCTGCAAGCTCAAAGCACGGCCGCAAGGAGGAGCTTGCACGCCGCAAGGAGGAAAGCTCTTGCCTTCTGCTCCCTTTCTGGTCCAGGCTTGTTGGAGCATCGGCTTGCCAGGTCATGCAAGTCGCCACCGCTGATGTACTGCAGCACGGCACCATTCCCAAAAGTCAACTAAGAAGTATAAGATGTCCCATGCATCATCATGTTCAGAATGCTTGGCAAGGGGTCGTGAAAAGCGCCTCCATGAACAGCAGGATGTCACCCTGACGCAAGGCAGCGCACGAGAGCACCCTTCACAAGCTCGGACTCCTGGCCTCGTGGTCTTGAAAGGCTCCAAAACTCCTGCAGACTCCGTTCTTCGCCTGCTCACTCCAGACATGCCTGCTGGACTCCGTTCAAAGGAGAAGCAAACTCGCCTGCGACTTGTTCAAGCCCAGCACTAGGCTGATCTCAACCTCCTGCCGATGCGCGAGAAGGGTGGTCAGCTCTACATTTGTGCAGTTCTACCTCTAGCAACCCAGTTCCTTCCATGGGCTCTCCAGCAAGTCTGGGTGGGCTTGCGCGAACTCCTTCTGGCACAGGCATGCCTTTTCCCCTCAGACACCGATTTCTGCGTCTGACCTCTGCACTTTCCAGTGTCCATGACCGAAAGATTCGCTTGCCCACCACCTGCAGACAAGACAGGGGGGCTGTGAGGGCTTTATCTATGTAAGGCTGCCTTCCTGTAATGGAGAGGAACTGAAGAAAATTGGAATCCTTATAAAGACGCCCCCGAAAAGGACCCGAACACTGAATCGATCATGCTGCCAGCCTTGCAACTGTTGTTCTGGTCTTCGTAAAGTTCGATCCTCAAACTCACAACTGTCTCGAGCGCGCTGACATACTACACATCGTGAACTGACGCTGACATGCCTCTGGCATTCTAAAGTCAAGGCCGACCATGGTTGCGCTCATCTTCCACAAGCACGTGTTGCAGCCTCCGAGAGGAAGTAGGGGCGCATCATCGGAGTGGGGCGCTTTACGGTGCCCTATCATTTGATGCCCCGTGGAAGTGCCTGAAGCGCTCTTTGTCCATGAGAGGTAATTGGAGCTCCTGCCAGGAGGCCGACTCTGCCAACCAAACATGCTGATTGTGGAGCTCTAAGGCTTCCACACAGGGGCCCAAACCGGCAGCCTTCCTGCTCATGTCATGTCGCTCTTCGGGGAAAGTCACAGAAGGAACACGCGCGGGTGCGTGACACTGAACATAGCGGGTGCAGCTAGGCAGGTAGATGCCGATGTCTCTCCCTGGCTCTCTCCTGCCTGGGCTCTTCAATCTTACTGGCTTGCTCCTTTGACACGCACATGTCCTTGCATCGACTCTGAATGATTGGCATGGCATAGTGTCATGTTTCATTGTCGAATCGTCCCCATGCAAGCTAGCGCTTCGCACAGGCTTGAAAAACTCAGGCAGGAACGTCTTTGAAGGGGCAAAGCAAGCTCAAGCACTCCACATGGCTCTGGCTACTGCAATCGGCTTGATCCTTCAAACACAACAGAGATGTGTGTCTACCCGAGACCGGAACAGCCCTACTTGTTACACAGGTTGGATTGCAGGCATAGCCTCAAAGCATGTTCAAACCACCCGACTCCAGCCGTCTACTTTCGCAAAGGATCGCAAAGGTCTTTCTGGGCATGCGTCCGCCAGATAGAAGATCTCGGTCTGGGAAAGGAAGACTGAACTCCTGCTTCTTGAGCTCGTCTTCTTGTGTCAGCAGCATGGCCAGTACTTCCACCCAGCTTTGTCGCTGAGCTCGGGCAAGCGATTGCTGCGCCACCACTATACTCTTTCGGACAACCAAGTGCTTCCTGCAAGTTGAGCAGGAAAAGTCTGCCACGCAGAGTGTTGTGTGGAAGCCCGACCAACACGCCTTTGAATCGAAGCTGGCAGGGAAGGACCAAGTTTCGGATCAGTTCGTAAAGATGGCCTTGGCTGCGGCGCAGGCTTTTGCCAACGGCGTGGTCGTCTTGAGTCGTCATGCGTCCTCACCAGTGCCAAGTAATTGGGAGGGTGAAAGAGTCGGAAGATCTTACCACTACAAGCAACTTCGGCAGACGACAGCCCCTTAACACTACAGCTACAGTCACTACATGGTAGAACTTGCGTAGGCACCTGCTCCGCCATCTCCGCCACAGGGCTTCAACGTGGATTGAAGGCAGTTGAGGCTGCGCCTCTTGCTTGCAGGCAGTACGGTGCCAGCACCGCGGCCGAAGATCTGCATGCCCAGACATTGTGAGATGCCCAAACTCAGACTACTCGGAGATGTTCCGGGTACAGCTCACCCGACACGACGAGCTCAAGCTCATGACGAGGCGGAGTCGGCTGAGCTTGAAGTTGAAGACTCCCGTCGGCTCCGTGCATCTTGGCTTTCGCTCTCAGAGGAGTCCTCGCTGCCTTCGCTGTCCTCGCTGTCTGTCGACTTTGAATGCTTGGCGGAGCCTTTTGGCTTCTTACTGTGCTGAGCACTTGAGGCACTGGAGCTGCTCTTCGGCCTTTTCTTCCTCTTCTCCTTGCTCTTCTCCGTATTCTTTGCATTCCTTAACGTCTTCGATGTATTCCTCGTCATCTTCGCCTTCTCCTTCTTCTTCTCCTCCTTCCCCTCCTTCAACTTCTTCGTCTCAACAGGAGACGAGCTCGGACTCGGAGCTCTGCGAAGCTTGGGCGCGAAGGCCTCCTTGAAGGCCTTGATGGCCTCTTTCTTCCCCTCTTTCTTCCCCTCCTCTTTAGACTCCTTCGGCTTCGGGCAAGCGGACCCACCTCCCTGTCCATTCGGCACAGTGGAGGGAGCTGGTTGCTTTGGCTGCCTTGGGTTCATTGCTGGACTTAGACAAACCCTAGGCACTCAATGCTTACAGGTGGCCTAGTGCTCCTTGGTGCTCAGATTGCTCACTCAACCCCCCCCCCCCAGCCTTCCCCACCTATGCTGAGTAACGCAATCGTTCAAACAACCCATCCTTTGAGTCGGGCCTTGTGGGCTTTGCGACTTTGCTTTCCTGTCGGTGGTGCAGGCAGGGGCCCATGGGCCCATGGCCACGCAGGGCGCACGGGGTCAACAGATCGTGGCAGCATAACGGCACTCTGGAATGCATTCAACTTTGTGCGTGGCGCTCGCCGGCCGATGATCTCTTCACTTGCGCAACATGTAAGTTTACAGAGGGTGCACATGAAAAGAAGACCAAAACTCCGCCCAAGCACCTCAGTTGCGGCTTCCTCTTTGATAAATTGCCTGCAGACTTCAACTTCAACGGGACGGCTTTGACGCCAGGCTACGCAGCTCACCAAGTACGCAGCAACTCAGTGAAGAGCTATATGCTACAAGGGTCTGCAATGAAGCACGCATCTGGGGAAAGTTCCTGGTGCTCACATTGTTCTGGGTGCATAGGCCCAGCCTGGGGGCACGTTTCTTGATGTCCAGGCGGTAGCTGCCATCCTTGCACACCCCCCACCAAATCCCATTTTGATCTAGGTATCCTAAATCCAGAAACTGAGAACTACAGGGCTTCCAAGGGGCATGAGACGAGGAACAGAGGGGAAAAGTCTCCACCCAGCCTCGTTGCGCGCAAGGACCGTCGCGGAGACCCAGCGCTCGACCTTGGCGAAGCATTGCATAGTCCGAGGCCTGTGGCAGAACTCTTGTTGAGGCAGTAGCGGTGGTGCTCCAGTACTGAACTTTGGAGCCAACTGCCAGCACCTCCTGCACACTCCCATCAACGTCTCAGCTCACCAGCGCGCGCTGCACATGCTCCTCCGCCACCTGCCCCACTCGATTCGACAGCTCCTTGCCCAGCGTTTTGCCAGGTTGAACTCTGGCAGCTTCGTGCACGTGTTGAGTTGAGCTGCAAGGCAATGTAAGCCGTTCCAGTACATATGTCAGAACTGGAGGTCCTCTCCAAATGGATTGAACGTCATCTCGTGGATCTGACAGGCCAGCGGCGACAAAGAAGCCGACAAACAAGAAAAGACACTCTTTCCAGGAGGCCTTCCATCTCTGCACAGTTCCGCTGGGCAGCTTGTGGAGAACAACTCCATCCTGCCAGCACAGATGACAATCAGGCTCCCCTAACTTCCGGCATCTTCCTGCCTCCACTTGTATGCTGCCAGTGCGAGCTGCGTCATCCTTGTCGAAGCAGGGCACCGGGCCTGCACAGAGTCGTGGGAGGCGCGTTGGCCCACCATACCCCACCCTACAGCACACCATGACAGGCCTTGTGGGAGCATCTGCTGAAGGTATCCACATCGAGTGACCTGTCAAATCCATGGTGACTATGACCATGGACCAAACTTTTGCAGGCAGCGACACAGCGAGCACACCCCGGCCTCACCCACATCCGCCTTGAAGCGCTCGACTTGAAGGTTTGCCTCAGAGATCTATAAGGGGATGTGACAAAGTTCTCGTTGTAGTGAAGACTTTTCGTTCAGATTCAAGAGTCGAGCATCCCTGAACGGGCCTTCGGACCAGAGAGCCTGCGCAGAATTGCCAGACTTCGGCAGCAGGTGCTGGCCTGAGTGCTATCAGGAAGCACGTCATGAGAATTACTGCACGCTCGCGGGTAGAGGGGGCAGCTCTCACGTCAGGCCTGTGGCCCTACTTACGGGGCTATTCTCAGGCTCACGCGATTGAAGAAGCCGAGCCTCAAACATCGGCAATGCGTAGAGCCCAATCCGTTGTCTTCAATCCCGCCCACCCTGAGCTCCACCAAGTCCTACCGAGACCCACGCATCCGATCGGCGGGCCCAGGATCCTCGCAAACCGCCCTCCAGCAAAGAGCCACACCTTCCCGTTTTGAGGGGCCACCATTGGGATATGTGTGTGGAGGCATATGGAGGCACAGGCATATTATTTTTGGGCATATGGGAGGGACACAATATTGGAGGCAGGGCACTCCCCAACATTCGCCGGGATCTTCAGGCTCCAGCCTCGGGAGCGCGGCACGGCGGATGATAATACATAGAGCTTACATATACATATACATATATATCTAAATGTGATATACACATGTATTTATGTAAATATATATATACACATATAAATATACATGTACGTATACGCATACATATGTATGTACATGTACATACGCGTAGTTATATAAGCAGGAGAACACTCCTTCAAGCAACCTTCAATGCAGATCGACCTCCCCGGGGCTGCGGCTCTAACGCCATGCGATCGCCGCCAGGCAGTTTCTCCCAGCCTAAAGCTGATCACCCTTGGAAGAGCTCCCCTCACGCACAAGGATCTCAATCACGCCTTCCTCCCCTTCTTCAAGGATTTCTCCGCGAACACTGCGAGGAGGCTGGAAGTCCACGACCTCACACGACGACCCTCGACGGGCTAGATGCCTCGAAACAACTCGCAAGAATGCAAGGCGCAACAACTCATTTTCGGCCAGGCGCTGCCCGCCGCTCCAGTCCATTCTGGCCCTCAACCACAGTGCCACCACGGGATGCCTCTGTCAACAGGCTGGGGCGGCGGGACACTGGTGGGACTCCAGCTACTACTTGCAACATCTTACAACAACGCCCAACAGAAAAAGGCTGCTTGATTCTGCTTGCGATTGCCTCCAAGCACTGGCCCATGCTGCTGGCCTGCATCAGCAGCCCGCAGGGACAACCACGCCGCTAAGAACATCGGATTACGTCGGCCACGGCCCAGCACCGGCCTCCGACCACGGAACAGCCGGGCCCACCTCCACGAAGAAGCCAGAGACCTGCAGCCTGCATGTGGGATGCTAGCAGCTGCTAGCACCGGTGCTCGCACCGCTTGATGCCATATCATGCACACCACGATCTGCATTCCGGGTCGGCACCTCAAAGTACCGAGGCCTTCAGAGGCTTCCCCGTGCCACCAGGCGCCAGCATGCACCAGTGACCTCAAGTCAGGCATTTTACAACCGGCTTGCTGTGAGGCGTGGCAGCTCAACACAGCACGGCCAACGCACCTTTTTCTGTTTCTGACTCTGAATCTTAATCCACAAGTCGGTCAGCGAGGAGGCTGTTTGCCGCTGCATTCGTGTCTCCCGCAGCTGCCTGCTCCCCACGTCAAACACCCCCCCCAGCTGCTTTGGCTCGCTTGGCTCCCGCAAGGTCACCCCGCCTCAAGAGCAGCAGCCGAGGCATCTGCAGCGAACCCCATCGACGTCAGTAGCTCCACCTCCGAAGGCGGAGGCTGCAAGAATGAAGGATTCCGCAAACATAATATGTTCCCCAACACGTCCCCCAAATGTCCCCCAATGTCCCCCAAAACATTCCCCAACCTTACGCTGGAGCTCGTCCTTGGCGATCACTGTGGCAGAGGACTTGGAAGCACCAGCTCCGGGGCCTCCGGGGCCTCCGGGACAACAGCCCGAGAACAATCTGAGTTCCTCACGTCTGCACAGGTGTGCACCGTGCTTCAGGGTATTTCAGGCTGCTGCTTTGGGCTCAGGGGCTTCAGAGCGATGGCAAGCCTGGTTCCGGCGCGGTCCCTGCATCGGTTTCTGCCTGCCATTGGCGCTTTGAACGAGACATGAGTGACATGAGCTTGGGCGGCTTGGGCGGTTGCACTGGGCGGCATGCACCCTGAACCCCATCCTCGAACTAATGGACAGAGCAGGAAGCAACGACAGTAAATGCGTAGAACACCTAGTAACAGCCCGCTCTTCCACCGGGAGTTGCCCCCCCCCCCCCCCAACGGCTTTTTATGTTTTTTGTCTCGACTCGCCAGCTTCCGTCGCAGAACCAGGGCCGACCTACTAGACAGCGGCCGCCATCCTCGATCTTGCCACCAGTCCTGCTCTCACGTTGTCTACACGCATCTCTGATGAAAGGGATATGATGGGACACATGCCCTTTTCATACCGTTGAAGCTCATGACCGGCTTCCTCGCCGTAGTCAATGAGCACCTCCTGATCACAGTGCCATCTCTTTCTACGGCTTCATCTAGCCATAGAGGGCTTCATTCTGGACATTCCGCGTGCTCCTCATCTTCGGCCATGTCACGCAGCGCACGGAAGAGGATGTAAGGCTTGTCGTCCAGCTTCACCTAAGAAGCTTTGGAGGCCCAAGGCCCAAGTTTGCAGAGGCCCTGAACTGAGAGAGAGCTGCGAGAGGCGTACGCGATAGGAGGCGTTGCAATCATCGTCCACGCCATGGTTGTAAGCCAAGCCTGAGTTTCCACGTCACAAGGAGCAAGTGAAGCCGTGACGGGTTCGCGCCCAGCTTGCAGCCTTGAAGAAACTGTCAATAAGCAAGCTGCCGAAACCCATAGGCAGCAAGAGCCTCTCGTGCCCTCCTGTGACAAGGATGAACGCTTGCATGGCAGCTGTCGTGATCGCTACTTGCGCCATCCTGACCCCCATGTGTTCATCCTCTGTCTGCGAACAAGTAGTCCAGCAGTTCAATGTCATCGGCGGCTCGGGGCTGGAAAGCCGACACGGAGGGCTTCCTGAGTTGCAAAACACGTTGCAGTGGGCTCAAGTTAAGGAACGGCTTCCCCTGCATCGGTCTCTTGCTGGCGCAGCCGGCTATCAATGTGACCCCCTCTTCCTGCTGTGCTCCCGCACTTTGAATCGAAGCGAGGCACGCAACCAACAGGCAAGGGCACACTTCAAGCACTTCTCTGGCCACAAAGGCTCGCGTGGTAAACACGCCAGTGCCGTGCCTTTGTGACCAAGTGTCTGGTGTGGAAATGGCTGTGTCAAGGTGCTAAGAAAGGCTCAAGGGATGCACACATTCAGACTGGGCACAGGCTGGATTTTTTCAGCGTGAGCCCTGAAGAAGGCATCGAATGCTGTTGGCCTCGCTGGCCTCGCCGAAGCCGGCATTAGTACCGACATACTACAGCACATCCAGTAGATCGCCTGGCCTTGGAAGAGGCGGGATACTTTTAGCAGCTCGCCCGGCGCTGGGGCTCGTGAAGCCACAGCCGAGCGCATCATCGCAAGCATCGGGCACGATGGTTGCTTCAAACTGTTCTGCTTGGGAACCTCGTTCGGCCATGCTATACTTTAACTTCGTGGGCGTAACAGCCTGCACCCAAACTGGCTTGAGCAAGGAATGGTCAAGAAAACTCAAACAACTTGGGCCAGTCCCAGCCACGCCCAACGCCACACTCCGGCCTGGTAGCCGTAGTAGCGCGCCTCTTCCTCAAGGTCCGAGTCCGCTTTCACTATCCGGATTCGGGCGAAGCCCTGAAAACGAGGATGTTTCAGGAAGTGCGAACTGTGCGAGAGAAAGGCATCACGGCCGCCTGCGCCTCATCACCCGAAACCTCTGCACGTCTTTTGGAATGACTTCAGAGAAAGGGACCGTCAAAGACACTGGCGACAGATATGTCAGCCCATGACTGGCTGCATCGTCTTGTTGAGCTTGGACACGACCATCCTCACGCTACCTCCCCTGCCAGTCTTCTGTGCGTGTGCGTGTGCGTGTGCGTGTGCGTGTGCGTGTGTGCCTCCAGCTCCTCCCTCTGACTACATATATTCTGGCGGCACCCAGCTACACTACGCAGACATTCGCAGACGGCCTAGACTGCACTACGAGACAGGCAAGGAAGGCTGCAGGGATGGATCCGCCGTTCCTGGCCTCAGGCCACCCTCGTGCTGCTCTCGGGCCTGGGCTCGCCGGCAACACTCCTCCACACAGGCTTCTGCAACATTTCATCTTGCATATCTTGCTACCCCTGTACATTCCCCCCAGCAAGCCGCAGGCTACAATTCTTTGCAGCCCATTAATGCCCATTACTCCTCCACCGGCACATCGAAAACGAGGGCGTGGCACACGGCACCCTGGACTGCCAACCAATGAGATGCACAGGCTTCGGCTCCATTTCTCAGGGCATGGACCGAGGAAACACCTTTGCCTGGGCAGCTGCAAGCGACACCCATGGCGCCCTCTGCTCCTGAAACAACGCTAAGCAAAAAGAACCGCAGCGGCGTAGGAGCTTGGCATGGCATGGGTCCAAGGGTGCAATGTCCAAGCGTCTGAGTTGATGTTGGTGCGATCGATGGTGACGGAGAGACCCTGGGAGGTTGCGCGCACGCTTCGCTCTTCGCGGTGGGCACTCTCTCTATTGGTGGTCAGGGCTGGCTGCCGGCCTTGCTCAAGCAAGTCGAAGCGGCACGGATGCAGGCTTCCTTGCCTTAAGTCATCTTGAGTATGGCAAACACAGCACAACCATCAAGGCCAAAAATCCACCGAAAAATAGAAGAGAACTAAAAAAAAAACACATTTGGAGCCCAAAAATATAGAAATGATTAGAAATGCTGATGGCTGCAGGGAATAATGGAGCAACCTTTTCGAATATTCACGGGGAGGGAGGGGGGGGGGGGGGGGGGGGCGCTAATCAGGTCCTCGGACAAATATGTTTTCACAATGGTTGCACAGCATCGCGGGAGAAGGCCAAAAGCTTCCGACGAAATGCTAGGCCTCAAGATAGTTGGGCCACCAGGAAACCTATCCCCGATGCGCGACGCACGGAGCTCGTAAGTCTGACGCGGAGCTTACGCAGATTTCGCTGATGGTCTTCTGAGCGGTCATATCTTGCAACAGAGTTCGCTACAACCCTCCAAACCTTTTCAGCCCTCCAACAAGCAACACCTGGGTGAATCACGACTCTTGGATCGTGGGCTATCACGCTCTCGCGACCTAAACTCTCTCGCAGAAGCTAGCGCGCGCTGCCACGCCCCGAGCCGTAGCTGACGCGACCCAATCAAATCTTAACCCCCTATCTCACTCCTGTCATGGGGTTTTTATGCCGCCGGTCATGTGGAACAGATTAGACTCTTGAAGAGTTTGCGCAGTGGAGCGGAACCCGGGGCTTCTGCTTTTGAGCAAGTCCTGGCACACACCTCAGCTCACCGCGTGCAGAACCGACAGCCTCACAGCTTCCGGACTCCATCGCAAGAATTTTACCAAGGGTGCCGCGACGCCATGGCATCGCCACCCGCTCCTCGGAGCCTCCCACCGGTGATAAACAAGAGCGTCACAACAGACACTTCCAGCAAGTTGCAACCTAAAACGTCCCTGAACCCGAAGCTACTCTATGAAGAACCTTCCAATCCCCAACCCCCCATGCAAGCCCCACAAGCTCTAGGAGTACAGCCCCTCACCCTCCCCCCGTATACTGCAACCTGAAGGTGGACCCAGGTGGTCGGCGAAGGTAGACTTCCCGCAGCCCGGCAGGCCCACGAGGATCAGGAGAACCGGCGGGTCCGGGCGAGAGCCTTGAAAGTTCGAGCCAGGCCCGACACTTTCAGCGGAACTTGCAGATTCACCTTTCTCCTCTGTGAGCTTCGGAGAGTCTGAAACAACCTGCCTGGGCTAATCGGCGTCTCCGGCGATTTCGCCAGAGAGTCACCCAGGCCACCCAGGCCACCCAGCCGGGCCACCTCCGCAGCTCAATGCTCCATGAGCTTCAGAGGCGCTCTCAGTCTTAAGAGTCGCATCGTGTAAGAAGGCAGGCCGAGGGTGTGTGCATTTGCATCTTCTCGCCTTCTTAGGTGGGCCGTCCTCGGAAGCCCCTGGCACGACTGGCCAAAAACTGACTCCACAAACCAAGCACGCCCTCACACCTCTGCCTCTGATCACTCGGCTCGACACTCTGCACGCGACCCAGCTCAGGCCCAACCTCCCCCGGCTGGTCCGAAAAAATCGCGAGTGTGTGTGAACCTGCCAGGTGTGGGATAGTATGTTGTTTTCGTTAAACATCCCTAACCTCTAGGGCGAGCTAAATCGAAATGATGAGAGAGCCACTTCAAGATGCAAGATGGGCAATTTGACAGGCCAACTGTCTTGGGGCGGCTGGGCACACGCAGCCACGCAGAGTTGTGGCGCCTCAAGCCAACGGCCTTCGCAAAGTCCGCATCGTCTGCAGAATGCTCTCCTGCCCCTCCTCCAAGCTGAACAAAGACTTGCCGACAGATGCCAAAGAAAATGGGCACAGCGCAAGGACACTTTTGTAGAAGAGTCACCGCGACATGGCCAAGTTCAAGCGAGGAATGAGTGTCACTGTTGATGTGATCCTGCTGCCAGCAAGCTCTCGCTAGAGAAATCACGTTCCTGCAGCATCGCCGACGAAGAAGCTCGCTGCTAGGTCGATCGGCATGCCATTTGCCTTCGAGCCCAGATAGCAATTGCTACTTTAAGATTCCAAGAGAAGTAGGAGACTCAAAGGCTCTCACCTTTGCAAGGTGCTCCCACATGCCAGTATTTGGCTTGCGGTACTTGTCGCGCTGTGTTGACGCAATGACCTGCCAAGCCCGCCCACTCCCACTCCCTTAACACATTGACAACAGGGTGGCAGCTTTGAACCGAGGCCCCAGCAAGCAAGGGTACCCCTACCTTCTTTGCGAAGTCATCCTCGGATCAGAGCAGAACGCAGAATCTCTCAAGCCTTCATTCAGAACGATGTTCTTTCAGAATGGCTGATGATCATGAGTGATGCAGGTTGCTGCAAGTTACGCACATGGATCCTTTGAGGCTGCACTTGGCATCTAGAGCTCAGGTGGTTCCTCCGATTTCTGCCAAGGTGCAACATAGCCTTTGAAGGCTTCGGCTCGCTTCCCATCCAATGCGCTCCTACCCAGCTCGGCTCGAGCTTCAGGGCGCTTCTGACAGCTTTCGACTTTCGACTCTCCTGATGTTGCCCTGGTTGGTGAACACCACCAGCCTCTGAGCCATGGTGACATGTGGCCTCTTTTGCGGGAAGTTGGCTGGTCCGTTGCCTGAAGCCCTGCTTATGCAACTCCGCGATCTTTTGCGGAACCCTGGGCGTGTCCAAGAAAACGTCATCATGCAAGCAGCAGGGGCCAACGCCGACACTCAGTCGAAGTGTGCATGCTGGGCACACCAGCGCTTCGTTGTAAAACATCCAGTCGGACACAGTGACGTGGTATCCTGCAGAAAGAATCTGAGAAAGCAAGGGATCCAATTGACGGATGTTGAGGGGTTCGTAAGCAGAGGACCCGGAGCTCCGATCTTGCTGGAGACCAAGGTGTCATTGAGGTCGAAGCCTGCGACCTTCCGCCCCGCTTTCCGCTGCGATCACTTTCTTGGGTCCAGGGTGGGAGGAGGAAGCCAGGGGAGGGTCCTAGGGCTGCACCTTCGCGCTGGGCTTGGCAGCAGCATCCTGACGCCAAGATCGGACTTCGAAGTTTGCTGGACTTGCTCTCCTCTTTGGCATCCATGTCATTGCGCTCAAATGTGGCTGAAGGCCTTCCTTTGACCAAAGTTTGCGTCACGTTCGTTCAGCCAACCGCGCATCTTGACAGCCAAGTACCACTGTTGTCAAGTCCAGCACGGACCAAACTAGCCTAGAGTGACTCATCCGTGCACATCGGAAGGCGCATGATGGCTGGATGTGTCGGTAGAATTGTTGATCTCTGAGTGCTTCACTTCCCCTGAGTCGCACTCGCCCTCCCAAACAAACCCCAGAACATCCACAACTACAAACCTAGCCTCAACGCATAACTGCACAACCCCAAAGCCCTGAACCCCTCACTCCCCTCCCGCCGTAGCCTCGCGCACGAGCAGCGACGGAGCCGCCTTGCGCCACGAAGGCCGCAGAGACCCGCTGAGGCGGTTCATCGGAGCTGTGTAAACCCCTTGCTTGGCGTGTTTTTTTTTGGGGTGGGGGGGGGGGGGGGGGGTCTATGCGGAGTCTATGGGGTCTGTAAGGTGAAGGGCTATAGCTTGTAACTGATGGCTCATGGCTCACGGTTTCCGCAGCGGTGTGCTGGAATGCTGAGTTGGTGTTTCGGTTAAGTGGTTCCTCAAGTGCTCTCGGTCACAGGAGTTAGTACAACTACCCACAGGAGGCCCGAATGAGATCGAATGAGATCGCCTCACAAGGGCAGATGCTAGCATTACTATAAAAGGTAGGGTACAGCTGACTCAGAAGATCAACCGCTCGATTCACATAACTGAAGATCCAGGCCTGATATAGCTAGAAGGTTCTCGTGCAGCGACCGGACTGCATGCCGGACGGGATAAAGGCTGCAGCAGACTCAGCTGAGGATCTCGGCAAAGAACAGAATGCAAGGCAACAACAGCTGACTGACGCCCGCAGATTGGGCCGGCGACGGCCGCACAGGTCTTCCTATGCTCTTGAACAAGTCTGTTCCTTGGTGGCTTGGCATGCTGAAAACAAACGACCGGCCCAGCTGGCAGCAGCATGCATACCTGTAATACCTGCAACTAAACAGATTTGAAAGTAGAACAGCAGTGCCAATTAGCGGCACCACCCCTCCCACCCCGCTCCTGCTGCTCTCCGGCTTCACATGGACGAGAAATGTGTAACAGCCGTGGCACATGTTAAGCATCCCGCCAACCAGGCTTAGCCCGCAGCCAGCACCTTGGGATGTTGGGCTTCGTGGTTAAACCCGCTGGGAGCGCACGCCCGAACAAGATGCCACAAGCCAAAGCTATCCAAAGCTCACAGACCGTCTCGGCGACGGGCCGACCAAGGCTTCTGCTGCGGCAGCCAGCTGACTCCGAGGACACAGGAAGTACGCGCCCGCTGACCTTATTGAATCTGCAAAGACCTACTCAACTGGTTGTCATGACATGTCTAAATCTGATAGGTGCCTGAAAGTTCGATGGACGTCCGGCATCTCTCACCCCTGACTCTGGTCATCTTTTGCGCCGCACCATCGCATCTCTGTGCTCAGCAACTTTGCACAACAAAGCGCCGAAGATACTTGCAGCACTGGGATCGCATGCGCTGCCCCGTCGGGCCAGTCGGCGATGGCAGTACGGTGACTGTGTCAATGCCAAGAGTTAAGCAGCTCAAACATATATCAAGCTAAGCCTCAACCGACAAATCCAAACCAATGTAAAAGCTAAGCCCACCAAACACCGAACTCTCTAGTGAAATCCCATGAGCCTTTGTAAAGCCTAAGTCGCACTTGCCTTCGCTTCTTCGCTTTGGCCCTTCGGGCGCTCAAGAGACAGTATTTTGTCACCAGCGCCCCAACGCGAGCAGGAATGGAAGAAAAGTTGGCTTGAAAAGACCAAGCCTGGAGGCTCTATGAGCAACTATAACTCCGAGCGGGAGTGGGAAAAAACAGATTTGACACAATCGAGTTGAAAGCGTGTCATTGCATCAGCACCGTCCTGTACAAGTTCGCACTCCTTGGCGGCCGACAGTTTCGCCAGAAAAGAAGTTAGTTTCTCTTCCGACATGAATCTCTTGTCCTCCGCTGCATGTATCTAGCAACTTGTCTCCTGAAACACATCTCCTTCGATGCCAGCAAGGTACCATGCATCAATGACCGCCTTCAAGAAACCTGCTCGTCCACGTTATGCCTGTGCACCGTGGGCTGCAAGAAGTTGAACGGTGGCCTGCGCCAGGATTGCAAAAGGACTTCAGACCTTTCCATCCTCCATGAACCGCCACTGTGAGCAGCCTCCTGCTTGTTAAGCTGCGCCACCGCCAGTGGCGTCTGGCCCTGCGCGTTGCGCTGGTTCATGTTGATGCCCACCTGGCCGCAGGAGCTTGCAAAGCGGCGAAACCAACGATGTGCTGACTTGGCTTTCGGACCTTGAGGAGATACTCCAGGAGCTCTTTGCGGCCATAGCCAGCAGCATAGTGGAGCCCACTGTTGCCTGCGGGTCGGTGGAGCAGAGAGTGGGGTTCGGACCTACCTCGCCGATCGAGCAACTACTCCGAGCGTCTGGCCATTGCTGTCGACTGCAAATGGATTCGCCCTGCTATCGAGCAGCAGCTTCACCTTGAAAAGACACTGGAGCAGGGTAGACTAGCCATGGCGGCTCACTTGCATGCTCTGTGTGCGCCACCACTGCAATGCGGTTGGAGCCGATTGCATAGCCGAGAGCCGTGATGCCCTTGTGGTCCTCCGCAGTCTCTGCACCATTCCAAGAAATTCCACGCTCTCCAAAAGGGCTCAAGTCAATGACTCAAGTCGGAACAAGTCGGGTTGGGAGAAGTGGCACGAAAGGTAGCCTGGGAGTCCAAGGGCTTTTTCTTCTGCAGAAAGTCCTCGCATGGTTGAGGTGTGAGTGCTAGGATTTGTTGCTCAATCGTAGGCTGAAGATTTGCCGGCTTGCCCCACGGGGGCTCTCCTGCACAGCTTTGAGGTCACCATTCTTGGCTGCCTGTCAAGCATCATTGCATGCCTGAGAGGAAGTTTCTCGATGCTGTGCAAGGCAACTGCGTGAGGCCTCATGGAGCGTGAGGGGAGTCTCCTGGGCAGAACTGCGCTGCATTGCGCAGCATGGATCCAGAGTCTGCAAAGGAGAGGAGCGGGAACGAGAGCGAGACGGCGAGAGAGCGAGACAGCAATAGAGACGGAGACAGTGAAAGCAACACTCGGAGGAGCAGGTGCGATCAGGGCAAGGGAACGTGGGAAGAGTGGGGCAGAGATTCAAGGAACTTCAGCAAGGGTTTACAGCTGTCCTCGATCTTCCTCAGAACCGGCTGAAGATCAGCCGGAAGCCCTCCCATCTTCTGGGAGATTTTCAGCATCAGCTCCTCGTCCTGAAATCAAAAATGTACAGCCCCAAACAGAGAGGACTGCCGTGAGCACACAGAAATCCTGGTAGTACTTCATGGCAGCTTCCATGCCATTCTTCTTGATGTCCTGAACGGGACCCACAGCAGCTGTAGGGGAAGATTGGGGTGCTGGGGCTGGTTCACAGCCGCACGCTTTGCAGGACTTGACAGTGCAGACCTCGAACATGGCTGTCAGCTCGGGATCCTGTTCCAGCGATTTGACGCGATCCTGTCACAGGTCTTGACGCAAAACCGATGCTGCATCCTGCTATGTTTTTCAATGTTTTTTCAGAAGTCAGCAGCTCCTGGACAGGGGCATCTCCGCTGGTGATCTTCCTTAGGCTCTTGAGCTCGTTGAGCACTGCCAACCACTGCTTGGGCAGCTGAACGACATCAGCTCGGCTTACATTCAACCGACTTGTGGGACGCCTTTCCTGTCTCGGGCAGACACGTGTTGTAGTGCTCTGCAATTGCCTGCGTCTGAAGCCAACCACGCATCGCCTCAATGCGGAGGAGGGGGGCCGAGGATGGGGCAAACGGAGGCGGTCAACACACGGACATCGAAAATCGAAACGGTTCCAGTGGGCAAGCTGCCTCCGGATTTTTGGCGAAGTTCTGCAGAGATTTTGCAGTTTCGGGATTACCTTGGAACAGGTTCTGGATGCAAGAATTGAAACCACTTTTGCTGCGGAATGCTGCCAGGCCGCTCTCCACGTATTGCTTCACCTGCGCAGAATACACAGAATACATTATCACGCCAGTGTGACACTGCATAAGACAACATTAGGTAACAACAAAATGACGACTGAAATCCTCTGCCAGCCTCGGCCCAGGTTGCATCATCAATGTCGGGCAGCCGGGTGATTTCCTCGCGCAAACGAACCGTTGACTTTCATCGGATGCGGCACCCAGCAATGAGTTGACAGCTGTCCATGGTGGTGCCGTCAGAGATCTTGAGCGTTTCCTCGGCTCTCGTCAGCTTGTTTACATGGTGTTCCCCACTCTGCGTGTCAAAAACGAATGCTTTCAAGGCGCTGTGCTCGGCGCTGCCATGGCTCTGAATGTATATGTATAGTCTTAAAGCCGAGTTTAAAGACGGCTTGGTTTAAAGTGGCTGCGGCTGCGCATGGTCCACGCTCCCCCAAGCTCCCCCCCGTTTGAACGTCCATTCATGACATTCAGCCTGCAGCCTCCATGAGCAATTTTCCAGCCACAACTCAGCAACTCAGCGAGGCACTTCTTAATGCGATCTGGGCGTCTGACGGGCTGATGGCATGGAGGAATGCCTCTGCGCGAGGCCGTTGAGGTGCGAAGATCCCTCTAATACTCTTGGCTCGAGGGTATCAGCATGGATTTGTCCCTGCAGGCCTCAGTCTCTGCCAAAACGGCACAAACGCTCGCCAGGCAAACTGGGCTCACCTCAGCGGAATCAGACCACGCTGCTTCAAGAAGAGCTGCTTGTTTTCGGCCTACCTACAGATTGACCGCCTTTGACCTGCATGAAGCAAACTGCCGGGCACCGTGCACTCCCTCGGGGATGCAGCGAAATCCACCGGTCGCCCTGACACAGCGTGTAGGATTCAGGATGCAGGCTTGCCTGATCTGCCGCAAGAACTTGTTGACACAGAGATGAGGTTGCAAGAGGTGCCCGGCTTCGGGTGTGGCAGCCTCTGCTGGGAATACCTTCACCTCGAGCATGGCTGCGAGCTCGAATGACAGCTCACGGTCGGCACCCAATTTGCCTCTGTTTTGGGAATGACATCTGAACAAGGGCCCATGAGCTTCGAGGCCGGAACCGCCGCCCCAGCAGCCCCTGACACGACAGATCTTTGCAAAATGGTGACAAAAACAAACTGAAGCAAAACTTCTCGAAGTGACCGGAGCTTTGCCTTGAGAGGCGGCCGTGCCGGGCTTTCCTGGACGATCGCATGCTGCGCATGCTCGGATCGACAAGATGTGCTGCAATGACTATGCTGGCCCCCAAGTTTGCAATGTTTGCAATGTCGCAAAAGGCCTGCACTTCTGGACCTTACGCTTTCGTTTTGCGGTCGGCTACTGCCCTCTTAGCAAGTCTTACTAGGACCTGGCAAGATTCACGCGTCGACATATGCAAACTCCTTAAACCCAACTTCTCAGCCCCCACCATCAACTCGTTGAGCCCTAAACCCCTCAACCACAAAATCCCTGAACCGGGCCTGAACACACGCTTCGCCAAGCCGAAGCACTCAGCTTGTCCGTCTTCGAAACCCAGTAGTCCTTGCCCACCTTGAAACTCGGCCGAGAGTTTAGGAGGGATGTAGATTGCGAGCTCGCTCCATTAGAAGCTGGCCCGCCTCCAAGATACATGCCTCCAGGTCCATGGCGGCGGGCTGGCGGACAGGCAACGAAAAGAAAGAGGACTACCTCATGACCACATCTCTGGCTTGCAAGGTGTAATTTTGCTGGAGGTGGTGGCTTGCAAAGGGTAGTGGCAGGTGTTGGGTTGAAGGTGCTTTGCCAAGGTGCAGTGCCTGGTCCTAGTGTTTAGAGAGATGCAATGTAAATGTAGGCGTGTTGCTGTTGGCAAGCCGGCCCTCACAGCATCAGCAACGGCAACTGCCAACGAGTCGATGTGAGAAGGGCACGGAGATTCGGCTGATCCCAGAATTCCTCCTCAAAGTACAGCGAAGGAAACTCTTGCGCATGCCCAATAAACCTTTTCGTCGCTACTATGGTAGCCATTGAACATTCAAAATTCGCCTCGGCTTCCTGCCGAGAAGCGTCTGGAACAAGCAGACCCGGATCGGGCCTCCTTCCCCCTAACCCAACCCTTCCCCCCATCCAAAATTTCTGACGCCACCCCCCCCCCCCCCCCCGCCCTGTGCGACCCCCCCCAATCGCTTGGAGGAGCTGCAAACCGATGCCGTGGAGGGTCCCGCCTGTCGGTGCCTCCTACAGGGGGAGTGCCTCAAAAACACCCCACCCCCCCCCCCCCCCCCCCCCCCCCCCCCCCCCCCCCCCCCCCCCCCACCCCCCCACCCCCCCACCCCCCCACCCCCCCACCCCCCCCCCCCCCCCACCCCCCCCCACCCCCCCCCACCCCCCCCCCGCTTTGACCTCGATGCCCTTCGTCCCCTTTTTTTGCGAAACCCTCTTTCCTCCTTTCCTGTCCTGGCCGGCCCGGCTGCCGAGGCGGCGCGCACAAGCGTTTACAATTATGTAGCCTGGCAGATTCTTTTTGCACGCATCGGTGGAAGGGTCACAGATCGTGTCGGCTGTGTTGCCGTGCTGCTCGACAGATGCCTCGTGCGGCATGAGCCGCAAGTTGCATAGGCAGCCGTCGCATCTGCCAAGCTGTCCACCTGGCTTTGAACGAAGCAGCGGATTAGAGATGTTGGGGAGGGTAAGGCCTGGCTGTAGCTTGACATTCATGTCAGCATGGCATGTGGCATGTTGCAGAATCATACTCCCATCCTCCTGGCACCAAGAAGCATTGCAGGCGGCTGAATGTGGACTCGAAAGCCCTGTCGGATGTTTCTCGGTGGCTTGAAGCAATCTGACTACAGCCCTCCTGCCGGGCCGTAGTCGAATCTTCACATGGACAGGCACGCGTGTTGCGTCCTGCTGGACAGTGCAGCCTGGAATTCAGGCTGTGTGGTCCGATGTGAAGCCAGCAACTGGGCGGCACAAGCCGACTCCAAGCGACGTCCACTTAAGTAGCGAAGCAATGTGACAATTCAATATTGGTGAACTATGAGACTACATGAAAATGCATGGAAAATGGTCGCTCAGTTTCTGAGGCTGGCCGGCAGCTCCATCTTCCAAAGCTCCACCCGGCCTAGCATGCCAGCTGCATGCCCGGAATCCAGACAGCTTTTAAGGAGAGGATGCAAGGCCTGCACGGCCCTTCCCCAGGAAGAAGGCGGTCTGTCCCACTGTACAGAAGCCCCGCCACCTGCACAGACAGACTGCCCATAACACAACGTGGTTCCTGGCTCTGCTTGTCAATTTGCACAACATTCGAATGCGCCTCAGTCCAAACTGACTGGGCAGCTCGAAGGACCAACCTGCAGAGGTCACTTCTCTCCACTCGCTGGGTCTCAGGATGTCTCAAGTCGTCTGCAGCCTGATGGAAGCCATCGGGTCGAGGAAGACGTTGGCCTCCATGCGTGTAGAACTCCTCAGGCAGTACCACAGACAAGACTGAGCCGCGCGCTCCCTCTTCCTACGAGTACGGGGCCAGTGTCTTGGCGCCCTCTTTCATTGCTTCGTGTAAAGACGGCCAGCCACCACAACAGAACAGTGCGGGTCCTGAGCCACTGAGAGCAATGAGGCCGCCGTCCTCACACTGCAACGAAGCAATGCAGTTGCTCGACTGCTAAAGTTCAGAGATGTCGGCAAACCGATGCCGGTCGATGCTCGGTTTTTGTCACTTCGGTGGTAGGGGGGGAGGGCATAGGGGAAGGGCAGAGCAAAAGCTTAAAGCAAAAGTCAAGCTCAACGCTCGGTACGTGGCTTCCAGACGTCGTGATCTTGTTGCGCATCTTGCGCGGCTGGTGTGTGCTCTTGTTTCTCAACCTCTTTTTTTGGTTGTTGGATTTAAAGCCAATCGCTCTCCTCGCCCACTCTTCGCCCGGTCTCCTGGCCTGTCTCCCATCCCCCAGCGAATCCCACAGAGTGTCCATTGTCCCTCCTAGAATCAGTGTCCAATTCGTAGAATGTCTTTGGGCAACGGCGGAAATATTCCTGCGGTGAAGCATCCTTCATTACCTGTCCGAAAACGGGCAGGATGGCTCCCACATTGGGTATCGGCGATGATCGAAGTAGAAGTTTGTTCTTGTTGCCTGTGTTAAAACAAGCAAAAACACGGTAGATCCGATGAACTGATGCTGTTCTGACAAAATAAATAACCCTTCACGCCCTGGAGCTGCTAGCCTTGTTGCTGATGGCGATCTTACTATTGATGCTGTTGTCGTTGCTGTTGCGCTGTCGTTGTCGTCGTTGTCGGCTCTCTTGTTGTCGTCGTTGTTCTGCATGTTTTTTTTGCGTTGTCGTTGTTGTCCTTGTCTCGCTGCCGTTGTTGTTGTGCGTCACCTCATCGATGCACAAATTTGTGTTGTCGCTGTCACGATGGTCATGATGTTATTGGCGTTAATGGCGGCGGCGGTGGTGATGGTGTCAGCGGAGGCCGCGGTGGCGGTGGTGGGGGGGAAGGGTGCTGGTGGTGGCGGTGCAGGCGGTGCAGGCGCTGCAGCGGTGCAGGTGGTGCAGGTGGTGAAGGTGGTGCAGGTGGTGCAGGTGGTGCAGGTGGTGCAGGTGGTGCAGGTGGTGGTGGCAGCGCGCCGCTGCTGTTGTTGTTAGCGTGAAGTTTTCGCCACCTTCAACCCGTTGTGGTTCGGAAAACTTAGGGGCTTAGGGCATGTGGGGGGGGGGGGGACCTTGCCGACGCCTCCCAGTTCGGGTGTGTAGTCCAATTCGCCTCGGCTTCCTGCCGAGAAGCGTGTGGAACCTAACCCAACCCTTCCCCCCATGCCAAATTTTCTGACGCCACCCCCCCCCCCCCCCCCCGCCCTTCCGGACCCCCCCCCAATCCCTTGGAGGAGCTGCAAACCGATGCCGTGGAGGGTCCCGCTTGTCGGTGGCTCCTACAGTCCTACAGGGGGAGTGCCTCAAAAACCCCCCGCACGCCCACCCCACACCCCCACCCCCCCCCCCACCCCCCCCAACCCCCTCCCCCCAACCCCCCCCCCCACCCCCCCCCCACCACCCCCCCCCCCCCCCTCACCCCCCTCCGCCCCCCCCCCCCCCACCCTCTGCCCTTCCTCCCTTTTTTTGCGAAATGGGGCCGGCCCGGCTGCCGAGGCGGCGCGCGCAAGCGTTTACAATTTACATTTCATCACTTCTTGTTGCGGTCCTTTTGAGGCCTCACATTCATCACACCCCTTTGGGGATTTAGGATTTGCCCGTGACAGTCCATTTAGGGCTTGTGCTTGCTGAGCCTGTTCTCCACGATCGAAGAAAGCGTGGCATCGATCCACAGCGGCTCCTCCAGTACATCCATCCACTCCTGGGTCCTGGCGACGGGCTGCTGACCCAGCTCCATGGTGGAAACCTTCAGCTTGGGTCAAGGCAAGCTTGGTTTCTATAAATCGAGAGCTCTCAGAAGACGACGTACTGTCGGGAAGCTCGATCTGCACCTCTGCGTCGACAGATTCTTGACTTGAGGCTCGCTAACCCTTCTCTAGCTCGGGCAGTTTCAGGCCTGTGCCACCGACATCTTGCAAGAAAGCCGGACCGGCCGACACCTTCATGATGCAGAAGAGTGCAACACGACGCACAATGTTCAGGCACCCTCCAAGGACATGGCATCTGTCGTCCTCTTTGCCCAAAGCCCAGAGGTGTCGCTAGATGCAGCCACTTGCCAGGTTCCGGAGTGCAAGGATATCCTGCACGAACACTGTAGCACTGCCAGGCAACTGTCGACATTGGCTCGTACGGCTTCTGAGCTCCAGGCCATTGAGCCGTGCGATTGCAAAGCAAGACATTGCCATCCGTCCCAACCAGCATCGAAGAGCAGGCCTCTACCACGGCTTAGTCATGAGGCGCAGAGCCGTTGGCATTGCTTCAGGATATTTCAAACCACGATTATACCGCTATCAGCAGGTTAGCAGGGTCCAGCAGATGCCGTTTGAGTTCCAGCGCTGGAAGACCTTGCCTGCTTCCGACGCAGATCGCTGCACTGCATGGAAATTCCACGCAGTCCAGCCGCATGAAACCTTCGCACCGGCACCGCAGCGTCAGCCACTGTTGCTGCTCTGTTTGGATTCGGTGCTTTGACAATGGACCACGACGAGCTGATGTACGAGTAGGATCGAACTGGCAAATGGCTTCCAGCAACTGCGGACAAGCCACTGCGGCGCTTGCGACAGGCACTCCGCCTACGCAGCGCCGAACAGGGGCACGGACAAGAATCACGCCCGAAAGAGAACTTGGACGCAGCATCCCTCAGCTGGAACATTGATAACATGCCCCCCTTTACAACCGCAGCTTACATCTGATCACGCATCGCTTGGCTCCTAAGCTTGCTAGTGGTGCTGGCGTCACTACTTACTGTCGATGACGCTGCCCCAAAAAGCTGGCTGAAAAGCAGTCCTCGCCACACTCGCCGTCCCTCTTGAGGCAACTATCCAGTAAAAGAGTTGCACCAGAGATCGACGTCAAGATATGTCACTTGGGCAAACTGACGCAACACAAGACTGGCCGCACCTCGTGAGCACTGGCGCTTAGGGTCCAGTCATTCGCAGCCAACTGATGAACCTCGGGGGGCAATGGCAAAACAACTCCAGTTGCTTCCTCCCGAACCTGAGCCAACTGAGCCCCAGGCTGCAAACTTCTCTTGAAGCCAGAACACGGGCTGCCCTCTCTCCAGCTGGCAAGCCATCCCTGGTCGGATGTCGTGCGCGTGCGAGTAATGGGGGAAGGCTGCCAGACCCTTCAATGGACCGAGGTGACTCAAGACTCAAGTATCGAGAGCCAACAGGCCTTGAGGCTCGAAAAACTGAGGCCAAGGTCCATCGAAGACAAGCTCCAGGTTTTCGTTGGGTGCCGGTTTCGGAACTGGCGGCTTCCTGGAAGATCAGGGCAATGACTCGGTCAGGCAGCGCGGAATCGCGCACTTGTGGGGGACGGCAGGAACGAGGAGAACAGCGCCGACCGAACAGGCAAGTGCACTCAGAAGGCAGCAATCAATGAAGATTGTGAAGAGCGAAACGAATTCATGTGACGGACAACATCTGCTAGGAGAGTGAAAAGGACGCGGAAGCCACATTATCGCTTTAGGCGGCCCATATCGCTTTTCGTACTATGGAACCATGGGACCATGCCTCAAACGGTTGCATTGATTCGTAGTACAAGCCCAGCCGGATTTTCATTCCCCAGAGCATCCCCAAAAAATCCCTGGACTGCCCAACCCAAAGCACTTTCGGAGAATCCGCGGAGTGCCCAGGCTTAGGGCCCCAAGAGTATTTTCAGAGAACCCCCTGGAGTGCAACCCAGAGCATCCACAAAGAATCAACCTCAGAGTATTTGAAGTGAATCCCTGGAGTGTCCACCCACAGAGTATACCCAGAAAAGCCAATTGAGCATTACACTCACCCGTACATGGTTTCGACGCTGCTCTTAGAGATGCATTCTTGGAAAGGTATTATAGGGCACACGCACAGGGCGCTTAGCCTATACCGGGGTACCACTGAGACCTGAAACCGAAATCAGTTGGGGCCTATCCCCAATACAACCAGCCCAGCTGGACCCCTCCCCACACCCCTATTGTTCAACCGCGGTTGGTAAGACACTCCACAAGCTCCCAAGGGCTAGCGTGATTGCAATCGAGTCGCAGGATGTCCACTACGTCAGTAAGCAACCGCAGAACCGTCCACACAAATCCAGCACCTGAGTCAGGCAAGGAATGGCGATGCCTCCCTTCCCGCATGGAAATTCCGTTTTTTAATCACTTGGCAAACTTCAGGAACTTCATGGAACTTCAGGCAGGGTGCTCCAGGCCGCTATCAGAACAAGGCTGCCTTGCTGAATGGTGCTCCAGGGCAAACGCCCAGGCTCCTTGTCCCTTTGCCTGGCGCATTGGGATACATGGGACTCATGCGGCTTATACACGTTCGTCATGAAAGCCACAACTGGAGCTCACCGAACCTGGCACGGTCACCTTCCGGTAGGCGATGTGGATGGAAGCCTCCACCAGCTACCTGCTTGGCTCAGAGTGTTCAGTTAGACATAGGTGAATAGGGCCGAATCGGGTGTGAGGTTTTGGGGGTTGCGCTGCACGGTTCAAGCCTCACTGGGGATGGAGTGAACACTCTGACCGCCACCAACTTCCTTGACTCCAGGAATGCTGGCAAGACATGGGAGGAACAATCCTGGCTCAATGCTGAAGATCCTGTGACCGTCCCCTGTGTTTGCCAACACTTCATGAACATCACTGATTAAGTGCAGCTGCTGATTCGGTCAGTTGCACCGCAGCCTCGCCTTGGCGAGACCGTGCTGTCTTGTTCTCTTGCACCCAGCATATTGGGGAAGGTCAGGCAGTTGCGTCCGCAGCTGCCACTTGCAAGCCGTGCTTTACCGGTCTCTATGCGGTTGAAACCGAGGCTCCGCCACCAAAGCGTGGCTCCTGCACTTGTCAGTGCGAATCTAAGCCCAGTCTCTTACTCTGCGTGTTCTTGCGGCAAGCTTGCGCCATGCACAGGGAAAGCGAAGCGCTGCATCTCCTGCGAAGACGGGCCGCCAGTTTCCAGATCGGGCCTTGGGATTGGGAGATCCTAGAACCTGATGGAGCTGTTTCCTCCACTCAGGAAACTGTCATAACTGCCGTCGCCACAAACATGCATTGTGTGTCTGGTTGCACCGCTTTGCCGAGGCACGGGTTGTGCCACAGGGAGTCCACCTGGTAACGTACAAGGCGCGCATCGAGATCCGAACGCTGCAGCAGCAGAAACGCCACACCTCACTGGAGGCCGTCGACATCGCGGAGCCCGCCGGCCTTCGGGGTCTGGGTCTGTGAAATAGGAGGGATGCCTAGCGACTTAGCACGTGGAGATCGGATTTCTTACGCCAAGGCCCCACAGCCCAATTACAAGATGTCATCACAATGAAGCAGATGTCTGTGCCCGGCCTCGAAGGCTCGGGCAGAACTGAACCGGAGGACGAGGAGGCGACGGATGCGATGGATTCCTTCCAGGAACGAAAGAGCCATGCAATCAGAACGGTGCTCAAAAGGAAGACAACGGAGGAAGCCGAGGAAGCCGGATCGGGCTGAAGCAGTCCTGTTCCTCACGAGCCTGGAACTCGGAAACGAGCATCTGAACCTTTCGAAAGGTTTCCATTTGTCTCCAGAAACCTTCCCAGTACCTCTCCGGGCTCCGGTGGCTGGGCCCCCAGCCATTACTTCCAAGCCTCCGAGCCTCTGCCTGCAAGAGTGCTGAAGAAGCTGAGTGCCGCCACCGAGCTGAAAGGAGCGTAACAAACATCTAGAATGTCTAGAGAATCTAGAGCCTAAGAGTCTGAAAGTGCCTGACTTCGTACATGTCGAGGACCTTTGCTGGAGCTGGCGGCTTTGTCCAAACAACGCTTGAGTCCTCTCGAGACAAAATGTATGAAACAAGTGGGCAGCATTGGTCCATGGGAGGTTCAAAGGCCTCTGAGTTCACTTGGCGATAGAATGGCATACCACCATGCCCGGCAGTGTTCCACTCGAGCTGCACCCAGACCTTGAGTGTCTGCAGTCTGCATCCCAGCAACAACAAGGCAGCAACCGGTTTTGTGTGCTCAAGGTGCGGCCAGCTTGCTGACACATGCTACGTATGGCCGTCCCTTTACATTTTTGCTCAATCCAATGTCAAGTATGTCAAGTGGTCCTGTGGAGGTGCCCTGCATCCAAGCTACATCAGCTGGCTGCTCTGGCTGCGAAACCTCCAAAAAGGGCACGATGCCTCAGCCTAAACTGGACGTGAGGCCTTCCGCAAGCCAGCATCAAGCAAGTCCCAGAGAAAATCTCACGCGCCTCGGCGCGTGCCTCCGGAGCTGCCTCCTGCAGGCTCGCATCCAAGCGGTCCATGAGCTGGCGCATCTCATTGACCACCTGACATCTCATGCTGAGACTCCGGAGATCTGTGAGCGTTCATGAGCGTTCATGCACCTGACTTAGCAAGAGAGTTACAGCATGAACAGGAGCCTCCTTGTCGTATTCGGACATGAGGCTCGCCAGGCCCTCGTGCTCAAAGCAGCCGAGGTCATGCTGCAACTCGGACTTCCTCGGGATGGGAGGGCATGGCACTCTGCCACTCGCAGTCTCCACTTGACTTTGGGCTGTTTCGAAGACGCTCAGAACACGCACCTGTCATTAAGAACTTGCGGCTGAGACACAGCTCCCGGCACTTGCGAGCCTTGCGTTCACACGCGTAGACTGGGTAACACATCACTATGGCCTTGGAAGAGCCGATATGGTTCCAAGCTGCCAAAGAAGTCTTGAGTCCGCGTCGTCCCTCTTCAGAACCGGGACTTGGCAAGAAGGGCACACGGATGTTGTCAGAATGCAATGGCTCCTGGCAGGCTAAAGAATGACCCGAAATCCGTTTCAAACGTTTCGCTGTGCAGTTCACAAGGCGCCTCTTCTCTGACAACGCTGAGGCGAAAGGATGCAGTGGCTCCAGTGGCGGCATCCTAGTTGCGACAACGACTTTGTGCAACTTGTCAAGTTTTTGCGCGCCATCAGACTTGCAATGAGCAACGAAGACTCGGGCACTAAACCCTAAACCCTCAACCCTAAACTTTGGGGTTGTCACGTCTGTCAGGTGCAGTACAAGGCGACAGATCCATGGCTAGCGAAAGCTTGTGGCGCTGAAGGATAAACGTAGCAAGTCCAACAGGAAATCTGCTGGCATAAGATAGCAAGGCCTGCCGCCTCGAGTAGAGTGCAAATCCTGCCTCCTCAGCTGATCGCTGCGTCTGTTGCCGAGTGAAGGAGAGCTCCTGACAGAAAAGCCCCAAGCCCCAAAGCAACTCAAATTCCACCATCTCAAAGCCTCAAAAGCCCGCAAGCCCCATAAGAACCCACAAATCGTGAATCACGGAAGAACCCCCCCCCCCCCCCCCCCCCGGCCCCCACCTGCGGGCTTCTTGCGCTGAGCCACCCAAAAACATCCAAATAGAGCCTCGGGCGCCAAGGCCATTCTAAACTCCCTCTTGGCGGAGGGGGCTTGCTTGTACTGAGGGACTCTATTCAAGAGGATGTCTGAAAGCGGACATCCTAGAACAACCCCCCACTGGGCCGCAGCTTCAGCGTCAGTTGAAGCATCCTAAGCATCTCGCACGTCTGCAATAGCTGGGGTCGCCGCACTGCGCGGAAGGTTGTCGGCAAGGCGATTCCGTTGATGGTCTTTCCCTGGCATGCTGACACACGGTGTCTGATCAGATTCCTGCTTGCTCGTGCTGGTATCTCAACCTCTTGTCGCGAGTTTGTCAAGCAATGCGCAGCACAGACCTGCGTTTAGCTTGCGTTCCATATTGTGGCCATCATGCGGGCCATCATGGTCCATCCGAGTGTATATGTCACACTCTCCAGCCCAAGGAAAGACACAAGGCCTGCGCCCACAGAAGCAGCACCAACAGCCTTGCTGCCAGCTTGCTGCCAGTTGTTGCTGTCAACTGCCAGTTGATGTCACGTCGAGCACAAGTGCACCCGAATGAAGATCCGCCAAGTGACCACACGATGTGGAGAAAGACTGGGACAGGCACCAGGGAATCTCCCAACAATTCTCGGATGGCGCTACTACATCATGCAATGCACAAAACTCACACGCAATGTGGCAAGTGGGAACAGGGGAGCACGGCCACAAACATTAAAACTTAGCAAGCACTTCTTTCTCTTTGTGCTGACAAGGGTCGCAAGTAAGTGTGATCCTTCCTCGGCTTACGGCGAGCTGACAATATCTGAGTATCAGATATGTCTCCGGGTCATGAGGCCTTGTGCGGCTGAGAGTCAACGAGGTCAGAATGAGGCAGATGCCAGCAATGAAAGATGGCAGCCTGTCAGAGTCGATGACTGGTACGAGCATGAGCTGCAAAGAGTGCGGAGCCGAGTTAGCCGAGAGGCGTATTCAAGACCAAAGCCATCACCAGTGACTGGGATGACCTTGGAGTTGGCGACTCAGACTCGCAGCATGCGGTATTGCAGCTTGTCTTGATACCAGAAGCATCGCATCCTGGTCCAAGCCAGGGTCGCGACACGTAGAGGTCCAGTCGAACGAGAAGCGCCGCGCACACGCTGAAGACCAGAACAGAACCTTTGACAGCGCGTTGTGCCCCAATTTAAGGGGCGCCCGTTATCTCACAGCCAGGCGGCACATGCCAGGCAGCACCGACCCGTTCTCCGACACAAAGCCGATCAGGCAGGTGTAGCCAAGTTGCTGCCAGAATGCTGCACTCTTATGGGCTAAGACAGTTTACTGCCATGTGGGCTGAAAGACCTCCCTCCAGCAATCTCTCGCATCTCCTGGTTCCTTTTCTAACTTTTCATATCCGATCCACGAAGGCTTTCATGGACCTTCATGGACCTTCATGGACCCTGTCAAGGCCCTTGCTGCCAGTGCAAACAAGAACGCACCAGGCCTGCAGGAACTGGTTGGTGCCCATGGCCATGCTCACTCGCGCATATGCCTCCGCTATTCGTCAGCAATAATAATCACCCCGCTGAACTTCCCGGAGCCCTGGATCCCGTGTAGGTGTGTAGGATTATTAAGTGCTTTGAGTCGGAATGAAAAGCCATCGATAGCCATCTGCCACGCACTGAAAGAAGCCACCGCGCTGAAGTGCAGAATGCTTGCGGTCATGTGTCTTGGGGTACAGGGTTTCGTGTTTAGAAATGAGGGTTGCCGTGCCCGGGACATCGCTGAATCTGCTGAGGGGCATCATAGGCTTGCCAGTTGGCCTGCATCCGCCGATATAGCTTCCTGAGCAGCACAAAAAACCTTGCAATCCTGCTTCACGATACATCGCGGAAGGAACCCTAAACCCTAAACCGTCTTCAAGTCGGGCACACGCATACCTGGTCAAGGTACACGTGGCTGAGGGTGTCCGTGGCCACAGGCTGCCCTTCGGAGTCTAGCATGGTCTCCTGGGGCACTTCTTCTGGCTGCACTAGCTCTAGAAACACCTAAACCTTAAACCCTAAACCTGTCTCGACTGCCTCTGCTCCGGGGTCACTGGCTGCATCGTTGGAAGCATCGGCGTCTCCTTCCTTGCCAAGGAGCATGGTGAAAGCCAAAATGCGGCGATGCCCGCTGTAAACTGGCGTTAAGAAATAAGTGTATATGTATATGTATATGTATATCTTTTTCTATATCTGTATCTATATCATATATATATATATACATATACGCTGCACAATGCGGGCACAGTCCCGTCCTCCAATCCTGCTTGGTCTACGAGCTTGTGCAGCCTCATCTGCAATGAAAGCTGTGGAAGCTACGCAGCTACAGTATGAGATTTTCAAAGCATAAACGGTCACATTCTACTGGAAGAAGCCTTCGACAGAAAGACCTGGACATGCTGTCGGCACGGCAAAAGGTTGCTGCAGCACAACGCAGGATGCAAAACAAGTCTAGAACACTTCTAGAATCTACACTTGCCTGTCTCAAACAACTACTGTTACTACAGGTGCTGCATCGGCTAGCCATGATGACCTACAAACTCGCATGTCCGCCTGTCCAAATCAGATCTTCAATCACAAGTGGTCAAGGCCCCCGAATCCTGACAGGCCCTACACAGGTGGTGCATAAAAGTGCGGGTGTGTTCCAAGCCAGCCGAGCAACTTCTTCAACTGCTGCTTCACCACCGGAACTCGAAGCATCTCCCTGCACGCGTGCTGTTCAAGCCCCATGCATGGCATCTCAACGACAGGGTGCAGCGTGACGCCGGAGCACAATGCTATGGATTCACCTGATTCACAGCGATCTTCATCCAACATCTGAGAATCTGCCCACGCAGCGCCTTGCCGAAACGCCCTCAAAGTCCGTCGCCAGAACACGGGCTGCGTCCATCTGCTCCTGGCACTTGGAAGGTCAGCATGCTGGACGCAGACGCATGGTAGTTTCTTGACATTGAGACTGCTCTCCAACTGCACAGCGTCTGGATGCCGGACTCTCCGCTGGCGTGGTAACAGTACAGCAGGACTCAGAACTGTCAAAGGAACCATCCTTCTGTGCCTGGCCCGCCTTCGTCCTCACCCCTGTCAACTGCAATCACTACAGGGCTCCAGGCTGGGCCAGATAAACTTCTTATGTATCCAAGAGGGACAGGCTGTCCTTGCTGGGAATGGGCAAACGGACCAACTGCCTCAGAACAGAGCATTCGTCAGCAGTCCCATGTGTCCGGATCTGCATGATCTATGCATGAATGGCCAGGTTGCGTAAGCATCCGCACGCAGAATGAATGGGAACAAATTGAAGCGTGCATTGCAAGCCTCAGCAGCGCTCCACAACATGCATTTTAAAAAAATCCGCAAAAAAGAAACGAATTGTGAGTCGCTGGACGGATCTTCCTGCTGGAAACCCAGCCCTAGTACAAAAAACTCTTGGAATTGGGAGGGAATGGGGGGAATGAGCGGGAATGGAGGGGAGGGGAGGACAGGAGAGAGGAGGGTGAGGAGGGGAGGGGGGGGCGAGGGGAGAGGAGGTGAGAAGAGGGGAGAAGGAGAGGAGGCCTGAGGGAGAGGAGGAGAGGAGAGGAGGAGGGGTAAGGAGAGGAGGGGAGAGGAGGGAAAGAAAGGAAGGGGGTTTAGATTTGGGGCGAAGCACCTAGGTCACTGATCCTTGCGCGGCACCATGCATGAAGTATTGATACAGGTGAGGTTTGCGACATGCACCTTTGCTGTAGCAACGGCACCAGACAGCCACCACAAGCCAAGTAGCCAAATGCACAGGGTTATGTACCTGGGCCGGTGCTGACCGTGCTTTGTCCAAGCACATGTGATGCAGGGCAGGTAATTACAGGTGCATGAATCGGCATGATATGCTTCAATACACTTCGAGTCTTGAAGAACCTGCATAAGGTCCATTTCACAGCAGGGTTTCATAGATATCCATTCCAAGATTGCAAACAAAGGGGCATGAAGGAACCCACACCAGAGGCTGCCCACCTGAGGTAACTGTGTGGCCGCAGCATGCCGCAGCCACTTTGTGATCTCTGCGGCTCTCTGCTCATCACACCGGCCGGGCTGGGTGCCATACGCGACTGATGGAGCAAAGGGTCAGAGGGCCAAAGGATCATCATCTTCTGACGCTGGCTCCCTTGCCCTCAGAATGCAGCCAGGAAGCAAGAAGAGTAGCCATGGAGGAGACACTCCTGGTTCTGGGCGTCCTTCTGTGAAGAGCACCACGACGAGACCAATCTCCGGAGCAACAGGCACGTACAGCACTTGGACCGTGGACCATGGAGATGGCAGGGGCTGAAGATGCTGTCAGCAAGAAAACCGCTTGATTGTTCGACTCTTAACAAGCCGGGCCTGGATCGTGTTGACCTGATGAGCTGGCACATTGCCGGCCAATGCCGTCTTGGGCAACTAGAATCTAGAACCGCACTCTCTGAAGGCACAGGAAACTGATGACACTTCCAGCTTATTGATGCAAGGACGAGCCGCAATTAAGTAGTTGTCCATTTTGGCCACGGTGAGCTCCATCAAGTCACGTATGTCTTCTCTGAAGAGTTCGAACTGCTTGACTCGCATTAGCTGGCCTGGCACTTGGGGGCTTAACAGTCGACCAACATTCGATGCATGCAAACTTGCAAATATATGCTGAAGGTTTGTTTCAGCAGGGGTGTTCAGAGCTTATCCGGGTTTTAGGATATAGGGTTTTGAACTTCTATAGGGTTTGCATGAGACACAGGAAAGCAGTCCGCCTTGGTACTCGCGTTTTATCCTTTGCCTGGGATTGCGACGCTGCGACACTGTAGTGTGTGACCCTCTGAACTCTCTTCCGCGACCGACACTGCATCCCGCTGCCAGGTGAAGCACTGCATCTGTACAGACGGGTGGCTCGCCATCGAAGAAGAAGTTCTCTCTGTTGTAGCCTCCGTGCAGGTTTTCAATTCGCCATTTCAAGCTAACTTAACACTGATCAGGAGCATCTAGACTCTGCAATTTGCTGGTGCGAACCAAAATTTGTCAGGCTCTTGTACAAGATCCCAGCAGCCCCGAGTCTTCTACATTCCACTGTCATGGCTCATAGAGCTCCATTCCGGGCACACCACACACACACAACAGAAGCAAAGAGGTGCATTATGGTGCATTCCTCCCCCTGCGGCTGAACGGCTGAAAAGGCCGAAGCCAAGCCCCGCTGCAAGCGCTTCCATGGTCCGCCTGGAGCATGTTGGGGTCTACGCGGCTGCGAACTCACACTTGCTGATACAACTATACCTATCATACCTATTAGCCTATTGAGACCGCGATAATTCTCATGATGCATGTTACTACTCCGCAAACGTAGTGAGACTGTAGCTGCTATAAGTGTTACAACTCTTCTGCACAGTTATGGCTGCTTTCGCGAGCACGACTACTTCTGGTACATTCATTTCTGCTATGTCTATAATGGCAATACTGGCAATCAGAATCAGACGAGTAATTCTGGCATTTACTACTAGTAGTGACCGACAGGAGAATAATGAAAGTAATGAGAGAAATCAGAGTATTGAGAGTAACAAGAGTAATCAGAGTACTCAGAGTAATCAGAGTAATAAGAGTAATAAGAGTAATAAGAGCAATAAGAGTAATAAGAGTAATAAGAGTAATAAGAGTAATAAGAGTAATAAGAGTAATAAGAGTAATAAGAGTAATAAGAGTAATAAGAAGAATAAGAGTAGTAAGAGTAAAAAGAGTAGTAAAACTAGTAAGAGTAGGAAGAGTAGTAAGAATCATAAGAGTAATAAGAGCTGTAAGAGTAGTAAGAGTCATAAGAGTCATAAGAGTCATAAGAGTCATAAGAGTCATAAGAGTCATAAGAGTCATAAGAGTCATAAGAGTCATAAGAGTCATAAGAGTCATAAGAGTCATAAGAGTCATAAGAGTCATAAGAGTCATAAGAGTCATAAGAGTAATTACCGGAAAATTCGTAATAGTAATAATCATGGTAGTAGTAATAATAGTAATCTTATTTCTGGTTGGTGAAAAACAATTCATGGTACTCATGGTAGTCCTAATTGAAAATGTGAATCATGGTAGCTGATCGGAGTGTATAGCCATTGCTATTTTGTATTGGTACGAGTACTCGTGATGGCAATAGCAATGGTAATCGTCTTCGTCATACTACAAGCAATCGTAGCAGGGATAGTAGAAGTAACGATAGTAAGAATAGTACGAATAGCAAGAATCTTAAGGAAACTGCGATTACCATGATTCTAATTACAACTGTTACCATTACGATTGTTACAATTCTTACCATCATTACTATCATTCCTATTATTACCTCACTATTATTACTACTATCTACCATGACTATTATTAACATTATTACTATTATTACTATTACTACTACTATTACTATGATTACTATTATTACTATTATTACTATTATTACTATTATTACTATTATTACTATTATTACTATTATTACTATTATTACTATTATTACTATTATTACTATTATTACTACTATTACTATTATTACTATTAATACTATTATTACTATTATTACTATTATGACTATTATTACTATTATTACGATTACTACTATTATTACTATTATTACTATCATTACTATGATTACTATGATTACATGATTTATATTGCTATTATTATTATTGCTATTAATTGCTATTATTACTATTATTACTATTATTACTATTTACCATTATACATTATTATTACTATTATATTACATTATTACTATATTACTATTATTACATATTACTATTATTACTATTATTACTATTATTACTATTATTACATTTACTATTACTTACTACTTACTATGATTACTATTATTAATATTATTACTATTATTACTATTATTTACTATTATTACTATTTATTACATTTATACTATTATACTATTTACTATTATTACTATTATTATATTACTATTATTACTATTACTATTTATTATTATTACTATTATTACCATTATTACTATTAGTATTTACGATTTATTACTATTATGTACTATACTATTATTACTATTATTACTATTATTACGATTATTACTATTATACCTTTATTACTATTATTACCATTACTATTATTACTATTATTACTATTTATTTTATTTATTAACTATTATACTATAATTATTATGAACTATTAAGGACTATTTGACTATTATTACTATTACTATTATGACTATTATTACTATTATTACTATTATTACTATTATTACTATATTATTATTACTATTATTACTATTATTACTAGTATTACTACAATTACTATTATTACCATTATTATTACTATTCCTACGATTATTACTATAACTACTATTGTTACTATTGTTATTATTGTTACTGTTATCACGACTATTACTACTAGTACTACTATTACTACTACTACTACTATTACTACTATTACTACTATTACTACGATTGCTACGATTACTACTATTACCACTATTACTACAAGTACTACTATTACTACTATTACTACTATTACTACTATTACTACTATTACTGCTATTACTACTATTACTACTATTACTACTATTACTACTATTACTACTATTACTGCTATTACTACCATTACTACCATTACTACTATTACTCCTATTGCTATTCTTGCTGTTATGACCGAGCCTGCAGTAGGTTTGGCAATGCCTGGCCACCCATGAGGCGGCAGAGCTGCACGGATGAAGCCCCTTCAAGCTGTGGGGTGAGTCATGACTTGTTGGCGTTAGAGTGGGAGTACAGAAGATCTGCGCACGCGACTCGCTGATAGGAGTCTTTAGCATGCGGGTGTGGCGAACTCTGTCAAATTTACCCATCTGCTAGGAATGTAGCGCGCTGACTCCTATCTGGATCTGGGCTGTGTCATGCTTTGAGCATCATGGGTGGTGTGCTGTGCAAGTTGTGGAGGCGTGGACAAGCTCAAGGTGGCGAGATGCACCTTGACGTTGGGAACATGGCTTCGCCAGTCAGCTTAGATCTGCATCCGCCTGGGCGAAGCAGCACCTGCCAGTCAAAGCAAGAATCAGCGTTGCAGTAGCAACTGCAGTCTCGACCCGCATCGTTCAACAAGCTCTGACCGCCCTATCTACTCAAGACCGGACATGTGATTTGGAGCCATTTCTCGCGAGGGGCACAGATCACGACTGGCGCAGTAGAAGCTTCGCGTCTTACCACCTGAAATCTCCATTGAGCCTCTACCATACTTATGAAGCCGACCATGGAACCCACCAAGGCCCATCAAATCCGTCTGCAATCTAGCATCAACGTTGTTAACGTCGATGCGATGGTGACACACTCCAGCTTCAAGAGCCGAACTAATTAGACTATTTGGAAGTCGTTCTATATTAGGGCGCCTCCCCCTATGGCATACTACCAAACGGGACTCCAGTGTTTTTTTTAGAATCACCCGCTGCCCAGGATGCAGTTGTGAGCTGGAAACTCAGCGCCAACTTGCTAAGCTGGCCCTGGCATGCCCGAGCTCAAGGGACATCCTGGGCAACAGGACTGCTAGCTTGGATAGGAAGAACATGAAGAACTTCCGTGCCCCTGATGTTTCTGATTGCCTGCGTTGATTCAGGTCCGGGCACTGTTGGCACCGCTCTCCTGCCGCTCCGCAGCATTTCTGAACGCATGGAGGCAGAGCAACAGCAGTCCTCCAGACGGCGTGAACCTCTTGCCGGCAGACCCTCCCACAGAAGTTGCCTGCAAAAGGACATGAAGCATCATCGCGAGCACATGAAGCTCCTTCAACCAGCAAAGTTGGCTGAGCATCTGGCAGTTCTCCTCGGCCTTCAGCAAGTATTATGCCCGGATGCAGCAGCTGACAGATGAACACACTGGGCAGGCGGCAAAGGGAGAGCACGACGGTTGTCCCCAATGTTCCAGGAACCAGGTACAGCAATGCGGGCTGGCCTCCATACGAAATGACGACTTTTGAAGCGGATGCGAGTAGAATCAGGAGGGTTAGACAAGAATACAAGCCAGTGTTTCCCATCTTCATGATCGACAAGGCCACGATGGTGGCCTGGGAAGCAGGCCAAGTCTGAGAGAGAAGTCAGTTCTTAAGAATTTGCCGGTTTTCCCGAAGTCAGACTGAGCTCAAGGACGCAAAGCCCGCAGAAGTACCCCAGCAAGGACGGCGCAAAGTAGCCTGAATCAAGCCATCAGGCTCTCTAGACAGCATCCGAATTATATCTCAGTCAGAGGTAAGGCCTTCCCAAAATGTTCGGTGGCTTGTGAGATCGTGTCTCCGGAGATAGGACACCTCGAGTTCCGAGGGCACTTGGGCCGTTGAGTCAAAGAAGCTCCCTCGCTTCTCTGCCGCACTTGAGTGTCGCTCTGCATCTTCTCAGAATCCCAGTGCAACTGAGCTGCCAGAAGCCCTGGCAAGGCAATGTCGCCAAACCTCAAGGGATCCATCCCCAAAGCACAGCGCCTCCAGACTTGAAATTCAAATCTCAGCCGCGCGCCCCAGCATGCGATCACCGCCAAGGGGGTCTCCAAACTGCGGTATCCTGCACAACATGCTGTGGTGCCTACATGATACTCGGCGCCAAAGCCCCCGACAGCTTCGCAACCGCCATCATGCACTTTCGCTGTCCTGATCAGCATCGGCACTGTTTCTCCAGTCCCGGCGCCAGTGGCCACGCTGACCATGACGCTCTGCTTGAACTGGTGCACTGAAATGAAGACCTTTCCCGGGCACGAGCGAGCACAACAGAGCATCTGGAAGGGGAAGCTGAAAGCGGTCCCTGGGGCTGTGACCCAGTAGATGTCGAAGAAAAACATCGCTACTAGAAGCACGCTCGCCGTCTTGAGGTTGGGCAACCTGTACCGAGCGTGTCAAAGAAGGTGGAAACCTGTTGTACATTCAACTGTGGTGTAGGAGAGGGACCTCAAAGTCCGCTGCATCCAACACAGAAAGCCAGCGCCGATGATGTCCTGGCGAGCTTCACGTGGAGGCCAGGCTCCAAGGAGGCTCATGCTTGGAGTCTTATAGAGGTATGTAATCTCCTGGAAAGGCCAGCCGTACTTCGTATTTCTCAGGACGAACCAGCACCTCAATTGTAGCTGAACACCCTCCTCAGGAAGTGCCAGCTTCTTTTCGGTCTCCGAGAAGGGGCAAGAGTAGCTGGGGCAAGCACACGGCCAACGTCACCGCTGGCGCGGCCGCAATGCACTCGGCCTGGCTGGGCTCGGTCTTGTGTCGGGTGACTGCTGCTAGACACTGCTAGTGTTGCAGCTGCGAGTGTCATCCGGACTTCATGGGCAGAGGAACGGTGGCTTAAAAGAGCAAAGTTGAAGGCAATGCATCTGATCTTCCCCCCTCCCCCCGTCCGTTTCTACCCGACATACAAACTACGACAAAATCTCCTTGACTACAACACCCACAATGAAGCCCAGAGTCGCGACTGACACTCCTTCCATTCTCTCACACTGCACAGCGTCTCTGCACAGACGTTAGGCACGACAGACGTCTCGAACGAACTCAATTCCATGGCATCTTGGGATGCTGCCTCGGTAACTGGACCTAGTAGGGGCAGGTCCACGACCCGCTGCTTTAGTCTTGGAACCTTCAGCAAAAGATCAGCGACAGCTGAAAGCAAGTCCTGTTCGGTTCAGAACTGTCTGGGTCCCATGCATAGTGATGCAGGGACATGGCAATGAACTGTGCAAGGCAGAGCGCACCACCTGCTGGCGAATGCTCTCACAAGGCGGCCAGGTGAAATTTGCCTGTAGAGAATTTGGTGGCGAATCTAAGCAGGAGGCCAACGCAGAAGCTAAACATGATCACGTAGATCATGTACTTCCTTGGCCCAGCTGACAGTGGAGTAAGACGCAGGAGCCACAGGCTCCAGAGGTATCACAGCGCAATGATTCAATGAGTTTCAAGACTGCGGCATGAAGAAGAAAAGGAAGACGAGCATTGCGCTTCCAACGATGCAAAAGCTTCCAGCCTGAGTCTATGTTTGCAACGTCGGCATACGGCAGCATCACCGCATCACCACTCACAGGCGACAGAGTGGAGCTAAGGTTGTACAGCTCTCCGCTCGAATCAGGCTCCTGCCATCAACGTGTCAACTTCTTGCACTTCCTCGGCCCTGGGGCGCGGCGGTCACTGGGCATGCTGTGCAACGCTTGCGACCCTTATCTGAACTGAGCCAAGTCTGCAAGTATGCGAGACTACGCGAGGCCCATGGGAGCCACACTGCGCACCGAGGCTCCGGCTGTGGCGCGATGGCCGAGCCAAAGCCCGTCTGCCGCATGTCAGCGGTGGAAAAGAAAGTGCCAGCCTCGCAACATCTCGCAACGCAGCGGCCTCTCTGCTAGCAGCTCCACGCAACAGGGTTGTGGGGGGGTTTGGAACCGTGAGCCGCTTCAGATCCCAGGGACGGTTTGCAGAAGCCGCGATCGTAAGATAACACCTCACCTCAGGCCCTGAACACCTGTTGCTTCAATCTAGCTTCCTCTGCTTTCTCGAGGTGCTGGCGGCGACCAAGCCGGTGGCGATGAGTATCAAAATAAGTTCTGACCTGGCCCCGCAGCTCTCAGAGCAGCTCCATTCCAATATAGACAATGACAATGATAACCATAATAAAACATGATATCCGGTGCAATCATCATGATGTCATGGGGTTGCTGAACACCCTTGCTTAAAGTCAAGCCAAAGCCACACATTCATGACCGAGGGCTCATAGGCCGTCACCGAAACCACCTTGAGCGCCCGTTGCTGCTACTTGTCCCTACCCAAGATCAAGGTGGAGTTCTCAGGTGCCGACCACCGGCTCAGATTGCAAGGACCTGCCAAGCGCCAAACGCTGAGCGCAGATTCTGCCGTCTTTCTGTCACATTATGCTCTCTATATATATATATACACTAAACAATATATATGTTTATATACATGTATATATCTACATATATATGGAGCGGCCTGAGCTCCTTGGCCACCTTGTCACCCATGCTCTTGCCGATCGCCACGGCAAAGATCTGGACCTTCTTGTAAGGCCGGGACATCTCTAGGACGGCGACAGAATCAAGTGGCCGGCACCTGCCTCGTTGTCTATCGCAGAATTGTTTCCTCCCATTGTGATCACCTGACAAGTTAACTTTGACAGTCAAGGCGGCAAGAAGAAATGTTTGATTACCTGGTCTGTGTCGAAGGCTACCAAAACGCCAGCAGCACCTTGCACACGTAATTCGAAAAGTGACAAACGACTTCATAAACGACACGTGGCAACGCACGAAGCCCGAATCTGCACCTGCTTCTTGTGCCTTCAGCGCCTGTCTCCAGCAACCAGCAGCGAGACATGTGCATGTCGAAATGGCCGAATGACAGCAAGGCAGGGACAGCGCCGACATCACCAGAGATGATATCTTCACTGGCCTTCTCTACAAACGTGCAGTTGAATCGCCGCACCTCGGAATGCCAGGTCAAGTTGCAGGATGCAAAGACACAACGCAAGATGCAACAAACAGAGCAGCGCTGATTGTGGACCCTCTGAAGTGGAATGTACAGACTTGCCTTTCACATGAGGCAGGGCGTCCCCATCTGCAAAAGGTGTGAGGCAGGCGCCAAGCTTATGACTTTCCTGCGAGGAGAGCGCAGGTTGCGCGTGGCACCATAATGGTTTCACTCCGACAGGTGCCTCGATGATGATGGAAGCTGATAGCTTGAGCAGCCAACAGCATCCTCTGCAGGAGGAACCTCAGCAAAAGAAAAAAAAAAAACAGACGCCATCACAACCCAGATATCACCGCCATCCTCTTCAAGGGATGAAGGACTGGGACGACGCTGGCGGTGGGATTCCAGGGGTGCAACGAGAAGTAACATCTAGTTGCTCTAGTTGCACCATGTGAGATTAGCCAAAGTAGTGGCTTCGGGGTGGGGATGTTCGAAGTACTGAGTACACATGTTTGTACGTTGTTTTGTGCCGTCGGCAATGGTCGCTGGAAAGAAAGGGAAAAATGCAAGAAAGGAGGCAAGGAAGAAAGAAAGAAAGATCCCTGAACAAAACCCTAAATCAACCCTAAAGCCTGAAACCTCAAAACCCTCGACCCCGACCTGAACCCTAGAACCCACTACCCTAAACCTTGAGCCCGGAAACCTACATCCCAAGCACTAAAGTTGGCAAAGCCAAAAACAATGAAATGACATAAGAATTAAAAGTAATGCGCAAATAATGGTAAGTGTACAACGATGCAATATTCTGTCCGAGGAGGCGGGCGCTCCCGGGATTCTCGTCAGCCGGCATGGGCACTCCAGTCACTCCCCGTGTTCTCTGCGGTTTACTCCGTGGGGTTCTGTGCGGGTGGGGAATACTCTGCGGCATTGTCTGCAGGGCATTGGTCGGGGGGTGGGCACTCCAAAGATACTCTGCGGGAGACCCAGGCGAATCACCGAAATAAAGCCTGACAAGTTGTAGAAGAATAACAACTCGCAAGCCGAATCGCCACACTGTCCCTCACACCCGATTGCAAGGATTTACATTTCGGTAGCGTCCTTGGCCTGCTGAAGCAATGTTCCGGCACAATTGAACGCCTGAGCCTCCTTGGCCTGCGTGTTAACGCAACATTCTTGTACAGTTGCCCACTTGTCCTGTTTCTTGGCAACATGTCGGTAAAATTGCCCGGCAAAATTGCTCGCCTGAGCCTTTGTGGCCTGCTTGTTAGGCAACATTCTGATACAATTGCCCGCCTGAGGAAAAAGTCTGGCACGGTTGCCCGCCGGAGAGTCTTTGGTCTAACGGGCCTGCGTGCTACGGCAATGTTCTGGCACAGCTGCCTCCTCCCGGACCGCCTAGTTGTGCGCCTTTTGTCCTGAATGTTGTACTGAGACCTGTACTGCCTGCTGTCCTGAGCACGTTGCATCACGCGTGCCACTTCTTCGTTACAGTCTAACAACCCCACACTTGTCGGGTGGAGAATGGCAATAACACAGGAGCGATTGCATGTCATTGTCAAACTCAGTTTATGCGACATTCGTCTTCAGCGTGTATACAGGCACAATACCTTGCGCACCCATCTTGTGAATTCCTAGATTTCAGCACGCCCGCTTAAATCGCTCAAACAAGCCTAGTTTAAGCACAACTAGGCATGTTAGCACGGTTCTGTATGAGGAACCGTACATAAAGCAATATATATCGTACCGGGGGGGGGGGGGGGGCGGGAATCTGCAACTTCAACTCCGCAGATGAATCCTGAGCTCTAAACCGATGGTGATGGGCCAAGGGCGCAGGGCGCAGGTTTGCATGTAAAAGGGTGGACAAGAATAAATAGCAACCCAAGTGAACACCAGGCTGTGGGGTTCGGAATTCGTCCGGGATGCGTCACTTCGTGGCACGAACCCCCCCGGACACCTCGCTAGTTGGAAGCTACCGGTTGAAGTAGGCAACTCCGCTAGCCCGGAGGTTAGCTTTCGTGACATTCCAGGGCCGCGGCTGCTATCTCAAAAAGTTCTCCATCGGGAGCGCTGCCACCAAAGGCACCGAAGACCCTGTGCAGAGGAGAGCGAGTTCACGGGGGGGACTGCTTGGCACTCTGTGCGCCCCTGACACCTATATCACCTATTCACACACAACTACGAGTGCCATATGGCCACAGGGGTCCCGGCCCCACGAAATCGCCGGACAGATCGGCTGGCTGCTTTACCTTCAATGGACAGAATCAAAAGGCTATACCCGGGGCGGCCTCAACGAAAGACGTAATGCGGTCTCCCTCACGATCGCCAAGACTGAGGGCTGCGCAGACATTACGGCAATCTTAGCTGCCTGTAGCAGGGCTGTCCCCAAGCTCTCTGCTATGTGGTCAATATGTGGTCAGTGGGACATTCGGACTCTTCGTCAGGTCTCGTGAATCTTGGCATCGGGCCACGCTCCGTAGCAGCCTCGTGATCAGTGGCTCAAAGGTGAAGACATGGAGGCGTCACGGCGGGTACGGCTTGCGGCATCTTTGGGCGCTCAGAGGCCAGCAAAGCCACCCAAAGGCGCAAGCCATGGCGGCACATTGGCCGCCTCAAGTCACAATTGCTCTGCAAGTAGATGCACCAAGACTCTTCATACTCAGGTCCCAGCCAGGGGTCCACCGTATCTGCACCCCCAATAGTTAAAAGCAATTTGAGCCAGAGTCTTCCAGACGGCCGTCGTTCTCTCGGCTCTGCGTCTCACTTGCTATGGTCGGCACATGTCGTTCGAGCTGCATTTCGGAGGGCACCGCACCTGAACCGCAGTCCCCCACGTCTGTCATCAACGACCTGGCAAGATTGCTCGGACTCTCCCCCCCTGCTTTCCAATCTGTCATGAACTGATGCTCGACATGTCAACGGAAGACAACTGTTTGCGAGTGAATGCAAGTGCACATTGTCAGATCCAGCAGCTGTTCATCAACAGCAGCATTTGCTGCAGAATCAACAAGCTGCAAAGACTTCAAAGACGGAGCACAGCGCCCAGCGACTGCGCATGAGAGGATCAAGCTGAAATTCTCAGCCTGTGACTGAATCTGAACAGAAGATACGCAGTTCTGCTTTGAAACTGCGTGGCCACTCACTCTTCGTCTTGAAACACGCAACGATGACACTGAGCGGCAGCAGATAGTGATACACAACACGCTTTGATTGAAGCTGTGTAACGCATGCTTTCCAGATCACATTCAGGAAGGGTCCAGGCCCTGCTAGCTTAGCTCACGCTGACGCTGCCTTTCTGGAAAGCACACGTCTCATTTTTCAGGCACCGAGTGGCGCCGCCCCGGTCTACCACAAGCTTCAAGAAGTATCTGAAGTTGCCCATCGGTATCTTCATGTGTCTTTGTACTTATTTGCCTTTGGGTTCCGGGGACCGTCCGGGGGACCGGGAACTGGCATCACAGCGCCTCTCAGCGCACCCTGAGTGCACCAATTATGGGAAACATGCCAGATCATTTGCGGAATTTCCTTTTCCGTGTTTTCAACCATCTCAGTACAAGCTGCAGCCTCGCAGAAACAAGCACCAACGTGGGAGAAATGCCTCGAACCACCACTCAGTCTGCCAACATGACAGCAGCCAGATTCGCGCACCTTTTTGCCGGCTTGCCGAGCTACCCAAGCGTGATAGCAACGCAATCACACAGCGTCATGCGATCCCTACATATCACAGCTGACTGTGGCAGCTGACCACGGGTGTCCTGAAGTCGCATACAGTCGCAGACTCGCAGAATCCGGCTCTCACGCACAGCTCTCTCAGATTGCCAGGCCGTTCAGCTGAAGCATGGCCTGGTCATTCCAGGCGCATAGTGCTTTTGACCTTATGGAGGCCTAACCCCTGATAAGGCCTCAAGCCTGAATCGCCAAAGCTTGCGACGTGGGCCAACCGGCTTCCTTTATGACCTCTTGCTGTTTGAGTTGCCTCCGGCTTGCACTTCAGAGACGTGGTGTAGTGTTGGCGACAGGCACAGGCATGAAATGGCATAAAGTGCAATCCTACTTACGTGGGCTGAAGTGTAGCTCGAAGGCCGACATGCCTAAATTGCCTACCTTCTTCATGGTTCATAAACCCACCCTGTCCAGTCTCAAGCTCTGGCTACTGCCCATAAGCAGAGCTCACTTCTTCCAAGCTTCAATCGCATGTCGCGTCTTTTGGCCAGCACACGTCGCTGCAGCTTGAGACCTCGGCCGCGGCCTTCGAACTACCGGCCATGACCTCAACGGCCATGATGCAGCACCATGCCACACATTGCCACACGACCAGGCAACGTGCAAGTCAACGGCCAGCCTACAGTTCGATACAATTCCGCTTCAGCACGATTCACCGCCAGTCCGGAGTACTTTCCACACTTTCCCCCTCTGGGTGTTTTTAGGAAGCCTCAGCCAGCCTCCGTTTTGAGAGGGAAGGGGTTTGGCCTGGCAAAGTGTCGGGCGTAGACGTCGCTCAGCTCCACCGGGCCGACGGAGGCTCTCTCCCTCGTGGTGTCGTTGCAGAGCTCCATGCTCAAGGTGTAGGACTCCCGGAGCTTGTGGGATCGAAGTTGGCATTGGACCCTCAGTTTGTCCATGGCAGATGCTTTGAGTGGTCTGCTGAGCATGAAGCGGCAGTGTGCCCAGACCGTCAAGGGTGCGGCTGGAGACGTGGACAGCACGGGCACTTCACCGACTTCGCCCATACCGTCCCCAGAGAAGATCGCGTCCCACCAGCCACAAAGGCCATCAATCAAAGCATCTTTGGAGCGCTCAGGGAACTTCAACTCGAAGTCGATCTTTCGCCAGTCCTCCACATCCTTTGGTCCCGCAAGGTCCAAGAAGTGGCCCGGCGAGTCAGCCGGGGAAACCAGGAGCTCATTGGGGTCCACGATGTCAAGGACCAGCTCCTTCATCTGCTGCTCTACAGCCAAAGGCAGCGCCGAGGTGAGGTCGAAGCCCATAAAGTCATCGTTCTGCCAGAAGCCATGCCGTGCACGAAGCTCGGCACCTAAGCTCGGGTCCTCGAAGGGCGAAAGCTTCAGCCAAGCTGCGGCCGGCAAAACCAGGCCTCCGGGCTTCAGAAAGCGTTTCACGGCGTGGGTCACAGCCTGCAGTCCGAGTTCTCCCACCAGAAAGTGTGAGAAGAGCTCGGACACGATCACGTCTACTTGCTCGACCTCCTCGACAGTCACATCCTCCAAATGCTTGGGAATGACCTCCACGACCCCTGCGTAGCCATTGGCGCGTGCAAGGCGAGAAGCCACCCGTGCAATCTCCGGCGAGCCCTCGACTGCATAGACCTTGCGGGCACCGTGCTTCGCAGCAAGGAGGGCAAGAATCCCAGATCCCGTGCCGATGTCCATGACCGTGGCGCCTCTCAGCTTCGGCGCCGCTCTGGCAAGTGCCGCGTCGTAGGCCTCGTTGCGCGCGGAGTCTCGCAACATGCCCTCGTGATTTTTAAGCTTGCCATAGTAGTGGACGTAGCCGTCAATGCGGGAGAAGCCGCGATGGAACCCCGAAGGGGACCCCAAGAAGCCAGTGCCACTGAGCCTTCCGAGCTGTACTAACCGTCGCCCACAGGCAGCCATGGGCGTCAAGCTTGAGCAAGGCTTCAGCTAGGAGTACATTGAGACAGTTCGGGTCGTCGAGCGTCATCCATGCAGACGTTGAAACATTTAACAGTAGGTACGACTAGCAATCTGTGTGATGCATGTATGTGCACATATTCGACTTGTTCTTTCGAATGCATCGAACCTGACGAGCAAGAGCCTAGACCTTCCGAGAAACATGCAAACATTGAGAGCTTGACTTGCAGAGGTCAAAACCAAGCTTCCTCGCCTCGCGGCTCTGCGGTGCTGCACCAAGCTCGGCCGCGTGAAGCAAGGAAGCTCATCCGAAGCTCATCCGAAGCTCATCCGAAGCTCATCCGAAGCTCATTCGAAGCTCATTGTTCGTGTGGCTCACAGTTGCCCCTCGATGCAGGATGCTCCCCCTAGTTCATGTGTCTTCCAAGACTTCCAAAACGAGCCAGTCGTCAGCGGACATGCCCATTCTGAGCCGAAACGACCCTTACAGCCACGCTGCGAAGAACTAACAAGAAAAGAAGCTCGGCTGGTTGATAACCCCTCGCCTTCGGCGTAGGCACTGAGACCCTCTCTCAGCCTTCGCCACTGGGGCATTTGGTGGCACTGCAAGCGGACCACACGAAGAGTCGCTTCAAAAAAGTGCTCTGGGGCTTCAGCCACCGAATCGCTTCTACCGAGGCCTTAGGCAGGGGTAAGGACGAGAGAGAGCGCTCTGGCGTTCTCTGAGGAAATCAGACCATCGCGGGATCTGCAATGCTGCGAGTCTCAATGCCATTTTCTTCTGGGCAGCCGCACCGAGGCTGAGAAGACTCATCGCAACCACGTGCCACCATTTTCCGAATCTCATCTGCGAAGATGATGCCTCACCGAGAAATGGGTGGCTCGGATGCCCGGGTAGCGCGAGACTGCGCAGCCGCTCGCAAGCCGGGCACGCTGCCAACAAAGGCAATGCAAGGAAGTATAACAGCTCTCATCGGTATCCAACCTCCCAGGATCTTGCACAGGAGACTGCACACGGGATGGCTTGATGCGTAATCTGCCTGTCTTAAAGGCAGACTGAATGGGTGGGCAGTAGATGGCGGCCAGGCCCATGACCACCTGCAAGGCCAAGATTCGGATATTGGCCCCTGTGAACGTGTGTGTTTACGTTGCGTGTCTCAAACACTCCATTCATCTGCTCTGTCACCCAGGGCCTCCCCAACAAACATCAGGTTCAGGGTGTTGTTCGGAAAGCAGTAGGGCGTGGTGCCCAATCCAAAAACCTCGTGACATAGGTTTACTTGTATGGCATGTCCTGTGCCGGCAACATGCATTGCTGTCCAACACTGAGCCACAGACGCTCTGCATCTTTGTCGTGGTCGACACAGCTGCAGCCTGACTAGCCCCACATCTGCAACTTCCATGAAAAAACTCTGCATGCGTCCCTCTGCAGACTCTGATTGACGTGCAAGCACGCGTACAACTCAGGGCAGCGGCAATCTGCCCAACCACAAGCGTCCAATAGTAGACGGTCATGCCCATAGTGTCAGTGTCGAAGTCCTGCATTTCAGGCCAAGTCCGGGGGAAGACTCAACAAAGCAGGACAAACCACCCTGTTCCCAAGGCAGCCTCGACTGCGTAGTCGTTGGGGCTCTTGCCGGACATGTACAGATCCCACATTCCGGGAGTCGCCTGGCCAGTCTAGCCGCTCGGCACCATGAGAGCCCTAATCTTGCATCCCAAGCCCCTGGCCCAGAAGAACATCAACCAACAGAAGAGCATCTGGAGCTGCCCAATGTAACCGTAGCTGTAGACCAACACCTGGCAGCAGAGGCAACTTCTCACGGGTTTTGGCCCATTTTTGCCCATTTTAGTCCACAGCTGTGCCAAGTGAGCTGAGGAGTCTTCGGAATGGCCTTGCAGTTCACCATCTTCTCATAGCGGGGATGCCTGGGTTGCCGCTCCATCAACTTGGACCTCGGAACAAGCGAAGCAATCGTACCGAAACATGCTGAAATGCCTTGTGCTCTCCTCTCTCGCTTCCCGTCCCGTCTGCGTCCTTATCACCGTGGTCTTAGTGCCCTGCTCAGCCGGTTGCAAGGCGTACGCGATGGCCGTCCTCACCGACACACGTGGGTATGGAGGTTCTCACTCCGGTGGTCTCCGGCAATCTGAGTGACTACCCTGCGAGGGCTGTCCAGATGTCTGTACCGATGTCGATGAGAAGCACTTGTGCCACTGTCAAGGCCTTCCCGCTGCAAGGTGCCCAGGTCTCAAGTCTGCGTGAAGGGCTGCTCGGCGGCTGATATGGTAACTAGTAGAAGTTTCACTTGCACCTGCGGAACTCCGAACAGCTCCCCGAAGGTTGGCGCGACCTGCGGGACCTGAGCGCACAGGCTCGACGCAAAGGCTCCTGTTGCCGAAGTCCGCAGCAAAGCCATCTCCCGACTACACCTGGTCTGAGCCCAATGAGCACAAGACCTTGGAGCACAGTGTGTACATGATGGACTTCTGGAGGTTCTCACTCGACAAACGTCCTGCCAAAACAAAAGCAAATCAGTATTCACACTGCTCTTAACTGCTCTGCCATAGAGTAGGAGAGATTAGGCAGCAATGCGTCAGCAACGCTGACTGTCACATCATGGCGTACTGGTAGCACTTTGGCGACGACATGCGTCTTACGAGTACCACCGCTCCACCTGGAGCCCGGAACATTTGTTGTTGGTTTTACGCCAACTCTGCATGTTGAGCAGAGAGGAAGATTTCTGGACGGCCGGTCCTTGCTCCATTCCCTTCACCACGGACGAAAAGTTGTCATCGTGCAGTACAATGTCAGAAGCATCCTCAACGCGCTCAAAAGTTGCACAGGGCTTTGCACAGCTGACTGACTTCAGCGATCGGCCTTGGCAACTTCAGTACCGCGCTGACCCATAGCGACGCCGACCTGAAACTCATGGCTCCACCCACTTTTGTTGGCCAGCGAATCTTTGCGAGGATGCGCAGCTGTGCTAACAAGCAACTCCACCAAACTCAATGCCTCTCTTCTCATCTTCGTGTTCCCATGCTTGCGTTGGCTCCCGCCTCCGCTTGCTTGAGGGCTGGGGCATCATTGACACCGTCGCCCGTCATCGCCACGATGTCGCCAATGCCATTGTAACCATACTTCTGGTAAGCCTGCACGGGGGACTCATGAAAGCTGCCTTGACTGGCTTGAACCCGCAAGCTCACGAGCTTCATCCCTAAGGCCCTATGCTTATATGTCATAGCTCACATCTCACAACTCTCAGGAGCCTGAACGATGACCTGCTTGTGGATCGGCGAGACGCGGGCAAACACCCGAGTGTGCTGCACGGCCTCCGAGAAGGGCAGGCTTGGATAGGCTTGGTATAACGTCGCCGACGGGTCTAGCATGGTCTAGCGCTGCAAGGTCATGAATTACGATTGAGCGATAGAAGTGCGATAGAGTAGTATTCGGACAGGCCTTTCTCCACCACTTCACATTATCTTCGGGCTCCTCATCTGTGAAGTTGTCACCGCGTGGGATGCGGCTATCCAACATGACCTCAGCAGCAGACTCCAAAAAAGCTGACGTGATCTTCAACCCTGTTGTGTTGCAACCGTGTCTAGTGGACACTCTTCTACATCATAATGTCTAATTCAGTGCGTACAAGTTCTGTGCGAGAGTGCTTCAGAGTCAGAGTGTAGTAAATACCGTCCGCGCGAATGCAAAAGAACGGTGTCACTCGTGGTGTCACTCCTGTCACGTCTCGAAGACTCTGCCTTTTTTGCTGACTGAGCCGCTCCAGTAATGACCGAGAACTCCGAAGAGCCCTGGAGCTGCTCCGCCTGACTCTGGAAGACTGAGAAACTCAGACCTGTGTAGAGGCTTTTATAGAAGGCCTTAGGAGGCATGAAAAATGTTTTAAGGGACTTGAGAAGGCTTTGTCAGGCTGTGTTCGACAGGAGTTTTGGGCAAACCGGGGTTACAGAGTGCTCCAGGTGCAACTTCCAACAAAAAGAGAGAGAGAGAGAGAGAGAGACAGAGAGAGAGAGAGGGGGGGCCTCGTTCGCTTCGTCCGCGCTGGAGCCAAGGATATTGATGCGGCCTCTCGAATTAGAGCCCTCGTCCAACCACATCGGATGTGTTAGGACGGATACAATCGGATACAATGCTTCTGGCACACCGTCATCTCGCGCGCCTGCAATCGCACGAGCTGTGTCGGGATGGTCCCCGGTCACCATGACCACCTGACACTTGCTGCAACCAAGCGTGCTTGCGATGAAGAGACTTGGCCAAGAGCGCACTTCAGCAGCAAACGAGCTGAAACACAAGCAGCAGATGGGTACGGCCTTCACGCCAGCCCGCTGCGCCATCAAGACGGCCTCGTCCACTCCCTTCTTCGGCGGGTCCTGAGAAGACCAAGACGTGACCTCCCATACCTCTTGCGCGCATCAGCAGCAGTCAAGTTAAGAGGTCCTCGATTCCGTACAAGCCCACGAACTCGTAGTCTTTCATGGGGAAGTTGCAGTCCGCGGCATTTGTGCCCTCGAATTTCCCACCCTGGCAAACGGCTTGAAATCCGTGCTGTATACTACAGACAACCTCGTTGGTGCCGCACCGCTGGGATGTCGCCACCGGATATGTCACGCTTGGCGATGCACAGCACACGGCGCCCCTGCACACCCAGTCCGAGTTTGAGAGTCACTCCTGCAAGACTCCCCTAGTGACCCTCAAGCTTCCGTCCCAAGCCACTTTGGCCTGGCCCATGAGATCCTGGAGCTGCTGCTCGATCTGGCAGAGCTATGAAAGTCACATGGGAGCTTTTTATCCTGTCCCATCTGCTGCTTTGAAACCGGCCTCTATCTGGAAAGAAGCTAGGCACTGTAAGGCCCCCCATCAACAAGTGCACAGTATCCGACGCATCTGTATCCCGAGCAAAGCTGTGTGTCTGCTCAGAAAGTGCCTTTCCCATGGCTGTCGCATCTGCAGCCAGGGTGGTATACCTGATCCCAAGCACCAGAGTGTGTATGCTCCCCTCCCTCTCCCTGCCTGACTCCTCTTACTTCCTTCCCGAAGTGCCAAAGGAAAATCATAAAAAGCACGGCGCACTTGAGGACGCGCTCTGGAGCTCCCTTCAGGATCTGCGCGGGGTCATGGGCTGAAAGAAGATCCCGAAGCGTTTGGAGACAGCTCAGCCAAGCTCAAAGCATGCCAACGAACCTATAACCCCAGGCCCCCAAATGTTCGGCACGGGTGTGGGAGAGGCACCGCAAAGAAATTTCCCTGTCCGGCAGTGCCGTGGATGGTAAGCATCCACCTCAGCTGATTGTCACCGTCAAGTTTGCACACTACTTGCAAGGGCTCTCTTTGCTGTTCTTCCAGCATTTGGAATGCCGAGGGCGCTAAGGTCCCGACTTGTTCTCTGAGTTGAAAGGGATCTCGAAAGTCTTGTAGTTCTCCGGCCTGACTTTCAAGGCTTGCATGGCGGCTTCCGATACTCTTAGACATCAACACGAAAAGGCGGCTCGAAAGCTTCGAGAGTGTCAGGGCCCAGCTTCGACTTCAGCGTGGCCGTAGGGCCAGGACCTCCAGCCACCTGCGATTGACAGCAGATCACCGAGCCACAAAAGAATGACGGCAAGCGATCTTACACCACAAGCCAGGACGACCTCTGCACAGGCACGCAAGATCGCGACCTCCGTGGGAGATCCGGTCCTCAGCAAGAATCGGCAGCATTCCGTGGCATTCCGCTGCGTTCCGCCACCATTCTGTTCTTGCGGTGCCCGAGATGGGAGACTGTCTCCAACTGCGTACGTCGGTAAGTGTCGGGCCAGCGCTCCTCCTTACCGTCCACCTAGGAATATTTGTCAGACAATGATACACTCTGAAAACAGCTGCATGTGTTTCTCTACAAAGGCTTCACTGTGACTCTGTGAGCTTCCACACCACTTGAGGTCCGGACTTTGAACTCGGCTCCGTTGTTGAGGATTCCGCAAAGCTAAGCAGCACAAGTAGACTCTCGCACTACACGTGTTGCGCCCATGCCGCCCCTGTCCCTACAGGTCGCCGTTAAAGAGCTTCACTTGTGCGCTGGGGCGTGAACCGCAGTTGTGTCCAAGCTCCTCATGGCCTTAAACTTTCCGCTTTCCTTGTCACGATTGTGGACCTGTCACGGTCCATGATCAAGCGTGCAGCTCTCAAAGCAGCACAAGAGAAGCAACTGCCCAGAGCCTCCAAGTTCAAGTTTGCTCCAGCGATCGGCACCACCAAGTCCTGCCCCAACATCTGCCAACACCAGCTGGCCGAGGGAGAGGGGGAGGCGGGGAAAATACGCGATGGCTGTGCCTGAACCGCCATCTCCCCCGTCGTCAGCGTGCCTGAGAATGCATATCAGCTGCTTGTCACATCTCGTTGGGTTGAAGTGCGCAGAGCATGGCCTGTCTTGTCGGAGCAAAACACTGACACGCACCCCAGCGTCTCCACAGCATCAATCTTGCGAACAATCACCTTTGCAGGTGCAGCGAAGAGCCACAAGCGGCAGAGCACCAGAAAGCCTTCAAATTCAAGCATCGCATGCACAAATTCAGGCCGGAAGGCGTTCCGTGTTGCCATCTGATCCGAGGCAATCATGAGCGAGATTGTCACGGTTGGCAGAAGACCTTCGGGGACCTGCGTAAGACTCCAAAGGCTTTACTGGAGCCCATGCAGCCCATCACCCAAAGGCTGCAGCGCTGCCTGCGCAAAGAGCGCCGCTGCGCTGTTTTGAAGGATTTCGGCTGGGCCACGCTTCACGGGAGAAAGCAGGTTGGCCAACAAGCTCAACAAGCCTGAGCCAACAAAGCTGACCCAAGGGCGCGAAGGAAAATTTTCCCGCAGCTAAATTCGGGCGCGCACCGACGCAGATGGCAACGACCGCAATGATGTGGACCTGTCGGCTCCATGCTTAAGATATGCTTAAGCCTTCCACTCACAGATCCCACAGGTTTGCTGATGCCAGTACGTGCAAAAATGACCCTTCCAGGACTGCGAGGCACAGCCCTTCTCAGCCCTCTGCAAAATGTTCTATCTGGATCTCCAAGGTTGATTTCACCCTTGAAGACTTGATTCCTGAGCCAGTGCAACACATCAGCACACCCGAGAGCAGTTGAAGAAACCGCAGCGGTCCTTGAGCAATCTTTCCCAGGAACGTCGCATCACCAGTGGCATGCACCAGGCAGGTGGCGTTGCCCTGCGTAGCAACAGAGCCACACACATCCACAAACGACGGGGAGTCCCCTGATAGATGCCCAGTCTATTTTGGGAATTGACCCCAAACCCTAAGCCAAGAACCTCCAAGAAACCTCTCCGCGGCCTTGAGCACCGTCGTTCCAAAGAAGGCCAGGTTCCGGGCTTCAGGCGGGGGGCAGGTGACCTCCAAAAGGTCTAAGTTTCAGGCTTTGCAGCTTGTTGCGTTTTTCTCAAGCTTTTCATGTTCTACAGGCTTAGTTTTGGGTTTCGGGCAGACTTTTCGTCGCGACTCGTGCGACTGAGCTGGCGGCCGGCTCGGTCTTTGTATGACGCGGCTCCGGCATGGACTCCCCTGTTAGTGCCGAGTTGTCCACCTGGCGCCACATCAGGCGCTTCTTGCGTCTTCAAGACAACCCCGGGGAGCTTTTGACTTTGGCCACTCGCACAGTTCTGCCTCTGTCCCATCGGTGCAATGCAAAATGCGAACGTCCGCTGGAACACGATCACCGGCCTGCGGTCAGGGACTGCCCAACGATGTCTAATAAAGCGGCTTCCTGTGATTTGCTTGGCTTCTTCTTTGCGACGCGCAGGCTCTAGGATGAGCGCATATCCGGGTATTCGCGCTGAAGCTGTACAAAGCGTTGAGGGAAGATTGGATCTAAACGATCTAAATAACCTTGCAACGCAACTCCATGGAGACGTAGTTGTTGGGGACGGAATAACTGTGGTCAAAAGGCTTCTACATCTTTCGCATTTCTTTGTGGAGCAACTTCTTTCGCTCTGTATGAATATCTTTCCGGACAGGAACGAGTCTTTCGTTGATGAGACTTTCGGTGACGAAGAACATTTATGTCGAGCCTGGTTTGGCATTGAAAGACACTCACTAAGTTTATGGAGATGAGCTGTGACGATGCGACTGGGGGTATTGAGATCTTTTAACTAGAGATGGTATCTCGGTTTTGTGCACATTGGGGTGTGTAGTGGAGGTGTTCTCGGTTCTCGGAGTCAAACTGTTCGTTTCTTCCACAAAGGCTGAACGTTTCAAAGAGCCAATTGGCCCTTGGTTTTCCTGATCTCCTCATACATTCAATCCTTGGGCAATAAGCACTTGTCTCAAAAGTTACCTGCCGTAGAGGGTCTGCTCTGCTGATTGTTAATTTTTTTTGCAAAAGTTTAACTGTTGGAACCTCCAGCTATCTGGAACCTCCAGTTATCTGAGAACTTTACAACTTGGACATTGTGAATCGTCCGCAGCATTTCGACGATGACATGGGTTGAGTATCAAAAGCAAGACCTTTACTCCGGAGGTCTACTCACGGAGAAGTCACGTCATGGTTGATTAAGAAGGACCAGCGTGGACAAAGCAGTCGCAGGACTGGTAGCACATGCGGAACCGCCCAGGTGTAATGAGTTCCTTCGAGTCCTGCAGAGTCAGTCTTAAAGGAAAGCTGGATGCCACACCTTCCAGGGACCCTCACCCAAGCGTGCGCAGAGAGAGGGCAGGAATGTACGGAAATGGTGGTACTCTACGAACAGCTGACTATTCGTGATGAGCAGTGGCCCCTTCCCTGCTGGCATGCTGCTGCAACTGGGGCAACGGGGCAGTAAGAGTAGTGCAGGGGGAATGTGCAGTATTCTTCTGTAACCCTTCATTTGAAATGCATTTGGTCTGTTCAGTTCGTTTTGGGTTAGTAGAATAGCTTCTAGACAATAATTTACGTTGCAGCATCAAATGGCAGACTCGTATCTCCACTTGATAAAGTTATTGGCGCGATTCCAAAAAGTTGTTTGTAGGTTTTTTTGCAAGTTCTGGTTGCATCAATGCTGTTGTTTATTCTCTTTTGTTGATTAACGCATTGTTCAAGATTGAGTTGCATGTGAGTGTTTTGACTCCTTTTGAATTTCATGTAATAGTAGCATGTTAGTTAATATGCTTGGAATAGTTATCAAAAGGAAGCGCGTCATCTGCACATAGTACTTCGGTGTGTTCAATACATTGTATAGGTTCGCGTTGCTTTTGACATCAGAATTTTAACTTGGATATCTTTCAAGACTGCCGTCACAAGGATGCTAACTAGATGAGGGCAGAGCGGACATCCTTCTCTTGTACAAGTGTGTCGCTGCTTGTATCGGGACAAAAGCTCATTTGTTGTGACCCGATTTTCGGTGCCTCATAGATGTGCTCGGTCAACTTGACTTCTTTTCTGAGGGAGTCGTAGTCTACGCCGAACTTGCACTTGCATTTTCTGGTCCACTTTATCACATGCTTTTTACCCAATCAAGTAGTACTAGTGTCAGATATGTTCCTGTTGGTTCTCCTATGTCGCGTCAGCGTCTTGCAGTAAAACATAGCTGGGGCTGTAGATCTTTTGGGCCTGAACCATATTGAGTTCTTGAAGCCATGGATCACATGTCTTGCCTGTAAGCTTGTACAAACTCTGCGAAAGGGCGATGTGTCGTTCATTCATCAATTTGGTTGCGTCTCCTTTTTATATAGTGGCGCTATGTTAGCGAGTGCAAGTCACTCCGGATTCAATAAATCTCGAAAAGTCTTTGTCTATTTCGGTCACCTGAGCTTACGATTGCCAACGCTGGCCACATCCAAACGGCGTTGCCGTGCCTGGAGGAAAATGATGTCCCCAGGCACCAGGTGCAGGGGGTCCACCTCCAAGTCCACGCGCCGTCCTTTGTCGATGCGTACCTCCAGGGAGCTAATCTAAGAGGAGCAAGAGGCCCATTCACGTCTCCATAGTCTTCAGCCGTGCCCGGTGACCTCTGAGCCTCTGTGTCACAGTGTCACATGCACGTGCGACTTGCGAGGCTCGGTGGCGCACGGCTGGCACCTTGGCAGCAGCCTGACCAGGGGGGGGGGGCCATGCATGCATGTTCTGATTGACCCCTCGGTCGTTCACGAAGTGAGGAGGCCCGCCTGCAGTTTCTGCATGGCTTCCATCTGGGACTCGGCCTGCGACACAAGCGGACTCACGTCTTGATGCAAGACCTGCGGTGGCCCCCTACGCGCCAGTTCACGTTCGCGTTCCCTGCCCTCCCTCAAGTCTGAAGCCCTGGATCACCAGGAATTCACAAACCCCGACATCCGACATACCAACAGTCTTGAAACCGTATTAATCTGTTCGTAGTCTTCCCTTAGGTTGGGCCGGTTTTGGAACCGGATCACACCTCTCATGGACCTAAATTGTTGCATGTTGTTGCATTAAAAAACTTGCTTGGAGCCACACCTGCCTTGGCTCCTTTCGCACATGGTTCAAGATCAGCGTGGCGAATGGGGATGCAGTGTGCCAAGAGGGCAGCGCAAGGCTGAGAACTCGCACATGCTGTCGCACCTTAAGCTCGGAGTACCACTGGAGGAGAGCTGCCATGACGATGACTGACCTCGTCTCCACGCAAGTCTCACGGAGGCAGTGGAGGCTCCACTACTAAGGAGCGCACGAGAGGATGATGGGTGTGACATAGTCGGGGCCCTCTTCACTGTGCGCAGCCAGAGCCTGCGCAACTTTAGGCTTTGGAGGTAAGTGGCGCTATGTGGCACTGCCACTCGAGAGAAGCACTCGCGGCCTCTGAAGCGGCGGTGGCCTTTACGGTGGGAGCTGCCTCGTCGGCACCTGCTGTTCTTGACCAGTAGTGGCGAGCCGTCAGCACACGAGCGCCGACTCCGTCATACTCTTTCAGCCATGGGTTGAGGGCCAGTAAGGTCAAGGCTAGGTGATTCCCCAGAGAAGATGAGGATCAGGGCCACCTTCCACAAGACCGGCACCATCCAGGTATGTTCCGATGCTCAACGATCAGCCAAACTCCCAAGATCTCCCCCGACGGTCACAGAACCGCGCCTCAGCGGCAACACAGGACCAGAGCAGGATGTTGAAAATGCCCAGAAATGTCTGCCTGGCTCTCAACACAATGATCGTGGGCATTCCCTGTGAAGCATTGCACAAACGTGCCCGACCTCAACAGCTTGATCCAGATGTTCTCCCGCTTTGGCGGGGTAATCTCGTTTTTGCCGTACCTTAGCCAGGAATGCCAAGAGATACAGGGGGGTGAAGGGCAATCTGTGGAGCACTCTGTTAGAGATGGAACAGAACGATCACTTCGCATCAGTACCCCGGCCAAGGCTCGGACACATTGAAGTAAACCCGTGCCTGCTCTTCCTTCAGGCCACAGAGGCCCGTTTTGCACCTCAGGATTCTCAGGTCAGAGTTGGTGGCTCTGGAAAGAGCTGCGAAGGCCAAGGGAAAGGCGAACCCTCGCCCCACTTGCTCTTGAAAATGGCCGAAAGCCTGTGCCGCGCTTAGCACACCAACGCTTGGACAGCTGTCGCCTATCTCACGTGCTTTGCGGCTTTGCGCGTTCCCTATCGCCCCCGTTTGCAGAAAGTGCCTGTCCGGCTGTATTGTATGAACAAGAGTCTTGTAGTCCTGACCGAGATTCGCATTCGAATCAGGAGAGTAGGTTTACTGCACGAACTCCCTGAAGCGGTACGCGCTGAAAGCAGTGCACGATGTGCTGTCCGCGGTCCTTCTCGTCCTCAGTGATGTCCTTGGGGTGGAGCCGCTTGTACCTGAACATGACAGATTTGACAACTTCGGCCTCGATAGAAAGAGCGATGCCGCAAGGAACCTCTGTCGGCAGGCTTCTGCTTCGATGATGATGGCACTGGAGTTGCTGATGTGACCTCTGTGCCCACAAGGGCGAAAATCGACTGAACGGCTACACCTGCTTCGCCCGTCTGCTTCAACTACTGCGGGGTGTTGGCTTTCTTGGCCCTGGACTCTCCGATCTTGCAAAATTCGAACCATTTACATTCTTTGCCTCTACATGCACGGTGATGTCGAGGGATCACGCTCGGCCGTTGTGCATTGATGCTGATGCCTCATTTGCGGGCAGAATGTTGCTGATCAGGAGCTCGCGGTGAGAGTGCTCCATTGCGTCCTGCGCACTGGCAAGACTGGATTCTCAGCCAACATGTCTTCCTAGGTTCTCTTTCCGATGGGAGATGATCTCTTCATCACAGAGGGAATAGCACCACGTGCATCTACCTGTCCTGTCCGTCACCGGGGACGGGAGCTTGCTACTTCGCGTGCCAGAACGGCGACGGAAAGTGTTATGTTGATCACAAGCTGCTTCTTCCAAGTCCCTTCCACAACCATAGCGACTCACCCACGTGCACAAACCCCGTCCTAGATACTTGATACTTGTAGATCAGGATGCACATGCAATTGCCATGCTGTCTCTGATAAACGGGACGTAGGCGCACGGGATGGAACTCATCATCGCCCGACGTCACCTTCACACGTGGGAGGTGGCTGTGCAAGATGCAGCAAGCACGATTCAGCAAACACTAGCATGAGGTATAGGGTACTATAGGAATATGACTGCTGCATAGGTATGTGTACTGTGGTCTGCTTCTTTTCTCACGGGCGCAGCGGTACGAGGGCCAGGTGTCCTCGAAGTCCTTCGTCTCTCAGGCCTGGCAGTCGAACCCCGCCAGGAGAAGCGGAGCCACTTATGCCATCTACTGCCACTTACAGCACAGAATAAGCACTCAACGCTTCGCTTCGTCATTATTCGTTGGCTCGAGAAATCGCTTCTCAGGAATGCAGTCGCGTCCTTGATGGTGCTCACTGCTTCGGGCCTCCAGGGCCGCGGACTTCGCCACCGCTCGCACCTCCAACATTCGTCTTCGTTTTATTGCACTCTAAGAGCTCACAGCTCACTCTGAGCAAGACCATGGCACTGCGCAAGGCCTGGCGGGCTTCCTGAACCGCTGCGCAGCAGCAACAGCAAGCCCACAGCGCCACATCCTGCGGTGCACAAGCAAGAAAGCCCACCTTCCCTTGCAAAACCTCCTTGCTGGCCAGTCCTTGACCTGATCTGTGGGCTCATTCTTGATGGAGAAGAGCTTGCGGAGCTGCTGTCGGTAGTACCTGTACACACAAAACACCCACGAGTTCCTTTCTCCAACCAAAGAAAAGTGCTGCACACAGAGTTCCACAGCCAACTCCTGTCCATTCCTCCCTTGGCTTACGCGAAGACGAGCGCAGCCGCCAGCCAGGCCTCGGAGTCCAAAAGTTTTCTCTCAAAATAAAGGGAAAAGGATGGAAAGCGTATACATATGTTAATATCAAGTAATGAAGGGAGTGTAACACGTAGCAAATACATGTCGAATTGGAACGTCAGGGTATGCAGTGTTCGTGTACAGGCTCCGTAGATCTCTGCCAGAAGCCTGCAGCACGTTGATTCCTTGAGTCCCAGCGGCCAACACTCCGAGCGCCAGGTCGTAGTTTTGCGCCCAGGACCGCAGGTGGCAAACCACGACGAAGAGTAGGAAGGCAGCCCAGAAGCCCAGAATCCCCGTGGCGTTCATGGTGTCAGCCTTGGGTACGAATCAGCACCGGCTCACTGGATCGCCTGCAAAGAGACCCTGCTGAGGGAGGCACCCATCGGCAGGGAAGGCACAAGAAACCCAAGCAAGTAACGTGCATGTCCTGAGGGCAGGGGCTGGGGCACGGGACATGTCTGCAGGACAGAGAGGCTAAATCTATTGGATGGCCGTCTCCGGTTCGTTACACGGCCTCGGTTCGTTCGGGGCCGCGAAAAGGCAGGGTTGGGACGAAGATTGTGCTTTGAATTTCCGCAGCGTTCAATGACAATAGGCGCTTGAAACGAGGGTTGGACCACAAGGTTTGGAAAAATCAAACTCTTTGAGGTTGAGAGCGTTGGGAGAGGTAAACATGACAGTGTTGAGGGTCGGGTCCAATTTTGGAGAGAGTTGGCAGCGAGGGCGAACCACTGTGTGGCCGATTGCTTGCGCTTGTTCACATTTGATCGTTTTCGCCGCGTAATGAAAAAACCAAGTCTAGACATGTTAAAGTGGCCGGTCCGTCTGAGTGGTTTAAATCGCGGAATTCGGCATCTTGCTTGTTGTGGCTTAGGCTTCTGGATGTGTTTGGGTTCCGGGCTTCAACAACATGATCCACAACATGTGTAAGCAGCTTAAACACAACCCATGTTTGCAACATTGGCCGGCTCAAATGTTTGAGGGTTCAAAAGATCAGAAGCCCTGGCTGGGTTTTGATTGTCCAGGATGCTGAAACGTTGGAACTTCAACCGAAAAGGTGCCATGATTCTAGGTTCTAGATTCTAGAAACTAGCTGCAGCTTCCGATTGACAGTGCCAACCCTGCCCCAATGTCGGACCTCAAAGAAGTTGCAGATGCCAAACTGGAAGTCCTCGCTCTCCTCGTCCTTTGCCTGTTGCCAGCAGATGTCCACGGCACGTGGAAGCTACTTGCACCCCGTACCTGGACTTCCACCGGCGGGTCTTTCCACAGGTATGCGTAGATCGCGGCGCACGCAAAGACCTCGTGCGGCAGTCTTTACAAAAGAGTCCCAAACAGAGTGGGCGCAACATACGCATCTCCCCCTCTCCAAATAAAGTCGCAGGCGGTGCAAAAGTAGACCACGAACATGAAAGCCAGAGTGCGCAGACGAAGCCATGCAAAGCTTCGCTCCTGGACGGGATTCAGGATGTAAGAAGTTTCGCGACCCACTGCTCCTCGCGGAGTACAGGGGCTCCTTGTCGACCAGCTCTTTGATTTCTTCGTCTGTGGTCGGCCCAACATGCACGACTGGAAGGTCCTGCCACTGCTTGGAATTGTCCGAACGGACGCATCAGCAGAGCGCAGCTGAGCTCAACAAGGCCTTGTCCGCTTTTGGGTCCGCTTTTGGGTCCACCTTGTCAAGAATCTGCTGCAGCAGGACAGATGGACCTCACAGTTTTTGACACAGAGACCGGCTGCAGGCTTTTGCCGCCGCACACGAGGCGGGAACGGGCTGCCCGAAGAAACTCCGTCACACGGGCGGTTGCCGTGTGCTCAGGGACCTGGACAGCCCACTTGAGCCCACGCAGACCGAAAGGGTGGGCTCGGGATTTCTGGGGATGTGGAGTGGGCCTCACGAGCCACTTCTGCATCAGAACCTTTGCGTCCTGCCGTGACGATTCTGCCAAGTCAGGTGCTGGCTATGCTGAGGCTATCTCCGAAGGCTTCAGGCACATGGCCGGTCCGATAACTGCAGCATCTGCTGACAGCAGCATGCTGATCAGGCACAGCAGCCTCGGCCCAAGATCACAAGCGTGCGGCTTCCGGGCTCAGTTCCACATTTCTTTTCTGCGCCCCAGGCCGAGGAAACATCGTTCCGATCGTACCGAAGGAGGCGGTACAGCTACAATTTGCCCAGCAGGCCGGATGAGCCAAAACTCAGCTAAACGGGGCCAGCATGGTCAGCAGCACAAGCCAAACCTTCAAAACTAAAAGGAGACACACACACACACACACAGATATCCAGGGCAGCTCTGCAAATAGGTCGGAGGGGCACTTTTTTAGCTCTGCTGACCGAGGCATCCGAAGCAGTGAGAGCTGCGGAGCAGTCCTTGCGGCGCAAAATGATGGGTCGCGCGGGCGGGGGGGGGGGGGTGCGGTTGGGGGGGCTGACATTGCGAGAGAAGCGTCTTTGCCAGAAACCTGTAGGTCTGCCAGTGGCTCCGGTCATCTTCGACGGAGCACTCTCCTGCAAAAACACATGCAAGATATGGCAAGGAGAAGTGACACAAGGGGCATACAAGTAGTACAAAGTTCACGTTTATCCTTACCGCATATGTGGAAAATCTAGCTTTGCTGACATCGAGAAAATTCATTGTCTGTCAGTTGGGGCACAGCTAAGTAACGTTCACACGGTCCTGGTGCCATTCCTCCCTTAGCTGAGCTGCCATACAACAAATGTCAAACGTTGTAAGCCGGCACGTGAGTGCATGTTGTCACGTCTGAGTCGCCCACACCGCCAATTTGGGCCTGCTAGGCACACAGGCCGCGCGGGCCGCGCTGGCCGCATGGGGTCGGCGCGGGGGCAACGCTGCCCCTACACCAGGCCCGAAGCGCTCGGCTGCTGGGGCCTCGGACTCGGGCGCATCGCCTCCCAGGCACTCGGGAAGCTCGCGAAGGTTCACGTGCGCGTGATCGATGAGGCCACGCTCGAAGTCGTGGCCAAGGATGGCGAGCTTGCGCCTGATGGAGCCGCCCCAAGGGCGGGGCTCAGGACAGCATTTCTACGAGTTACTAGGAGGTACTGGTTATGCTTGTGGCCTCGTCATCTCTTCCAGGAGGAGGGGTGCCGACAGCTGCCAGAGCCAGGAGAACACGGCAGGAGCCCGAACGATGGTAAGCGTCGCCGCCATTTCAGGGTAGTTGCGGTTAATTGCAGCAGAAAACTTTTGAAGAACGGCCATGTGCTGAAGCCAGGAGAAACTCACTCCATCTACATCCACAATGGCACACATTTTGATGAGGGAGCGCTTGGACAAGGAGACAGCCCGGCAGGACTGAAAGGCCTGCTCAACCATAAAGATCCAAGGATCCAAGACATCATCGACCAGAGACTCCCTCACAGCACCTTCCAAGTCAAATGCCCCCAGGCGAAGGAAGATCACCGGGCCGCCCTGCGCCGTGCGTGCGGTCTTGAGACATCGCCCGAAGAAGTGCGGAGCCAAAGCCTTTGCCCTGTCCGTCTGCGGCTCCCAAGTCCACGTGGGAATGGTCGGAATGGTCGGAATGTCCGGAAAGTCCTCGGAAAGAACTCCCCACTCTCGCATAATCCTGTCAAGGTCCGCCTGCGCTCTCCATGCGCGTGCTTGGGTCACGCGTTCTTTAGCTTCGATGAGGTTGTCTGGCTTGCCTGAGCGGAAGAAACTTCTATAGACGCCTCTGCGAATTGCCATGAACAAATTTCCCGACACCAGATTGGCGTCGAAACCGAAATAAACAAGAAGATGCACACTCTGCAGTCGTGGTGCCTAAAAGGAATCGGGAGAGCGTCAGTGGGTCGTCAAGTTCGAAGGACCAGCCATCAACGAAGCTTTCCAGGGCCGCGACAGGCGCCACAAAGTCCTAATCCAAACCATTGCTCAACTCATCACTACACTTTGATTAAGATCGTGGCCGAAGTCCCGTCTGCAATGCTAAGGTGGTAAAATATGTTCAAATCACTCACCCCCAGCTGACAACATCACAGCAGTATAGTGCATGACAAAGCGAAACGTCGGGAGTCCTCTGTCAAACCTGCAGCCAGCAGGCGCTCTCTGTCCGTGTCTGTGACCACGTCGCCCCGTGTGCGTGTGCTGGAAGTCCCCTCCTGGTACCAGATGCTCTCTTTGCCGATAGGCCGCAGGGCTCCGCCCAGTGCAGAGTGGCCGGCAGTCCCTTCGCCATCCGAGCTTGCGCTTCCAAACATAGGCATCCAGCCCTGGCCCAGGAGCCATGGAGGCTGCGCAAGCCGAAGCTTGGAAAGGATATGGAATGCCGTGATGCGTTGGCTTTTTTGATGCACCCTCGAAGCTATGGCTACGTTCATGACATAAGTGATTCAGATGGTTTTGTCGTGAGGACCAGTTCCCGAACCGACCCTGAAGCGACAAGACCAATCAGAAGCTAGACATGATCTTGCATGTGGGAGCTTCTCCCTGCAGCCACACCCCAAGCAGAAGCAGGTTCGATCAAGCTAGCAAGAAGCAGCAAAAAACAACACTCAAACAAAAAGGTGTGTGTAGAACGAACGCCGCAGAGCCCGTGCCTTGCTGCCATGGTCTCAGGTCCCCTGGTACGGCTCACATTGCCTCGCCGGTCACGGCAGGTATGCATCCCACGGCAAGATGTGACAACCCAGCTTGTCGTTGAGGCTCTCTTCCTCAATAGCCTCCCACCATCTCCCGCATCTCCCGGCATTGGAGACCCGGCTCAATCCGGCTCAGGCCCAAGCCGCTGCACGTGCTCAGCGTCCACCTGGCGCTGCATTCCGGTCCATACTGCGAACAGCCTTCTGACAGCATCTCAGCTGAAAAAGCCCGCGATTGCACAACTGCAGCGGCGCCTTGACGTGAGCCGTTCCGTCGCCATGCGCAGTGCACACCATGACTTGAAGACTAAAACTTCCTGGACCCTGGAACACCCGGAGCGCTTCAATTGAAATTGGCTGTGCGATTTCACCAGAAGTCAGTGAATCCGTGAACACGCCTGGCCTACTACAGGCAAGGTCAAATGTGGTCACTCAGTGCACTGTCTCAGCACACATTTGTTCACGCAAGGATGTGCGAGTCTAAGAATGAGTTACCCTCGGCCACAGCTTCGAAAGTGGACGAGAGCCACTGGTAGATGCAGGGAAAGCAGTGAAGGCGGCACTCCAATTTCAAAACACAGCTCTGGATTTTTGTGAATTAACGACCTGCACTGTCATTGTTTGTTACTCTAGCCGCGTGCATCTGACACTGCCCACGAAAATCGCTTGCTCCTGCCAGGAGGTCGCATGCATTCCATCAAGCTGCATGCTTTCTGTTATCTCGACCCTTCGCGCTTAGTACAACTTCGTAGGGCTTCCAGTGCTGCTCCATGCTTGTTACTCTCACAATGGCGGTAGTCAAGGCACGCGCGAAGCTAAGCCATGTATGCCAGGTTCCAAATGATTTGGTCACCTCGTGGCCACGACCTGGTGAGACGCTGCGCTCGTCAACGATGCTGTGTCGGTCACATGAACAACAAAGTGCTAGGAGGCACGTCCGACTGAGTCACACAGCTGAACAAGACACCCAACATCCTTAACATATTACCGAACATAGGTTGAACACAGATCGAACACAGAATGAACATCGATTGAACATAGCCATCGGCGGCGATGACAATGACACGCCAATGGAGGAGACTCCGGAACTTTGCAACGTGAGAAAAGTGTCAAACCTGCCAGCTTGAACTACTTGCCATGCTTCTGGCAGAGAAAAGCCCATTGTGGTCAGAGGCAACTTACTTGCCCGCCCTCTCTCCGGGAGTGTGGGATGCCAGGGCCATGGAGATCAGCTCTAAATACTGCACTGTAGTCCTTCTCTGCAATATCCACTGAATGGCCTCTGACGCGCCTGAGGGTGTATCACGGATGTATATGCTTGAGAGCCATGCAACTAGTCGACATCAGTGTCTCCTCTCAACCAGGTCGGCTTCTTTCTCTTGACAAAGACAATGCTTGCAGACACTGATGGCAAAATCCCTAAGCTCTCTCTCAGTAACAACTTCGAGAGGCTTAAAATAGCGGATGCGCCGATTACCGGTTCCGCAGCGGTGGAAACACAGAGTCGCTCAAAGCAGCGCACTTTGCAGGGAGAGATATTCGAAAAGTGGCTGAGCCTCAGCAGGCCTCTAGGCCCCCGGTGGCTCCATTGGCTCACTCCAGACTCCCCCTTCCTTGACGTCTTAAGGGTGCCTGCGGGGAAGCGAGAAATTGGAAGCGATTCCACACAGGTGCCTCCAGTGCCGCGCCTCAGGGTGGACTGGCTGCAGCTGAGCTGCCACTTGACGGTGTTGGATCCTTTGCTGAAGAACGAGACGTCCACCACGGCACTTAAGACTTAGACTCCCCTTAGTATACGTACCATTGTAGTGCCAATGCTGCTGAGGCCGGGACTTGCGGGTGGCGCTGCCCGACACTGTTGGTGGCTTGGGTCGCCGGCCTTGTCAGGAAAGGAGCAGTTTGTTTGAAGGCACCCTCACACGTGGATTCTAGTCACCCTCCGGAGCCCCTCCGCTCAGAAGCTCCGCATTAAAAAAAGCTCCCCTTGGCCTGCTCTGGTCTCCGCTTCCCTGAGCTGCCGAAAGGCCTCAGGAAACGGAGTTGCAGATGACTGGAGCAGATCAAAGATTCGAGTGAGGGTTTCAACTTCTTGAATCCGTTTCAGGCATGTTTTGGGAATCAAATGAGGGTCTTTTTTGAATACATTTCAGCCATACTTGATGTGTCCGCAGTCCCTCCACAGCGCCTGCAGAGCTTGAAGCGGGAGCAGGAGCTTGCGAGGATGAGGCACCGTTGCTGCCTGGGAGCTGCTCAACATTTTTCTACTGGCCCCCTTTCTGAAACTCTGAAAAATAAATTCCCAGATGGGCTGAGCACAAGGCTATTCCCACCCCAGCCGAGAGTGCCCATGATGTTCATCCTGGGCCAAGGCCTGGAACCCAGGAAGCCCCACGAAACTCGCAGGATCCCCTCATGCCTCTCTATGTCTCTCCATATCTCTCCGCGAATCTCTCGCCTCACACGCGTAGCTCCCTGACAATGTCCCACAAGCTCCGGCCTTCTCCAGAAACGACTGTTTGCAGAACTGGATGCGGGCTTTGGCTGGCTTGGTGGCGCTGGCACCAGAGACCTTGTGTCACACATTCTGTCACACCGGACTCACTTGCACGACTGCATTGCGACCGGCTCAGATTGAGCCGAGCCACTGCATCTGCAGCCCGTCAGCTGCACCACCTGAGCACCAACACGCGGCCATGCACCATGATCTTGCTCCAATGTGAACCCTGTGTTGAGAAGGTTCCCCGAATGAGCTCCACGCCTCCAGCCAAGGATCCTGCACAGGAGGTATGAGAACTCCGAGCTGATCAGTGCACAAGACAAGAATCGCACATCACAGTCTGGACATGTCTGGATCTTGGATCGAAGTTCTGTGACGCCGCACCTTGCTGCGCCTGCGCAGGTGCCGCCGAAGTGCCACCTGCACCAACCTGCGTACAGATACTTCATCGCTTTTCAGAATATGAAGGTACGCCCCACGCTCTACCCTATCCCCCTCAAGCAGAGGTCATGATCTCATGTGCGGCTTGGGCACGACTCGGCCCAGGTTCGGCAGCAACGGCCTGCGGTTTCGCAAACTCTGCATAAAGTCAGCTTCATGGACTGCAGAACATCAGGTACTGACAAGCAGCTCCACCTGAGCTCCTAGTAGCACAGCACATTGTTCACTTGGGGCCTTCTTTGGCCGCTAGGGGGCTGTTGCGGTGGATGTGGCACGTGCTCCATCGCCTGCGCTTGTTCCTGCAAAACCATCGCGCTATCTTTCTGAACTTTGTCAAAAGAGAGGCAGATCTGCGAACAGCATCAGGCAGGCACTGCGTTGCAGCTCTCCTCGTTTTGCCGGTCGCGCGAAAAGTGCCACGGTAAGCGCCCTTCGGCTAGTGCCGACATCTGGTTGCGCATGCGGCGGAGAGCCAGCACAGCGGGTCCAGCTACAACCTGCCAATATCGGCTGCAAGACTGCTGCAGGCATGAGACTTGAAGCCAGCAGAAGCTACCCGAGCCGAGGCGACCCCTGAGGAGACTCTCTGACGTTCGCTGAGGATACTCCGTGCTTAGTCCAGGGTCCGAGGCATGCACACCTGCACACCTGCTATTGACGTTTAGGTATTTTGGAGGCATCGGTGATACACTGACCTGAAAGTGGTGCAGATTCAGCTGTGGCTGTCTTTCGTGGCTTCGGAGGAGAGAAAACACCCCCTTTTCCAGAGCCTGCCGATTCTCCACCTGACCCCGGGCTGGATCCGCCTCACAATGTGGAGATGCAAGTCTATCTACCCAAGTCCATTCAAAGAGCAGGAAAGCACATCGCCTGAGGAGACGAGGGTCGCGCAGATGCCCCGAACGGGTTCAGGGGACCTGCTGCAAGAGCATGCAAAAGGTTCGGAGTGCGCCGTGATTCCGGGAACATAGCCGAAGGGAGGGGGATGCACACATATGGACACCAGTCGCAGCTCAGTGCAGTTGTTTATGCTTGCACGGGCACAGCCTGGACCTCGGAAGTTGAGCTCCTCGGCGATGGCCGCGTGATGCGGTGAGGGCACACCCCGGGCGGTGGCTGGCAGGTGCTCCTGAGCACGTCATGGCACTTCATGGCTTCCCTGCTTCCTCTGAGTGTCCGGATATTTCCGAGCACCGCGTGTCCTGTCGCCCGTGAGGATGCGTGTGGGCAGATGCCGCTGCCCACGCCCTGCAAAGGAGACTATGCGCTGCATGTCCCGAGCACCGATGCCGTTTTGGCGGGACGTCCGCGCGCCTGGCGGCGGCCGCAACGCGAGCCGCACCAGCCGTTCCTCAGCAAGAAACTCCAGCTTGCTGTCACTTGCTGCGGGTCTAATAGGCTTTGCTCTGCTTCTGCCCGTCTCAGAACCGAGCGCTGCTTGATGGGCTCGGGAAGTTGTAAAAAGTCCGGCGGCTCATCGTGCGCATAGAGGGGTCCTGCATTTCTGCGGATTTGTCGAGTGCATCGATGTCAGGCGAAGACCCAACCTGTCCTTTAGGAGGAACTATCAAGTGAATACAGCCATCAGGCGCCTGCGAGACCCACAGGCCATCACAGACCATCACAGACCATCGCAGGCCATCACAGGCCACAAGGCATCGACTTCAGACCATTCTCGCATTGCGCCTGGCGGCTGTAGTCCCTAAACGTTGGCCGAGCATCGTTGCAGACTTCCGTAGTGCTTACCTCCGGGCGAGAAAGAACGAAGGTACAGGGAGTCTACTCGGCCAGCAAGTACGGGTAGTCAGAGTAAACACAACAACCCTGACGAAATCACTCCTTGGGACCCCAGGAGCCACAAACCTCTCTGCATCCAACGCAAAGCACTCGCAAAGCTCCGCCTCGGAATCTTCTGCCTCTGTGTCGACGTCTTGCTTGATTGCCACTTCACCATAGCCTGAAAAGAGTCAGCTGCAAATCACGCCTGCCGGTGCAGGCCCTTGCCGCCACAAACAGTTGCCTGGGCTGGCATCCAGGTCCAGGCACTTCTCATGACCGTCTTCGACCTGAGTTCGCTTTCACGACGCAGGTCCGAGGTCCGACGAGTCGGTGCTTCTTGAGATACGTGCGTTCTTGATATCTGCAAGCGGGAGAGCTTGACGATCCATCTCACGTTGCCTCAGGGCCTCGCGACCTGCGAAGGCAAGAGGGGGGGGTTCATCCGAAGCAAATGCAATACTCTCGAGAACAACAGCAGCAAAAATTCAAGCCGCCGACTCCGCACTGCGGAGACAAGGCGGCGGACTCTGGGAGGCGCCACAGGCGAATATCGGACCATCGACCTGTATCGGAACTCCGTTCTGAGCAGCTCTGCAGAAAGTTCTGGTGAACAAATTCATAAACGGGTCGTCAGGCAACTGCAAACGATGGCTGCTACGACACTTGATCACAGCTGTCGCATGGGGGTTCTTGATGGTTCTTGGCTCCAGGGTTCCCCCAGGATGAAGACTTTCGGGTCGGGCCGAAGCGGTCCAAGCCGTCGAAGCACGATGCTTGCAACTACGCCACAAAGACCAGCCTCTCGAGCGTAAGTGGTTCCTGCATGTCTTCTGGAGCTCGTGGCCGGAACGGGATGAAAGCACCGTCCTGGCTGGAAGTTTGACCTACACTACTCGTGCGTCTTGGTTTCGCCATTCATTGAAATTGAAGGTGTGGGCGATGTTCATGGTACTGCTGGTTTTCTCTCCGACACAAGATTGGCACATGCAGCAGGTGCGCCATGGTTCTTGTGTGAATTTCCCGAACCTTTTCCTTGGATAAGGGCTCATAGACAGCAGCAAAGTCGTCAATGTTTTCCTGCCCAGTCTCAGAGTACTGCTTTCCCTCCAAAAAACGATCCTACTCAGGGTCTAGTCTGCTCCATGAAGGTCATGCTGGCCTTCCAAGAAGCACAGGCATTCATTGTGGGCCGTCACGGAGCCCTGAAAAAGCCTACGAGTCCTGACACCCTTCGGTGCCAGGTGATTGGGCTCGGCCTCGGAAATTCGCGCGCACACATGCAGCATACACGGTGAGGATCGGTGAGGCATACATGTGCCAGCACCCATCGGCACGTGGAAGAGCGTTGGAAGAGCTAGGCCTCCTGCCACGAATCCGTTTGGAGCTGGCGGCCCTATTGGGTGAAAAGTCTTCGAGCGGTGATTGGTAGCCTGTTTATCACCACAATCTCCTCATCGTGGCCTAGTGGCCCAGCTTGAACCAAGGAGCAGCACACATGATCACACATGCAAGAATCAGCGACGCAATGAAACGCTGGGTACGGAGATGCCTGAAAAGCACTGGCTTTGCCAGCTGGCCACGAATTCCGACGGAAATTCAACTGCAGAAACCGATTCTTGCCTATCACCTAGTGAGCCGAAGTTAACACTTGCGGTTAGTTTCTTGATCTTGGTGTCCTCTGGGTATTTATCAGAAATGGGAGGCTTGCTTGCAGCAGATTGTTTCTCACATTGGTTGGTATTCTCTGCTAGGACTCCAGGACATACCAAGTTATAAGTCTCATTGAAGATCTTGGTTGGTTTGTTCCCCACGGAATAAGTGGGGTTGCTAGATCTTACGGAGAATGGCACACATCATGGGGTGCGACGTGCTCAGGGCAGCGAGCACAGTACAAGATTCAGGGACAAAAGGCAGCCCGCAGGCTGTTAGGGAGAGGCAGGCCGTGGAGTTTCAGGCAGCTGTACCGAATGTTGCCGTAGCAAGCAAGCCCAAAAGGGCTCAGGCGGGCAGCTGTACCAGAATGTTGCCTAAACATATTAGACAAAGAATCTCCGGCGGGCACCCGTGTCAGAATGTTGCCTCAGGCGGGCAGATGTATCAGAATGTTGCCTAACAAACAGGCCAAGGAGGCCCAGGCGGGCAATTGACATATAGTATTGCAATAGAAAAACTCTATGAAAGCTCCGGAGGATATGACAATGGAAGAGATAACCGAACAGTTGGCGATGTACGACCGGCTGTAATTCTAATTACAAGTGAAGGCAAGAGGAAGGGGAAAAACACAAATAAAAAAGCGGCATTCTGCCTAAAGAAATTGAAGCAATATTGTCTAAAGGACAACAGTACCAATACCGCGCCAGAGGACTTGGCCGAAAAGCAAGTGGCCGAGTTCCCTTACAGTCAAAACAAGAAAGTGCCCAAATATGACATGAACAATGGGAAAGTTGTCATGCCCATGCATGCCGAGAAAGCAGCAGAATGCTGATATCAAATCTTTGCCAATGAGCAGGTTGTACTTCTGTTTGACAGGGCTGGTCATTGGAGCAGGCAAAGAAAGGACTCTGCAGGAAGCGCGGAGACACAGTTGCACAGCAATGCACTCGGCCTATGAGTATCAGATGGACTTGTTCTTTACTAGAAAAAGCTGTTGAGATGATAGTGATCGGCGTTTTCCATAAACTCATGCCGAGACAAGGCAAGATATAGAGAGAGAGAGAGAGGAGAGCGGAAGATTTGACGAGTGGGCTGATAGAGTGCTTGCATAAGACGAGGAAGAAGCCGAAAAGAATGTTTACAGATGGTGAGGGCGCTTTGTCTAAAGATTCCAGGCAAGCCCATTTGAAGGAGCAAACGATAGAGCGCTGCAGAACCAGAACGACCCCTGAAACATATTCCCTTAACTTCATTCCCTTAATCCTATTCCCTATACTAGGGGCATCCTAAAAGAGCCGGACCCCTAACTCGAAGGCCGTTCCCTAAGCATAAAGCCCAACGAAGAGTCCCGAGGAGAGACCCTGAAATCCAAAACAAACTGCCCCCCCCATTCCGTCAATCTTGTCGCTAGCTTGAGGCTTGGCCAATATGATTGAGCCTTTGTAATTTAGGGACTCTCCCCTTTAGGAATACAACAAGCTCTTCTCTTTGGCCTTTCGGATGAGGGAAATCCTGCTCCCTTAGTCCTTTTCGCTAAATGGCGGGATCCCTATTCGTTTAAGATTTAGCGAATGGGATCTAAGCCTCGCGGGGGCACTAAAAACTGATTTGGGGAGGTAGGGCGCATACATGTTTTCAGGGCAGGCTGCAGGTCAGACCTTGAGATTCGAGCTGAATTCTTCCAGCCATTTCGTATGATGCGAAGCGTAGACAACTTCAAGCTGGCAGAGGCAGGCTTAACGTGCCATGCAGATGTCGCCCAAACAGAACTGTGGCTCAAGGTGACTTTTTCAACTCTGAGAGCCACTTATTCTGCCTTCTTCGCCTGGTCAAAGCTCACGTTGATGCCGTCACTCGACACTACCAGCATGCAGAGCACACTACCCAGTGGTGATGCGCCTTGCTTTTTCGAGCTCTTGCTGGGGCCGCTAGAGTCTCCTGGCTATTTTGTGCTACAGAATTGGGACAGCTGGGAGCCTAGGTTGCTTCATGCAGGGAGGCTCTGCGCGAAAGCGGCGTCCTGCTTCTGAGCTGCTTCCGCGGAAAGCTTCTGCGCCTGAACGACGACGGCTTTTTCTGCAGGCCGCTGCATGCTTCACCGGCAGCTCTAAGTCACGGCTCAGAACCGAATCACACACTGAGGTCGAGTCGTCAATTGGGAAGAAGACCTCCCTAAAGTTGCCAAAGCAGCCCTGTCAGGGCTTCAGCAGAGAGCAAAGCAGTCTGCCAACAGGATTCCGTTCAAAAGCAACGGCGGCCCAGTTGTCTCGTCTTCATCGTTTTCATCCCTTGCTTCTTGCACGGGAGTTCAGGGAGTTCGAGAGATGGGCCCTCCTGCAGGTCCCATCGCCGGTCGACCTTTGTACCGGATGACGTGATGGGATCACAACGTGCAAACGCCTGCAAGGCTGCACGAGCACCACCTCTACACAGCTGGGTCTCTGTGAGACATCTCTGCGCGTAGAGGTGCTTCTTTGAACAGGTTTATTCGGAACATTAACGGCCCCAAGCTCCTCCACCTTGGGAGAAGGGTGATTTAAAAGAGTCGCTCAGACCGCCCGCATCGCTTAACCGAGGCAGCGTCTTGACTTCTTACTACGTCACTATGTTGTCTGCGCCAGTGCGCAGCTCGATCGGCTAGATCTGCGTTCTGATTGTTCTGGACTGGCTGGAACAAGCCTGGCTCCTCAAGAGATGAAGGGAGGATCAGGGAAGCTTCTGCAAAGTCCACCCAATCCACATACGCACAGGCCAACAGGTCAGCACAAGGACGAGAGGAAGCTACGTCGCTGCCTCGCCGCTGCTCGCTGAAGAACTTCACTTGGTCCAGGTCAAACTCTTCTTGTTGTCGCCGCAGACTGGGCAGGAGACCGCAGGACTGCTTGCACCGAGGTGCTTAAAGGCCAAACTTCCCGAGGACCAGGGTTTCCGAAACTCTGAAAGCATGAATCCATCTGAGGGCCAGGCAATTCTTCCATGTTTGTCTCTCCCAGCTCTGATTGGTTGAGCTCGTCCCGAGTGCTGTACTCGAGGAGCAGCCCTCAGTCCAACGTCCAAGTTCCAAACTGAGAGCCAAGAGAGCCATGAAAGCCTTAAGACCTTAAGAGCCATGGAGGGTCTCAAGACAAAACAGAGAGATCCCAAGAGAGACCATTGCAAGCTCATGCAAGCTCCCACGCCTGTCTGGCGGAAGAAGTCGACAAACTCTGGCCACGTCATCGAGGCCCCTCCCGCAGCGTCGAGCTCATCCAGCACCGCCTGTCCGGACTCTGCAGTAGCTGATGCTACCGATGCCACATGCAGATCATGCAAGATCATGCAGCCACCAACTGCTTCTGCAAATGCCTCTGTAGCCTGTGCCTCTGTACATGTGCGCATGTCAAACACTGCAAATCACTGCAAATCACTGCCAAGGTACTCGTACCCAATGCATGTCGTCCTGGCAGATTCTATCAATGCTGGACAAACTGGATGATGCTACACAGTAACAGCAGCTCTGGCAGTTTGCATCAGGGGTCCCTCGTCAGCTTTCCAGCGGTCGGCCTATCCTCCGGCCGGAGCTGCCACAAGCGGCCTTCCGACTTCTCCCTCAGTAAGAAGACGAGGTCCATGATCTCCTTTCGAGGACTCACATATTGCAACGAAACCCTGCCGATCCTCAGAGACACGCGGGGCCTGGTGTTTCATCATTCCCAGGATCAGCTTACGCACCGTGACTTCCCCGGAGCGGTTCGTGTCCAGCAGAAGGAACCACTCCTCCAGCCGCGAGATGCTGTACGCCACGCCCGGGCGCAGGCGTGTCAGGCCCTCCTTCACAGGCATGCGGAGCTTCGTCAGCATGGGCGTTGGTCGCGTTGGCGGCCTCGACTCGTCTGACTCTGGCCGCTCTGGCCTCTGACTCGCTGTACTCTCGATACTGGCGGGTCCCTGTGCTTCGGAAGGCTTGAGCTTCATGTTGCTGTAGCGCCTGTTCTGCTCCGAGGTGGGCAGTTGGAAATGGTAGCGAGACGTCGTTGCTGTCAGAGGTTGAAACCGGGAGCTGATCTTCATGTTGTACTTCTCGCCCAGCTCGACCTTGTCGTTCTGGAGCAGGATCTCCGTCTGCGGCGCCTCTGGGCATATTACTTGTTGTGGCCAAGGGCAAGTCTAGATGAGGACATCAGAGAAGCGAGCCTCTGAGAAGGGCAGCTGCCAATCAGTGAGTCCATTGACCAAGGCAGTTTCACAGGGAGATGCTGAAGCTGGCTTGCAAGGGCCAAAGCCCTTGCCGTAGCCCTGGCCAGCCTTGAAGATCCAGGTCTCATGTATCTCATGTCATGTGCAAAGTTTGCAGCGCCAGTTCTGCAAAAAGGTAAAGTGAGCACGGGACGCGGTAAACATCGGCCTCCTTAAGTCCCTGATCACCTGCAGGGTCATCGCAAGGAAACAGAACCAGAGCAAAGACCCTAGCTATATGGACCTACGGTGGAGAGAGAGGGAGAACGAACACAACATGTCAAGGCTCCGGTACATGATGGCACGGAAGCGGAAGTGAGGGAAGGGGGGCAATGAAGCTGTTGCCAAGCGGCGCCCACGCATGCTGCCACGCGCGGTGATTCGCATGAGCATCGAGCGAGGCTTTGCCATCGTCTTCGTTCGAGCTGTGCTTCGCCTTGGACACTTGCTAGAAGGAGCCTACATCCCACTCTACAATCTCTGAAAGCTAGGAAGCGAACATAGCCGGCGCCGGCTCTGTCGTGTTCGGTCTCGATGGTTGGGATGGAGCCGAGGGAGTGAAGGCTCTTCCTTGCGTTGACAAGAGACTGACGAGTCGGCAACTGCGGTGCCAAAGCCGTCGCCTCCAGAACCAGTGGTGACTGAGGCGACGGAGTCCGGTCGTTCGCTCTTTGCGGCCATGGCGAGCAGCAAGAACTTGCAGAAAGTTGCAAGGAGCAGGGACCAGACAAGAATCTAGCTCCTACGAAGATGGCTATCTGTGGGCTCTTTCTCGTCGTTTCATCACACTGTCTTTTCTGTTTAGAGCAGGCCTACTTGGCAGAGTTCGCTTGAGCACCACAGTTGGAAGTCCAAAATCGGCTGCTCACAAGTCAGGTCCAAAATGCCCGAATGCAAACGAGTGCTCAAACAGCTCCGGAAAGTCGGTGAGGCCTTGTCGTACTCGTTTGTCAAGAACTTCAGCTTCTCCTTCCCTTCCTCACCTTCCTGCTTTAGGCAGAACTTCACGTAGCTCCACTTGCTCAGCTCATTGGTGGTGGTTCCTGGCGGATGGGGCGCGCGGGACCTATCAACGCACTTCTATGGGCCTATCGGCCTGCTTTCACGAGGTAGAGATGCCAGCCGAAGAAGCCGAACAGGACGATTCCCATAATGCAGCACAGGGCGCAAATGAAAACCACCATGCCCTCGCAAACCGAGGTATTTGCAGCGAGATTGTGGAGTCTCAGGCAGAGCATCATAAGCCGACATGAACTGAACAATGGAGCTCCAAACAAATGGTACCAAGACGTGCCAAAATGCCTCGGTGGCAAGCAAATACTGCATCACCATCAGCTTGGTGGCTTGGAACTTTTCCTGAGCCGGGCCCTATCTCAGCTCGTCTCAGCTCCATCACAGAAACAGGAATTGCCGAGGCACGCGAGTGTCCGGTCGAACGAACACGGCGCTGAAGAGCTCCTTTTGCACCTGTTTCGGAAAGGCAGTGGGAGCCCCAGGGAACGCGCTAACCAGGGGGGTCTGCAGCCCTGTGAACTCTTGCCAGGCTTGCGGTGAGGTTGTATAGGATTGTTGCCGTCAGGCCTTGGATACCGGAAGATGACGCAATGCAAGTGCACTCCTACTCTGCGAATCCATGCGGCTAGGGTCCAAGCCGAAGCCATAGAAGCAAATTACGAGGTGCACACCCAAAAACCTCAAGGTGGAGGCTTTGTGCCGTTTGATGCAGTGCCCTGCAGCCCTCGGAAGCAAGCCAAGGCGCGCTAGAAAGTAGCGATGGTTGCCGACGCCCACGCAGTTGTTGATCCAAATGCAGTGGTGGTCGAACCTGTCTCGGGCAAGCTTCAACACACGAGAATCGACCCCCGGCCCGCGGATTGCTGTCCCCGTTGCGTTGAATTTCCAGTTCCGATGATGATGTCTCTTCCACATGCGAAGCCATTTTGCTCAATGGCTCCGGCTCTGACAAGAGTTGTAATTACATTCTAACACTCTACATACTCTGCACAAACTGGCTGTCGCGGTGGTCGCAGAAGATCTGGCACATTGACAAAATTTATAACAGTAGCGTACCCGCACTTCTTCATGGTTGGTTGTTGGCTGTCCTTTTTGCCCTTGGCTTGGGTTTTATTCTGCGTTCTTGGAGGGAAGGGGTGGGGGGCCCGTGGAATCTGAATTGGTGCTCCGTGATGCTTGGCACCCCTTCTTTCCACAGCCTTTTCTGTGTATCCCTACTCATGCGATGTGGCTGCTACGTATGCTTTCCGCAGACAAGTTTCCCCGAAATTGATGTTGAGGGGAAACGGAATACAAGCCGAAGTTAGAATCGTCAAAGATGCCCGGGAGTCTGGAGCTCAAACATGGTTGAGACTCGAGACAAAAGCCAAAGGAGTCAACGATGCCAGTGACCAGAAGAGCTGACAAGAATGGATGTTTAGACCCACCGAGGCCTGGCGACGCAGTGGTTGCATAAGGAGCAATGCTTGGAGCGCGCCGGCTTTGCAAGTTCGCAAGATCTGCAGATGGCCATGTGGAAGATCTGCTCGTCCCACTGGCAAAAGCAGTCTTTTCTCCGAATCTCTGCATAAGGAAGCATTGCAAAACCCTCGCCTTCCACAGATCACAAATCTTGTCCAGATTCTGTGGGGTCACAATCCCTGGGTCAGCCTCATGAGGGGCATTATCTCTCACGCAAGAACGGTGAGCAGTTGCGGGGCTCGAACAGTGCACGCTCTCCACCAAATCGCCAAGCACGTGGAGAAGATGCCAAAGCCGATGTACTTGTGGATGCTGCTAAGCAGCCTAGGCAGGCTAGAGCCCTTTTGTCGATTGCACACCAGACAAGCTACCAACATCTAGTAAGCCTGGGGCTTGTTGGGAATGTGCGGGTGGCTGTATGCCACGAAAGCGGCGTAGCCGCCCACCACGACAAGCAACTAGGCAGGCAAGTGCCCGGCGACATGGCGGCGACCATGGTGATCTTTTCAAAGTTGATGTAAGCTCCCGGCATAAAAGATCTGCACCAAAGGATTGCTCGTGTAGCAAACGTACACCCAAGCTGCATCTAAAGCGGCCGGAGCTCGCTTTCCGAAGACCTTCTCGAGAGCCTCCCAGCAAAAGGGATGCTTTCGAGCATCCGAGTCGCAAGGCGTGTTACACAGCGCAGGTCCTAGGTGCCTTCTTGAGAAGTCTTGGAAAGTGCAGGCAGAAGAGACGGTAGAGCTTGTCGAAGATGGAGTTTCCATGCTCTTTGCCCCATAGGAAGATACCTGCTACTCAGACAGCTACGCAGGCAGTCTTCCAGAGTTTCGAGGGGTTGCACTTCTCGACTCTCAAACACTGCACAGGGCACCGACTCCGACTCCACCGATCACGATGTACGCCGCGATGGTTATGTAAAATATGCTCATCAGCCGCAAAAGCTTCCAAGTACCAAGTTGGATCCTTGTGCGAAGATCACCAGCCTTTAGCCAGCGCGTGAGTGCAGCCCTTAGTTCAAGCGCGCGTTGTTGTAAACACAGGCTTGTGTGTGTCTGTGTGCTAACTGCTTAGTTTCTGGGCGGTGCTGGCTGCCTATGCTGTCGGTGCTGTCTATGCTGTATATGCTGTCAACCGAGCCAAGGCGGACGACAGACCAGCTGTGAAGGGGCGTCTCTCTCTCTCTCTCTCTCTCTCTGCGCATCACCGGCTTGGAGCGCAGCTATTTTAGACGCCCGCTGCAGACACACATGTTTGCCCTCGGGGGCCTTGTGACTGAACGGTGAGACTGCGTGAGACAGAGTGAGATGTGGCAACAGAGTGATCTACCTCGTCGTAACAGTCATGGTTCCCATGCTGGTGCTCCTTGTGTCCATGCCCACCTGAAAGTCCGAGAGCCACTGGGCCAGGTTCGAACAGTGAGGAGTTCCGTGAGTCTCCACGCCTTCAAGACGATTCGCCCGGTAGCTTCGTCTATCTGGCGCTTGCCGCGAATGAACGTCCTGACAGCTCGGCTTTGTAGTCAACACTCAACATGGTCAGTGCTGCATTGCCAACGACCCAAAAAGAATGAACTGAACAGCTCACACAAACACCGTCAAAGCGCAACCCATGATCGTGGATCTGAGTATGAAACGACAGGCAACATTAATCCGAGGCACTGAGGAAAGATGTCCACTCGGGCTTTGGGAGCTGATCGGAGGATCTCCTGCAACCCAAGGTGGGGGCTACAGATGCCAAGGTTTGCATGACTTCCCAACCTTGCGGTTCAGCTCCACATGGTGCTTGAGCGTCTTGGCGCCTCGGTGACACCAGAATTTCGGCTTCTTGGCTCGCTCAGACCGCTAAGACGAGCATTGTGGCAGAATTCCAGAAAAATCAGGGTCCCGGCCCTCCAGCCGTGAGGCGTGTGTTTGAAGCTTGCCCTGGCCAAGAGCACCGTTCGCACAGACTGAGCAGCTCTTTGCTCCTACTGCTGGCGTGGAAACAGGCCCTTCTGAGAAGCTCAAACAAGGCGGGGGTGCCACAGTCTCTTTGTCGCCAGCAAACTCAGCACGCCGCATGTCTTCGAAAAGCTTGTCTATGCGCCTGCCAAACTCCAATGCCTCTGCCCTCTGCCCTCTGCCAAATGAAACTGCACGAGAAAGATCAGATCAGGTATGATCAGGAGTCCTTTCGAGGTGCTCGTCATCAAACCGAGGCCAGTCTAGCTTCCTGCGGTGCGAGATCTGGGTCTGGGAGCGAAGCAACCCTCGTCGGGACAGAAGCTGGCCGCTGGACGCAAAGAGTTCCGCCGAGTTGCAGGAGCCAGGTGATCACTTCTGCTACCGGCATGGTCGCCTGACGGCTGAGAACAGGCCCACGAGCTCGAGAGAGTTGCAACTGAGAGGGCTCACCGATGCGTCTTGCATCAGCTTGTCCAGAGCGTGAGGCATGGCCTTCACCTGCAGGCTGTGAAGCATCTATCTAGGATGGAGATGTATGTACACATGAGTGACCGAAAGCACATTACAATGTAACGTCATCAAGCCATAATGTTCTTAAAGTACGAAATACAAAAGGGCGTTCAAACATCTCATTGGCTATGAGATATAAGGTAGAGTATAGGATCCAAGATACGAGATAGAACATGCAAGATACAAGGTATAGTATAAGGTATAAGACATACGACATCAGGTATACGGCATATCCTAGACCGTAGAGCAAAAAACCACAAGAAACCGAGTTAACAACATAGAATATGTACTATCGCATATCAAGTTGTCGCTTCTCTGATAATGAGAGGCATCATAGCAGCTAATAAATACTAACACTCATACGAATCCTAATACTTATCCTACTTCAAATATACTAATGCGCATACGAATAGAAATACTGATACTTGCATGCACTGATGAAGTTCCAGATTTGCCTTGCCCTTCGACTCGGTGTGAAACTTGAGGCTGCGCGCCAGTGCTGTCATGCCCTCTTCCACTTCATCCTCCGCATCGCGCAGCATTGCGTCAGGGCAGCATCCCTGCGCGGCCCTGTGCAGTGTCTCCGCGTGTCTGCAGAGTCCTGCTCCGCTAACTCCTCGAAGACTGCCGCCGGGCTTTTCAGAAAGCGGCCAACTTCTTCGACCCCGGTCTCCCCGAGCTCCTTTACAGGTAATATATAAATACATACATATACCTATACCTATACCTATACATAGACATAGACATATACATATACATATACATATACATATATATATATATATACAATCCAGAAATATATATATATATATATGTATATATATTTATATATATATATATAGTTTGTTTTTTTTGGGAGGGCGGAGCTGCGAGGTGAGATCGAGGTGGCTCCTTGGCCAAGGCCTCCACATCCGCCTTCGTGAGCTCCTTCTTGGCCTTGGACTCAATGAAGCTGCGCATCTCGTGGCACTCCCAAGGTGTGGGCCTGAGTGAACTTCGTTGGCGGGGCTTCCAAGCAAGAAGCTTTGTACTCAAAGGTTTTTGTCGATTCTTTAAGGTAGGCAGCTGCAACGGTAAAGCAAAAACTGCATACTACAAACCTAGCCCGAGTCTGAATCTCGCCCAGCAGTTGCGCGGAAACCATCCATCAAACATTATATTCTTCACCTTCTCAGTACTCGCTCCTGGTGCCCACGCGCCTCAACGTCTCATGGAGAATCTTTTTCCTGAATAGCCCACATGCTTGCACATGCTTGCAAGCATGAGAAGATATGAGAAACATGAGAAAACCCCGGCACCCTCCCAAACCAGTGGCTCCTGGGGTCCATCCAACGATCCCGATTGGCTTTGAACATTTTGCAGTCCGGCGGTGCATCCTGTCTGCTCTCCAAATCTGTGCTGCGAGTGCAAGAAACTAGACTTGCGACGGTGGATTCCTTGGTTGCCCCACCTTGCCGGCGGCGACATGGAAGCTCTTGCTCATGGAGAGCTCTTCTGCTTGCCTGTTGCAGATGGTGCGAAAGGCATGGCCAAGCCCTTCGGGTTCTGAGTGCTGGGCCTCCGCCTCTCCTGGATGCTGCGAGCTTCGTGAATACACTGCCTGGAAGCACAAAACAACTGCGACACTTCAGGGTGTTTCTGATGAACGACGTTGGTGTATGCTACACGCTTTGGGCGGGTGTGGAAGCAAACATGGCAAAAACAACCCACGTCACGCCGAAGGCTGCAGAGGGAGGGGCAGAACCAGTACTTCCTTCATGAAAGATGACGAGGATAAACCGTTACGCCGCAAATTTTTGCAAGCTGACATCTCGTAAAATGGGCTGGCAGATGCTCGTAGTAGTATGGCAGTCCAGAGCGTTAGCAGCTAAGGCTATCCAGAGACACAGAAAGTTTGCTTGGCTTCGAGATTCAAACTAAGGCACAAGAACACACAGTGTGTGAGGCAACTTAAATAGGGCCAACGGGAGCACAAGAAGCTCCCATGATGTCATGTTTGCACAAGCACGAACTGCATGAGGTCAAATACTCGCGTTAGCCTCTCCAGCACGGAGAACTGATGGCCCTTCGGTCGAGGCTTCTCCACCTTGGCTGCAGAGACCTCGCGCCAGCGACAGCCATGTATGCCGTGTATTGCTACGACAGCCATGCATACCGTGCATACTGGCTGCTACGTCTCCTTGTCTACAGAGAGTTCGCTTCTAAAGTTACAGGGAAGGCAGCAGCGACGCCTAGCCCTTACAACAGGCACAACAGCGACAGACCATGACAAACCTGGTCTTGACTCCCCAAACGCATTGGCCTTATCCAGGTTCGGTACAACTTCATCCGCCCGAAGTCGCTCCGCCCCTTTGACGGTGTGCTGGTCTAAAAGTTCCACCTCTCGGGACAGCTTTGCCATTACCCAATACTACCCTACTTTCCGTGAACACCCAAGCTCGGCCTGAGGCACGTGGTAGATGAGGCGGAGCCTGTAGTCTGGCTCCTCTGCCACCTAAGGCAAGAATTGCATGCTGTCTGCGGTCTTTCATGTACAGTACACACTACACACTACGTGGCCACATGCAGGCTACGTATACCCGACGCGCACCGGATTGTCAAAGAGCTCCAACTTCTTGAGGAACGGGAATCTGAGCAGCAACGGTGTGCGCGTGTGTACAGTGCACACACTCCGCGCACTGGACGGCTGGGCAGACCTTGATAGCAAGGCCAGCTGCTTGTCAAGATTTCGCAGCTGGTTCCCGCTTGCTAGCAAGACCTGCAAGAGCCGGGCCGACAGTAGACCCAGTAGACCCAGCAGACGCTGACTGGCCCAAAAAACGCTAAAAAAACAACAACAAACCCTGGACACCCGCAGGAACTTGAAGCTCTTGAGCCCAGCCAAGGACACCAGGCGATTGTTCTGGATGTACACCTCTGCACGGGATGGGATGCTAACTGATACAGTTTGGGGCATGCTCAGCAAGCACCTGTCTCACAATCTGGCCTCCCGGATGCGAAAGTTTGTCTCGAGGTTCTCCACTCGTGACAAACGATTTCCCTGGAACCTCGCTTGAGCGGATCCCGACGCAACACGAGTCCTCGCTTCGTATTTCTGGGGCCAAGTGCCAGATGACTTCGAGCGAGCCTCGGAGCATTGCAAGGCTCAACGCCAGCCGTTGTAAGAGCTCTCCACCGCAACCCGTGGCCCCATTGTAATGTGCACAGCTGGTGTCCCTGAGACTGGGACTGAAGTGCTCGAACTTCTTCGAAATGGATTCCGCACCCTGATTGGCCAAGTGAACCTGTACTGAAGAGAGGGGAGAGAGTTTGCTGCCGAAAGCAACACTGCGGCCGTCCTCAGTGCATTCCGAGGCATACTTGCGATTCTTCTTGGCAATGCCTTGCCGGAGGTGACTTGAGCGGAGAGGCGCTCGAGAGTTACAAAACCATGGCCACGGCATTGGTAGGGATCCAGCTCCATGCACTCCTGGATGTTCCGACAAGCGCTGAAATTTGCACTTTTGTGGCACTGTTGTGCACTTCCCCCACGATTCTGCGAGCAGCCCATGCAGCCCCTTTGAGCATCTGAGCTGGTATCCAAGCTTCCGCAGCAGAACGCTGTGTCACTCACTCTGCGAGGTGACTAGCGGAGCCATCAACTGGGCATGCAATCAAATATAATCAAACGGTGGTGGTGGGGGGTGGTAGTGGTGGTGGTGGTCGTGGTGGTAGCGGTGGTGGTGGTGGTGACCTGATGCAGCTGGATTTTGGGGGGTTTGACAAGGGTTTGGCGGCTGCACCCGCGATGGCAGGGCTGCACTACTGTCCTACCCTACCTGCGTTCGAGCCAAGATTTGAGCTCAAGTTAGACGGGCCGCAAGGAAAGACTCGCGGCCAAACAAAGGCCCGGCAGGTTTAGAGGCCGTGCGCAAATGACAAGGCAAGCACACAAGCCGGACGAACTCCAGCAATCTTTTCGCGGAAGAGCCGCCGCCGTGCTCTGCGGACTCAAGTGGCCGCTTGCTCCCGGCCTTCCTGCAAAAAGAAATGCCGAGAGCATGGGTACGGAGAAGCGGTATTGCAAACGGAATGAAGAGGCGCTGAAGGTGAGTCCACGTGTCGTCTGAAATCTGACGGAAGCCCAGAATCCGCACATATCCGCACCTTTCTGCTGTGTTGTCAGATGCCGCTGCCTGTCAGTGCAACAGCCTTGAATATTCGGGACCAACTCTCTATCCAAGTGCAGGGCTTTACTAAAGAACTGGAAGTATCGAAGCACCAGCTGAGGTTGTGCCCTTTTAAAGCAGAGCCGTTGCGAAACATACGAAACTCGAGGCACTTTGGGCATTTGGGGGGAATCCGGGTCGAAAAGGCGCAGGGCCGCTTTGAAAACAAGGGAGATGCCGCCACTTTACATCCTGACTCATTTACTTGCTCTGTTGGTGGTGCTAGATTCCGATTGTCAGCGAGAACGTAGAGCGCAGCTTACACTGGTGCTGGAGGCCCGGCCAGGCCACTCGCTGTGGCGTCGGAAGACCTGGCGACAGAAGTCTTGGATTTTCGTGAAGTGATGATAGCTCACGCGACCCCGTTGAGTTTTGCACGGGCGTGAGAGGCTGTTCAGGGATGCAAGGCCCCAACCTTGGCAAGAGAATCAGGACATGGGCTAGCAGACACATCCACCCTTGTGCGCAGCATTGTGCAACCAAACGACCTCGGGCTCGCAGGTGCCTTCAAAACAGCAGACCGAGCGGAAGGCGGCGTAAGCCAGTGCAAGGCTGTCTTCAGCAAAGAGCCTGCCTGCTCAACGACGCAGCTGGCGCCTTTCGCAGCTTGAAGCCCTGGCGTTGCCAGCTGACATCGGACGAAGAGTGACTCAGGCTATCATCTGCCACAGCCACACAAGCCTCCATACCTGACCTCAGTCGGTCCAGGAGGCTCTGGCCTGCGATCTCAGGACTTCACTGACTTGACTTTGAAGTTTTGTGGCTTGTTCTCGGCCGATGCCACCAGGCTGGGGCCCCCAACACCAATTTGCTGGAGTGCCACCCTCTGCAAGCCGCAAAAACTGCACACTTGGGGAAATTTTGATGACACGCGAGAAGAGAGAAGTTGTGATCGCCTGGTCCATGTGCTGAAGCAGGGCAACTGGCACCTCGAGCCTGAGTTGTAGGAGTCTCCAATGGCTGCCCATGCCAAGCTTCCTCCTTCACTCTCTGAGAGTTTCGCGTCTCTGGCAATGCAGCTGCCCGCTGGTCCACCTCCTTGGAGCCCATGGTTGCCGAACACACGTTGATGCGAAGGAAGCTGAATCCAAGGGGCTGCCAATACTGCGACGTACTTTTGCAGCTTCTGGTTCAGGGCCTGTTGGCAGACGCCATCGCAAGCCCACAGATCCAGATCTGGGTCACGTGGCTTTCCAGAAGACTCACGCGACCCGACGCCTCATCAGCTGCACCTTGCTCAAGTGCATCCAGAACGTCCGTGATCACTCTCAGGAGCCTTACCATGGCAGCACTCCTCTAGGGCCCCAAGCTACACAGCTAAAAAAAAAACACGCCCAGGAGCTGCTGGACTGACACCTGCCAGTGGTGCGAAGCAAAAAGGCTAGGGGAATCTCTAAGGGATGCTATGACCAGAGAGTCGCAGGTGGGCATCTAATGATCCAGGCTTATGGCCCCCGGCCTGCAGCCTGTCGCATGGATCTACGGAAACTGCAGAGATCGCCCGTGTCTCAGCACGGGCGGAGTCCATCGACATTTCTGGGGCTTGAATGGGTTTGACGTGGTGAGTAGCAAAGCTGGCCCTGGCGCTGTGACTCCACTCTCTGACAGAGTTCTAAGGCAGCTTGAGGGCCTGCACGCCTGCAGACCCAGATGAGACTGGAAATGCCGGAAGGGTGCCGAAGAGAGACGACACCCAACTCGTAGAACAGACGTAAACTAGAGCCAACTCCTACCTCTGAGGGCGGCAGAAGACAAACAAGCCAAAGTCACTCAAAGGACGGAGCCCAACGTGCTAGTGATGCTGCCGGAGCCCCCCAGAAGCGATCCATCATCACTTAAAAAAGGTTGCTAGGGTTGGGAATGAGGGCTTTTTCGGGTTGTCGCGCTTCAGGATTGTGGCGTTTCTAGGGTTCATTCAGGCCTTTATAGGGCGTGTAGTTCGGGTTTGTATGGCGTTAACAATGGTTGTGGGGCTTACAGGGTTCTAAGGGCGAATAGGGCGCACAGTGTTTATGGGATTCACCGGGCTTTAACGAACTTCAAGGGCTTTAAGGATGCGAGCTGTGGTTTAGGGTTTCAGCGCATTCGGGCTCAAGCACTTGAGAGCAAAGCCCAAGAGTGCGACTCTGAGACCCAGACTTGGTCCGACTTTGCACGAAGCTGAGGGCTCATGAGCATGCCATAATTACTTCTGGGATGCTCCGCCTTGTACTCGCAGTCCATACTAGGGATGATAGTAGGGGGATACTGTATAATACTATACTCCCTATTCAGGACTGTTCGTGTAAGGAGGAACATCCCAAACTCCCTTGGCATGGTAGGCCTCGCGTGCTCACCAGTATGTGAAACAAGGTTTGGGACGCGGGGGCTTTAGTGGGGTTTAGGGTTTAGGGTTTAGGGCTTAGGGTTTAGGGCTTAGGGGATGTTCTGCAGCTTAGATTTGGATGCGTACGAAGGAATCGGCCTCGAAGTAAGGAAAGCCCTGGCGTACTTCTAAGAAAATATTGAACATAGCTCAATTCTAAGCCTGATCCTCAACATAAATGAGAAAAAGGGCGCCCTAAACCCTAAAAACTGAACCCTGAACCAGGGATCCGTTCTTCGCCGAAGCTGCACTCGGACCCAACGTCAACAAGCGTTGTGAAACAGAACTCGGGAAGATCGCTGCGGAGTCTGAGTTCAACCCATGTGCATCTATAGTCTATACTTAGGCCTCAAAGGGGTTCCTATATAGGAGCTTCAGGGCACACGTGTATGCTCAATAGGTACATAGAGCTCAGAGGCTTGGGATGGTTCGGAGAAGAGAGGGCACCCTTGGCGACTACACCTCAGCGAACGATGCCCCTTTCGAGGTCAGTGTATGGGGGATCTTACCCCCAAGCGTCTCCGCAACATCTGCAGACCCTACGTCGATGACATTGAAGCACCCAGCGCAATAAGCCCGAGACCACTCAGAGCCTCCCGCAATGTCACGCTGAGACTGGCCTCCTGCAGCACGCGGCTTAGTTGCACCAACCGGTCCCAGGCCAGCTGAAAACGAGTACCGGGCCCCCCAAACCCTAAAACCCTAAAAGCCTCCAAATACATCATGATCCCACCATGTAAATGCTGTCCATGAAACAGTCCGCAAGAATCTTCGTTAAGTGGCGGCAAGGAATTTTTCCAGAAAGCACTTGCGGAATTTTGCGGCTCTGGCATATTCTTTTGCCATGGTAACCTTGTGATACAAGTCTCGAGAAATATGGCCGAGGGACCAGGGAGTAGTTCTGCAGCTTAGCTGCCACAACGTCGCCCCCAAGTCGATTTCAGCCGTTGGCCGGATGTAACCTGGACCAGCGTTTTAAGACACTACAAGTCTTGGAGAAATAGTCTGGAGGGCGGATGTGTAGCTCTGATTGGTCAGCGCTTTACACTGCTTTGCCCCAAGTCCCAAGTCGGTCTCAGAAGGCGAGAAGGAGGCCCGCTGCAGCCAGGATCCCAAAAAGGAGCGTGACATCAAGACCTTCCGCGCTGCTGCTGGCGTGCATGAGCGTGGCCGTGGCGGTGGCCGTGGTGGTGGTGGCCGTGGCGGTGGTGGCTGTGCGCGTGGACGTGGCGGTGGTGGCCGTGGCCGTGGTGGCTGTGCTGGTGGCCGTGACCGAGGTTGTGGCTGTGGCGGTGGTGGCTGTGGTCGTCCCCGTCGTGGCCGTGGATGTGGTGGCGGTGGACGTGGTCGTTTCCATACCCATCCAGATTCCGCCACTCTCGCCGGAGCCGGCGATCATCTTGGATCCATCGCCGGACACGGCAACATCCTGCCAGTCATAGGTGTTGGTCAACGACCAATGTACTTCAGCCCAGGTACCATCTTGGCTGGTCCAGATCCTGTCGTACGCGACCGCCGCCATCTGGGATCCATCACCGGACATGCCAACAGCCAGCCACTCTCTGGATGTCCAAGTCGACTGACCAAAGATTGCGCCACCATCGCTGCTTGTCCATATGTCGCCGTTCTTGACGACTGCAACAACCTTGCTTCCGTCAGCGGACATGGCAACATCCACCCACTGCTGGGTGGAGCCAACGGATGAGTCTTCCGTCCAGCTCGCGCCACCATCGTTGCTGGTCCAAATGTTGCCGAATTGAACGACCACAACCATCTTGCTTCCGTCATCGGACATGGCAATGCGGACCCAATACTTGGTGCTGCCTACCGAGGTGTCTTCAACCCAGCTTGCGCCACCATCGTTGCTGATCCAAATGTTACGACCCCAGCCATCTTGCTTCCGTCAGGGGACACGGCAATGCCTTGAAAGCTCGCAACTGAGGCTTCAGTCCAGCTTGCACCACCATCGCTGCTGATACATACTTTACTGAACGTGGCCGCAACCATCTTGCTTCCGTCATCGGACACACCGACAGCTTGCCAGTTATGGGAGCCCAGCGATGTGTGGTTCGTCCAGCTCGCGCCACCATCGCTGCTGGTAAACAAGGGCCACATATAATAGGAAGCGATCATTTTGGATCCATCACCGGACACGCCAACATGCACGGAAAGCACACTCTGGCCCCGGTCTGAGACTTCGAACCAGCTGACCCCGAAGGCGTGGCTCAGGCACAACAGGAATGACACTGTGAACATGATTGACAGCAACGCAGGTGGGAGTCAGGGGGCAGCTCTCTCTAACCTTCGCTTGAGAAGTCAGTCAGCGAGCGCCGCGTTGAGGGCCCACGTGGCTGCACAGGTTGACCGAGATGCAGTGGCAAGTGCGAGTTAATTTAGACTGAGACATGCTATTCCCCGTCTCCGCATCGATCGACGTAGTAAGCAGGACGGTGCGGGAGAGACAGAAGAAGAGTCGCTTGAAGCTCAGTCCTCGAGCAGCGAGAGATCTGAATCCAAAGTCATCACCTCTGAGCGCAGAGGCCAAATGGGATGGAACAGGAGCTAGCACCCCCCGACCAACATCAGGTTGCCAGGTTGAGCTATCAAGCCAGTGACACCAGAGCCCCCCTTTCTGCTTTCATGCGCCTTGTCAAACCTTCTTTTGTTGGAAAGAAGTTGCAACAGCGGCAAGTGGCTGGCGCAACGCTATCCGGCGTGCCTCTGCAGCTGGCTGTTCCTTGCAAACATGCAACGTTCACATCTGTTGTTGTGCGTAAATTCACAGACCGTCATATGCAGCATGTGTTGGAGTCCGGTCATACCAGGTCCTACAGCTCAATGAACCCCTGCCAACACTCAGGCAATGACTTTCTCTGCGCTGCATTCTGCGATTGAAGCAAAATGAGCCAATGAACCCCTTAGGTCACAAGCGCGAACTCCAAGACTTTCTTCTCAGCGCTCGATAGTTCTACATGTCGGAAGCCCGAAGCTCCGTCCTGCATATAGTAGTCTACTGTATGGAGAACATATATATTTCTGAATACATTCGTGTGTGTTGCTACATGTATGTGTTCTTATGTATACTTATCTGTATATGTATATATATATATATATAGCCATGTGTGTATATACATACACATACTAGATACATACATATACACATGTAGCATGTGTTCTATCCACGCCCTGGAGCCGCGAAACTCTGAAAGCTGATACTATAGGGTCGGAATCATTGCTGATAGTATTCCCTTGGGCCCCTTTTCAACTACACTCTAATAAACCACCCCAAAACCCTATCCTAACTACTACGGAGGGGGCAGCGGAGCACGACCATGGTTGCGGTTGGCTAAACCATCCACGCAGATGGGAGAGCGGCAACACATCTCCAAGAGCACGCTCTGAAGACGTCAAGGGAGAAGCTTAGAGGGTCTTGTCTCACATGCGGTCGATGAAGGGATTCATCGAAGCGCGCTCGTTGTCCCCGGCACTTGTGGCCGGAAGGAACGGGTTGCCACTGGTAGGGGGCTTCCGGCTCCTGGCAATGGTGAATACAGCGAATGCAGCTTGCATTCTCTTGCTTGTCTTACCGCTGGAGCCTTTGTGCCGGAACAGTCGAGAATGCCACGGGCGTGTTGACCTCAATGACTCAACTTCAGGGTACGACATATGGCGAGAGGAGGCTGCAAGATGATGCAGGAAGATTCCGATTCTGCTGAGACCCCTGCAGAGCGCAGGGCATGCGCGGCATGGGCAGACCAGGGGCGTCGCCTTTCCGGCTGCTCGGCTGCATCGCGACCACATCCTGCGTATCCGCACTCTCGCGTATTGTTTCACCTTTCTGGCTCCTTCCGTGCACAGTACAACGCCACCTTGGTCGCCGAAAACTGCCCATCCAGGGCGCGAGGGGCTTGGACTGGAGAGAACAGCACCAGGGCCTTCACAGCAACACGAGAGAACACGAGCACACTCAGCAAAATGGGAATCTCACGATGAGCAAGGCTGCGGCCAGCAGCATTCGGCGAGCCCGGCACCGACTTTGCCTGGGCCTGTCATTGGTCCGATGGCAAGCACGCGTAATCGTCTGACCATACTAGCATGCGCTGTCAAAGTCAAATTTCTCAAGAGAAAGAAGAGGAAGAGCAAGAGACAGCGGAGAGAGAGAGTGACAGCGAGCGAGAGACCATGTGCGAGTGCCGCGAGCTCGCCCGCTTCAGAACAAGGACCGGTAACGAAAACAGGAGAGTCGGATAGCCATTGGTTTACAGTATGTTTGTCCGTATGGTCAGCGTTGCAAACTAGGTTCCCAGTTTGAGTCCTCGCACATTTCGGGAACAACAAAGCACTTATTAAGAAATCCTGCCGATTCATGTAGTTGTAGTCTCCCAACGTTTTACGGATCGTTTCGCTTACGCCTGTCATCTACCGTATCAAATACAAACAGTACATATGTTACTTATGTTGCTACTTTTCCTTGAAGAACCTCATTACCTTAACCAAGTGTATTGCGTAAAAAATGCGAGAATAATCTAGAAATTAAATATCCACCGTTGCATCATGCTGCGTCTTTGTGATTTGCTTTAAGTGGTGGTGTGTTCTCTGTGTTTTCCATGCTGTTTGCATATGCCGCCCTCCACCCGCTCGCTAGGAGAGCAGCAGCCCTATCTTCACGATCCCACGCATGGCCCAGCACAATTGCATGCGTGTTACGAGTGCAGTCAACAGCCCATCCTGCCAAAGGGTTTCTGTTTCTGGTTCTGGCAGCTCCACCACGAAACAAGACCTTCCAAACATTCAACTGACGAAACAAGACCTTCCAAACACTCAACTGGTTCGTGGCGTCAGCAACTAGGATCGCGTTTTGCTAAAAACGCTATGCTGTAAGTTAGGGCCCTGTCTTGGTATTGAGATTTATACGAGGATTCTTAGTTTATATGCAGGCGGCAAAACGTGCGGCCGCAGCGCTTATCTTTGCTACGGGGCTCTTTCGTTGCAGATTTGTCTGTGTCCGGTCCTGGCCCACTTGACTGCAGGTGTCTGCGGTTCTTCACTTGATGAAGTTGTTTGTACGTGTCTACCTGCCGGGTCCACCTTTAGAGTTTGTTTTAAGCAATCTGGTGGTTGTGCTCCTCCACGGGCTGAGCTGCAAACTTTGATTTGTTGCCGAAATCACGAACAGCCGAATGGTGGCGATCATTTAAGTTCTGCGGATGATTGCCGACAGCGGTTCTGACGTGAATGATTGATCAGGCGCCCGCCTGTGTGGGACTGCGAATAAGGAACCTGATTTAAAGAAACGCTTGCTGTAACTTCCTGAATCAAAGTAGAACTGTTTAACTTAACTTGCGTTACCCATGGGCAGCATTCCGGTGGTATAGTTGTTTGAACTGAAATTTGCGAAGCCGACTTGGCCCCCCAATTTCACGGGCGCAGCTGACCTGATTTAGAGAACTGAGGTCTGTTTTGCTGACCAGATTATGGTTACATCATAACATGCTGAAGCCAATTTCGGAACTTCATGCAAACCAAACACTTGCGTAGCCTTCAATGAGTGATTATAACCTGAATGAAACTCTAGCTCAATGATGTTGCTTTTCAATAAAGAAACCTGCACTGCCAGTCAGACCCCACGCATATAGATGAAAAAAACATGCCCGCCGTTGAGTCGAGGCACGGCCTTGCAATCGGGTTGGGCGATGTGGTCTAAGCGAACCTAAGACAGGCTGCACCCTAACCTGAAACCCTGTGTTGCACTCTAAACCCCTAACACCATTTGAACCCGAAAGCTATGCAGGGAGTCAAGTCGCTGTCGGCTTTGGACAGTCGCTGGCAGCATCTCTGAGCTTCGCCTGCCGAAGCTGTGGCATTCCACAAACTAAACGAAGAATGCGGGGACATGCCGGGCGCCAAGCGGTTGCACCAAGCACCCCGTGAAAGGGATTGGCGGGAGTGGCCTGACAAGGACATCGCCGGTCTTCAAGGCAAGGCCGATACATCGTTTGACACATACGTGGGCTGCCGAATCTGAAGGGTTCCTTCTCCAAAGCAGCCCAGGCAAAGGGTGGAACTTCCACACCTCCCGAATTTGAAAGTGGTGCAATTTGGAGTGACACTATGCTGAGGTTTCGATCCACCTATCCACTCCCACTCGCCTAGAGACAGGTCCTCCTTGCCCTCGCTGACCAGCTCGAGGGTGCCGAAGCCATGCGCCAGCCACAGCACACCCTCTGCCTGCCACTGCGGCACGAATCGTCTTGCCCGGCTTGCCCTCTGTGCAAAACCCGGCAACAGCGCAAGATCGGAGAGCCGGAGAGGCCTCTGGCTGCGCAACAGCCCTCTTCCGAAGGTCCGCAACGCCTCAGAGAGAACACGTCGGAGAAGCATGAACGATGCGCCGAGGACCGCGTCGACACAAGCTCCCAGCGGAGATCCAAGCGCAAGGGCAGGGCCTCAAAAGTCGAGGCCGTGATATCCGGCACTCTGAGGCCACACATGTCGCTTGGGCTCGCGCGGCAAGTCTATCCTGATGAGGTGCCTTTTCCGGTGGCACATCAGCAGAACACTGTCAGTCAAGTAGCTGGACGCTGGGCTGTTGGCATACAGACCAACGGCACAAAGGCCATCACCTCCCGCGACCTCGATGGGACCAAACCCCAGCATGTTACGCCCTTTTTTAAGCCATATGTTTCTCTAGGTGTCTCGATGCCTCTCTTGGACTCTTTGAGCAGCTGAGGAGTGCACTCCTTGAGGATAGAAGCGCAGGAAGAGAGGGCCCTGGCCTCCCAGCCTAAGCGGCGAATTGAGTTGCCGAATGCTCTTCTTGGGGAAAGGAAACGTTCGTCAGAGGCCAGAACCAGAACTCGGGAGAGTCCATCCAAATCCCTTTGGCATCGCTGGAGTCCATTGCGAGATACCTTCAATCAGACTTTGGTGTCTGACCAACACACGTGGCCTGCACATGCTGCCAACAAGTCAAAAAGCATTGAAATTCCCCGAGACAAGCCCGCCACTCAACACGTTGGTGTGCGCGTGGCACCAGCCACTCGTGGCTGATGCCTTGGCCTTGTTGCTCAGATGACGTGCTTCCGGTCCAAATAAAAATGTGGCATGGCGAGTGTGGAGGCAAGGTCCGCACCAATTTGGGGGGCACCTTTGGGTACAAAACACCCTGAAGACGACTTACAACTCTTCTGAGATCGCCGCGCTGAAGCTCGCGCAGTGCTTTGGTGAGCCGCGCGCTCTCGGACTCCAGCCTGAGCTCTGAAGTTTCCTTCTGCGACTCTCACTTGAATCGGACCCCCTCACTATGCTTAACATAGTATCGTCTGACGATAAAACCTTTGTAGAAACTCGGGTGCCAGCGCCTGGGCTGACTTGCGCTGCGAAGCCTGGGGGCTTTCCCCGAAGAATGGGGGAAGAGAGCGCGCTTGTCTATTCATTGAAAAAAGAAGGAGAGGGAGAGGGGAGAGGGGAGAGAGGGAGAGAGGGGAGAGAGGGGAAAGAGGGGAGAGAGGGCAGATCGGGGGGAGAGAGGGGGGAGCTAGGGAAGAGAGGGGAGATGGAGGAGAGGGGGGGAAAGAGGGGAGAGCGGGCAGAGCGGGGAGAGCGGGCAGAGAGAGGGGGGGGAGAGGGGTGAGAAGGGGCATGTAGGGAAGAGAGGGGAGAGGGGCGACGCGGCTTTTAGCCTAAGGTGCCACTCTGTCGCGCGAGCTCTCTCTGAGTGGAGGCCTGGAGCTCGTGGCGAATCTCTTGCACCTGCACTATTTCTTCAGCAGAAGCTATCTGAAACATGAAAAGGTCCCAAAACAAGGCTTTAAAGCACGTCCGACTCGTGGCCTCTGGTCTCCAGGCTGCTTCCAGGGCTTGAGTTGCCTCAGCAAAGAGGGAGCAATGTTCCGTCCCTCACGGTCTTCATGTTCCTGCCTTCCGCGATTCTTCGACTGCCTCCTGCACAGAATGAAATCTCCCCCCAATCATGAGCTCCAAGACCTGCTCGAAAATCGATCTCCTCCATGAAACTTCGAGAGCTCTTGTCAAGCTCAGCCAATCGGGCGCCCAGATCCGCATGCTCGGAATGGCCTGATGAGAAACGAAGAGAAGGAGCTTACAGGAGGCCTTCGCGACTCAGGACTTCTCGGTGCCAGGCGCATTTTCAGTTGCCCGCCAAAGTCTTTACGGAGCTCGCCAATGGATGTTTCCGTGGCCTTGCCACAAGACTGAGGAGCCACTTCTCTCGCCCACCCACCCAGTTGCCTCCACTCTGCCGTTGATGGCCGTAGCCTGGAAAGGCCACCATGCACAACGCTCATTGGTACAGAACTTTGGCACTGCGAGGGAAAGGGGCGAGCCAACGCCGAAAGATCTGAGGAGGTTTGGTCACATCTGGACACACCTGAGATCTCAGGAGCGATGAAGAGCAAACCAGTGCAGAAGCAAAGGAGCGGGCTCGCTGCGTACTTCTCGGCAAAGCAGTCGTGCAGGGCCTCACAGCTGCGACAAAGCTGACAGGTCGCTTCCATACAGGAATACATCAGGTAGATTGAATGCGAGATAATGCGAGCAATGGCGCCTGTCTCTGCTGCACCCATGCTTCACGGGAGGCCGAGGATACCTCAAGGCACACATCGACTGGAAGAGTTCTCACTGAGTTCTCAACGTTTCGTTTTAAACAATCTTCACTGTGTCTTCTGCTTCTCTGCGCCTCGGAGAGTCGCTGGACCGCCTCCTCGCCCCGGCGGAGGGCCTCGTGGGCCTCCTCCGTGTGGCCTCACTCGCACGTGGCTCCACGACGACGTGGCTCTCCAACTGAGCATTTCCGAGCGCAGCCTTCAACGGCATCCAGGCGGCGGCACTCTGCGTGGAGCTGCTCCTGGCTTCGCACACAATGCGAAAAATTCGGGGGGACGCCCGGCCACCCGCACCTCCAGGTTGCTGACCTTCGGACCAAGGGCATCAGTGACCTGCAGCCAAAAGCTATCCGAAAGCCATCTCAAGGGACAGCGGACGCTGACAAACTCTGACAAACCAGGATGTCGATGTCGTGGGCGCAGTGCCAGCTGAGCTCTTGGGCCAGCACTTCCATGAGGGACGCCAGCCGCTGTTGCAAGTCAGCATGATTCTGAGCGCTTGTCTCCTTGGCCTGAACACTGCAGGAAGCTTCGGCCCTGGGCCACCTTTTTGGATATCTTCAGATTCTTGGCACTTCTTTGGCATTGCAAATGTCAGTGGGTCGCGGGCCTCCAGCATTTCGCTTTGAGAGGTCTCCCAGCGCAGGGAGAAGGTCTCGGCCACAGCCGCAGCAGCCTCCCATAGGAGAACGCACACCAAGACACGTTAAGACACCTCTGGGGAAAAACTATGACAAACTGAAGCTGAAGGAGTGCTCTCTGCCTCTGCACCTTCGGCCATGGCCGCCGCAGCCTCCGCCTGGCGGAATTGAAAACTATACTTGGAACACACAGAAGCCCCCGAAGCAGCTCCTGCATCCCCAGTTCTGCGGCCGTCGCTTCCAGCGAGGAGCGCTGGCGGTCCACCTCACGAAGGAGTGCCCTTTTTTTTGCAGTTCTTCTGTGCAGCGCGGGCTTGGGAGAAGCAAGGTGCCTCCTTCAGCAGTTGACGCCTCAGCTCCGCAAGCTTGGAGGCTGCCGCATCTGCCACCTGAAAGGCTCAACATGGCACCGTGGCCCATGTTGCAAAGATGGTGCAAATGATGGTAGTGTTTGCCATTGTGCCCTCCGCTGATTTCTGCAGATGCCCCCAGACCTCTCGGGCCACGTCTGCCGCAGCGTTTCTTGCAGCAGACTCCGCAGCGACGACCAGGCGCAGGCCCAGCTTCTCTAACCTCGCTGCAGACTGCAACTTGTCCTTATTTTTCCACATATTCTCTTCAATGGCAACTATACTCAACTAGTTACTCGAAGCAATTCTCTTTAGGCTTCGCTCTCAAAGCTATCCTGTTCACAACTGGCCTGGAGACTGAACTCCTTGTCCGGTCCTCTCGCTCATCCTCACAAGGCTCCGGCCATGGTTACTACACCATCACCATCCATCACCCAAAAGTGCGTGTGGCGGTGTCATGGCTTGCCTTTCCGGAGGCGCAGGTTGAAGACGCGGAACTGCCCCGATGGACGCTAAAGCCTTGTCCGGCCTTCTGGGCGGATGACAGAAAGTTGCAGAAGGATGCGTAAGGGACGTGTGAGGGGCATTGTGAGGCTGCGCAGGGCGGCGACAAGCATCGGAATCACTCACGCGTGCGCCTCCGGAAGATCATCATCATCTGAGTCGGGTTCCTGACAAACTCTCTTACGCGTCATGGGCGTAGTCGCGTAGCCAGCCAAGCCAAGGCTGTTTGGCCGGGAGCTTGCCTCAGCAAGGTCTTCCCGCAGCACGCTGTCCAGCTCAAGCCCTTCAAGTTCATCACCTTGCAAGCGCACATGGGCAACACACTTGCGAAGGAGGCTACATGCAATGTGCAAAAGTACTGAGTGAGGCATCTACAAGGAAGCTTGCACTTGGTAACTTGTTTGGCTCGCGAGGTCTTACCAGGGTTGTGTCGGCTATGTTGCAACCGGTCTCCACAGCCGAGAGCCAGGCCCTCGCGAAAGCGAGGGATGCGACACCCCCTTGGCTTTTTCAGACATCGAGCAAGACTCGAACAAGACTCAAACGAATGGCAGCGGAAGTCGAGGGAAAACTTTGCAACCCTTGCAAGGGGCACCTTCGAGGTTGAGCAGCCAATGCAGCAGCGGCTGCTGAAGCACTCCGCTCAACGCGAAGAAATGCCTGATCATATTCATCATACTGCGCACCAGTTCCGTCCCCGTGTTTGCAAATGGCAGAAAAGCACAAGATCAGCCCCAAGAACCGCAAGCCTCAGACAATGCCCTCTGTACCTGCTCAGCCGTGCAATCTCTCAATGAGCTATGCAAGTGCGTGCACGTGCGGTGGCTTTTCAGCACAGGGCCGTCCTCCACAGAGAAGTCGCCGTCCACAAAGCGCATCCCCTGGCAATGGTCCACATCACTTGCATGGTACACACAGCCATCCACGACGATGAGCAGTCTGAATTCTGAAGGGGCCAGCGGAATGTTTCTCTAATGAGCTCCATGGCCAGCCAAGCACTGTCAGATCATGCAGCACACATATCGACACTGTGAGCGCCAATGGCAGTGGTGTGTCTTTCAACACCCCAATGGATTTCACTGGCACAAACTATGTACATCGCCAAACTACGCCACAAGAAAGATGTGCTGTGTAGACAGCACAGCCGTTTGGCACGCATCAGGTCGTGTGCCCTTGTATGCATCGCAAACCTCAGCTTCTCAAAATGAATCATAATGAGGACAGGCTCAATAGGCCTGAGTAGGCGAACATCATACCACTCGGAGTTGGTGCTCGAAACTGCCCAACCAAGCAGCTGCCTTCAGCAAATTCTCGGGCTGATCGACAGATTGTCCGTTCACCACAAGGAAGGGCACGCCTTGCAGAGCATCACGAACTTTGTGCTTCCGAGATCAAGCTTGGCACTTTGTCCGACAGTGTGGAACTGCCCTGACTCCCTACCGTGCCTGGGTGCTCTGGTGTTGCCTTAGCCTGCGCGATGACGGCAGCATCGCCCTCCGAGCTGGAAAAGCCTCAACAAAGATTGCGAATCAAGGAGGAGGCGAAGACAATGACCTTTAGAGTCATCTGTATTATGCTCTTGTTTATCATGATCTGATACAACGCAGGTCATCACTGCAGCCCGGGTGCAGTGGAGAACCGCCGCCTTGTCGATCTGGTTGGAATCCGCACAGGCTTCTACTGTATCCTGCAGACATTGGAACAAAGCAACTGCGGCATGCGCCCACAGGCAGAAGAGCGAACGGTGTAATAGGTGCCTTCGAGAAGGTGTCGTACTTTGCTTCTACACCTCAACTGCAGAACGCATGTTGGCCATCGTGTGATGTGCCGCAGGATGTTGACCCACCATTGTCTTTCCAATCACATCACACATCACGAAGCAGCAGTAAGGACGGGACAGTGAGTAAACGACATAAACGACAGCACAGACTTGCCGACTTTCTTCGCACAGGCCAAGTACCGGTTTGCATCACACTCTTGGCTGCCATGTTGGCAAACAAGTGATCCGGTGAAGCAATCCTGTCATATCAGCTGGCATGACTCCGCATGGGTTTGTCAAAGGCGCGATGACATCCAAGGATAATCAAGGCATCCTGGGCCGGCTGGGACGCTCCAGCTCCACACTTCTTGTTGAAACACTTGCGCGCCGTCATATCCTGAGCTCGTAAACAAATCGCTGAACGTGGCTGAATGTAAATGAAAACCAACGAATGCAAGTAAATACTGGTGAACTCAAGCGAATACAAGTGAATACACATGAATACACATGAATACAAGTGAATACAAGTGAATATGAGAAGTGCGGAAGAGGTCAGAAGCAAAAACAGCAAGAGATGTGGAGCAAGAATGCGCGCAAGAGAGTCAGCTGGAACTTGAACGGGTGCTTGAAACCATCGAAGCAGTTTCGCTTCAAGTTGGCAAAGCGCTGACCAAGTTTCATACTCCCCGGCCCCTTTGCATTCGGAGGTGACGAAATAAGCATTGCCGAAGGGAAAGAACTCGAAGTCCTCTTCAGACAGGCACACCGCACGGCACAGAGACGGCGGACAAGGAGGAGTTGTCCCGATAGAGTCAGAACACAAACGAAGACAATGAGTCAATTGAGTCCATGATAGCCGCCACGCTGGGTGTTGACAAGGTCTTGTTGACCTTGCCATGAACCGAGAAGCTTTGCGTGGCGTTAACTGTGTGTGGCACCATGAGGCGGGTTGCAAGGTGGTGTTGAGGGTTTCTGAGTGCCCCACGGGACCTGCGACGGCTTCCCGGCAAAACGGACAGCCAGCTTCCGCAAAGAAATCGACTTTTACCTCGGTCATGGGAACATTTGATCCGCAAGGCAGATGATGGAACATCACCCCGTCCTTCGCCGCATCTTCAGCACGCGCTGACACCAGCAGAGCGAGGCACAGAAATTTGGAGGCCATGGCGAACTACACCTACAGTAGGAAACCACAAGGCCGTTGGGCAAGAGCGGCTGTGCTAATCCGCAAGGCCGTCCCGCTTGACACGCGACTTGAACATCAGGTGATCAGCTTTCACTCATCTCCAGCATCTCCAAGTATGGACAGGCACTTGTGCGTGTGCGCGGCCTCCTCCACTTTGATCAAGCGATTGTCGAGCCTCTTGGCAGAGCAGGGCAGTACGGCAGCATGTCAGCATCCGCCTTTTCGAGCCTTAGTCCTGGACATTTCCAGCCGCCGATTTGTTTCAGTATGCATGCTCTCCAGCCTGAGGTCCTCGGCCGTTCTCTTCGAACACTCTGGACAAGTCAAACAACTATCAAGCAGGTGTAGTCTGTTCTGTTCTGGGAAGTCGTGATCTGTTCTCACCGCGTCTTGCGACGGTGTCCCACCGTTCATTTTGGAGACTTCGCATGGAGAACTGAGATCTTCCGGGATCGGCAGTGTGGCGCCGGGGCCACGCTGACCGCCTTGACCCGGCACCCTGAAGGCACTGCGGGGGACAGGGCACGGCCGCGCATGGACCAAGGCAAGGGCACGCAGTGCTGTCTCTGCTGCGCATTAAGGTTTTATGCCCTTCGTACTTGGCCTAGCAGGCCTAGCAACTTCAATGCACTCATACTCCAGAACTCCATGTGAGTCTCTCTTCGTAGCTCCCTGTGCAAGTACTCTAAGTACAGTGTACACGTAAAGTACACTTGGAAGTACACTTCAGTTGCACTGAGTGCAATAAGTACACCAAACACCCTCTTCGGACATCCCTGACGCACAAACACTCAGAATCGCACGATGCTGCTGCTGAAGCCGCCCAAGAAGTCCTGGCGCCGGCCGAAGCCGAGATTTTCTCCCCCGGCACACGCTCCCGTAGCCCCGTAGCCCCGTTCCCGTGGCGCTTCAGGTGCCTGCCAGGCTGCACTTTCATCCAGCTGCCTCCTCAGCAGACTCCTCTCCACCTGGCAATGCTGAGGCACTTTTGGCACCTTCGGCACCTTCGGCACTTTGAGGTGGAAATTTTGCAGCAGACTGTCCGATCTGGAACCTCTTCGCTGCTTCGGCGAAGAGCTTGCACCTCCTCGCCTTTGAAGCGTGCACAGGAATCCCGCAGCGAGCGCCTCAGAACAACGAGCCCGCACCGAGTCGATCGCAGTGAAGCACAAGGACAGGGCAACTCCCGCGTGAAGTCCCAGGAGCGATCCTGAAAAAAACAGAAAAGAAAGCCCCCCCTCCCTTTTGTTGAAAAAAATGCTTTTGGGCTTTTGGGCTTTTGGGAATGCTCTCAGCTCGCTCTGCTTCTTTTCTTGAAGACCCTGGCCTGGTCACGCACCCGGGCCACAGAGCGCGAGCTGTCAAGTTCCCTGCTCACACACAGGCTCAGAGTCTTCCTTCATTTTTGACAAGAAGTCACCCCTTCATCTCTAAGCAGAAGCTCTTCTCACAGCTCCGAGGTGTTGACTCCATGCTCAACCGAACTGGCGCATCCGGACCAGTCAGGGTGCTCGGTTCGTGCAAATCAGTGTGGCATCGTTCACAACGACGACTTGGGAAAGTTGAACTCCGCTCTGCTTAAAGAGTGCTCAGCCGTAAGGTCACTTTGTCCAACATTGAATCTACCCCCTCTGTGCAAAAAATGGCCGCTCTACCATCTACCGAATTCTGCAGGTGTTGGTGGGGTGGCGTTTGGGCCAAGAGATGGCAGCACGATGTCCGGTGTGAAGCACGGTACATTGCTGGGTATACAGGTCAATGGGACTTCACGAAGCGCTGCAACGCCAGAATGTCATGAGCACATGGACACAAAACCGATGGAAGAGATGAACTGCCCACTTGGAAAGCTGGATGCAAACCCGTCCAACACCCCGCCCCCGATCATTCTAGAACATGCTACCATATGCTGCAGGGCTTCTGGCAGAAGGTCTAAGCACGTGTTGTCTTTACGAGGCTGTGCAGGCTAGGTAGGCAATCGGTAGAGTCCCGACGGGGGGGCTTCGACGCGCGAGCCCTTGAGCGATCCGACTGTACATTGGCCGAATTGGAAATGTTTGAATTCTGCTCTGAGCCGGGGTCTCATGCCCGTCTCGAGACTGCATAAGGTCCGCACAGGCCTCCCTCAGTAGAGGTGATGTGTCCTTCATAGCAGCGGTGCCTCAGCCAACCAACGAGTCAACCAATTGACGTGAGCGAAAGTTGAGGTCACATTCGAGAAAGCAGCAGTTTTCAAAAGCTTTCGCTCGACATTGCACAGCAGTCTGAGCAGATAGCGCGTTCCCTGCCATGTCATTGGCGGCACTCTGTGGCAACTCAGCCATGGGAGGACAGGATCCGTGCGGTTCGGGACGGTACACTCCGCTGCTCGTCCTGAGGCTCAGGCACCCCAGACACTGCGCACGATGTGTCCGAAGTACTGATCGTCCTGGATCCTGCGAATCCAGATGCATCCAGATCCAGACACCCAACTTCTCAACTGGCGGTCCCCGCAGAGATGGTCTCGTAGTACCTGGCAAAGTCCCCGAGCGAGATCCTGAGCAAGGGAGATGGACTTCATTCTAACCAGAATGTCTTGGCGGGCTTACCTTAGTTAGCATCCGTCTGCTGTCCGAGTCGCTGCAGCTCACCGCTGCTGCCAAGTTCCGAAATCAGCTCGAACGTAACCTCGGGCCAATTCTTTGGACAAGAAGCTACAGACACAACGCGAAGACTTCTCACATCTTGCGACAGGCCTCCTTCTGGCTCTTGCGTCCTGCCTGGAGTTCACGACAAAACAATGGGACAGTCACACGGCTGTGCTTGCCGCATCGAAACCCTAAGGTGTTGGTGGGTGGACGGTTGCCCTGCTATCGGATGCCTCCACGTCTGGATGCTTCGACGGATTGAAGCGAGCCTTTGCCCGTATGAGCATCGACAAAAATGGCAACAAAGATGACGCCAGTTCAGCTGGTCACGCTGGGCTGAGAGCCCGGATGTTGCGAAGGTCAGCGAAGCCTTCGCGATCGCACCCGAGGCTGGCAAAAGCCTGTTGAACGAGGCCAGGTCACGCAAGGTTCAGAAGACCAGCAAGCCCAGCAAGCCCAGCATGTTGCAGCACGTTCTTTCGTTCGCACTCCAGCAGGGTGCGTGTGTCAGGAAGCTTGGTGAAACGGCCCGCTTGGGCCGCGAGAGATTCGGAGCCCTGGCTGGAGTCTCCAGTATTGGACTGGTGCAGTTTCCACATGCCTATGTTGTATGCTATCAATCCATGTGAACGACTCCTGTGACAATTATCTACACCTGCGTGGTTTGCCGACTGGTCCACGTTCGACCGTCATGCACAGCACAGGTTCAGAACAGTTTGAGAACAGTTTTGCGGAACTCCAGCAGGATCAGGCCGTATCATAAACTGCCAATGGCCAGCGCTAGCCGCACTACAAAGCAAGCCTGTGGAAAACACGCATCCCAGATCCACCCCTCAGGTTTCCATCCGGGATGCTGATGCACAGGAGAGCTGCTGGTCCGATGTCCGCGACCACGTCCGGAGCATCGAGCGATGCGGCGTTGTGACCGTTGGGGGAGATGGGCATGCTCTCGAGTATGCATGTATGTACGTGTCATATAAATATGCGCATTTACAGATATCCATATACATATAGACACATATATATATATATGTATACACACTCGACAGTCGCCTTAGTGCCAGTCTCCGTCCTTTCAGAGAAATATTGTGTCATTTTGCGTACCAGTGCGAGCGAGCGCACGTTGAATTAGCTCTAGCTGTGAGGGAAAAGCAAGCTACTCCCATATGGGAGGCCAAGCTGTTCACAGCGAAATCTTTTTGGCAGTGATCTCAAGCCATTCAGACTCCTTGGGTATCCTGTACATTGCTTCAGAAGCCGTGAGCCGATGGCTGTGATCTGTATCGAGCAAAGCGAGCAGGAAGTCTCTGAAGGAAGCCGTCATCTCAGTGTCCTTCCGCCCGGAAGGCGGCAGACGAAGCTTTCGGGCAGCGTCTTCTGGAGGTGCTCCGGTCGGAACCACCTTGCATAGCTTCACATTAGGAACGGCAAGCATCCTTGTAAGAAAACACGTCGGAATACTAGGCATATTTTTCCTGTGAAACTCTCCCAAAAAAAAGTGGGGGCGCCGTCCAGCTGGACACCTCCTTGCCGGCAACCAGGGAAGCACCCAGCAAGCCCAATGCGAAGACATCGCAAGGCCGCGTCGCTCCGACGGGAAGAATGTTCACGTTAATGTCAGCCTCAGTTTCACTTTTGAGGTGCTCTGAGCTAGAGAGGCTACTGGCAGGAGCTTCTGTGATAGAAACTGGATGTAGGGTTCTTCAAGTTCTTCCTGAATTCTCCTGTGCCTGATTCCTTCTCCTACATAGCTTGTTGAGAAGTCGACACTGCAAGCGAGCAGCTTCCATGGCCTCCTCGCTGTCAATGCTTCGGGCGCAGCCTAGGTCAATGACCTTCACCTGCACTGACTCGCTCTCATATCTGCCGCTTGTCTTGACGGCATGCACGACCACATTCTTTGAATGGAGGTCGCGGTGGGCGATCCCGACTGAATGCAGGTAAGCAATTGCAGAAGCGATCTGTGTCAAACACTGCCGTCGGCAGGCCACGTCCAGAACAATGGTGCCTTTGTCGTACCATGGCAGCCACCGGTTCAGTGTGCTACCACGACACAACTCCAGGATCATCGCAACGCCTTTGACACCTTCGTCAAGCTCATCTTCGAGACCATACACCTTCACAATTCTCTCGTGCTGAAGTCGACTCAAAACTTGGTACTCTTTGCGGATGGCGTCCCCATTGGTGCCTTCCTCGCAAGACCATTCAGAAGGTAGGGACAGGTAGGGAGTTATGACAGGTATGTGAGATCTCTCCAACTCCAACTGACTCTGACTCTCTTCTGTACACCCTCCACGTCTCTCTCAGCAGATGATTTGCACGACGCTCAAAGCAAACAGCAAACAGCAAAGGCCCAGCCCGGGTGATACCTACCGCTGTCTACCCTCTCCCCGTCTCCTGGCCCGTCTCAATGGAGACCTTCACTGCGTATTCCTGTGATTCTCGGACAGCGGAATGGACCAGGAAGCCACTGTTCTGGCCGCGGCCGATGACACCTAGCGGCTATGGGGCAAACCACTCGATTACGGTCTTGTTGCTCTAAGGCTCGCTGTCAAACATCACGCCCTTATCCAAAACCCTGCCTGTGATCTTGTAGCCCTTGCTTTCCAGCAACTCTCGATAACTGCGAGAATCTCCCATGGTGTCTTTCGAGATGCTCAACCCAGACTTGTACATGCTTGACTGAGATCTTCGTGACAGCAGGCTACTGCCGGATTTCGCGCTGGCTCCACTGCTACTTTCAGAATCTGAGCCAGAGCCATCATCGAACTTCTTCGCTTCGATCAAGAGCTTGAAGCCCCTGGTGGCTCCCTCGTGCCCATCGTTTGATGTGAGGGTACCAACCGGTGGCAGAGCGGAGAGTCCATGGTCACAACCCGTCATAATAGTTTGCTTTGAGCCAAACTCTTCGCGATTTCAGGAAACTCCTCGACAGCAGCGCGACTGGGGTGCGAGAAGGCTACCAAACAAACCAGATTTCCGCCAGCGTGGGAAAGGTTCGCATTTGGCCAACGCAGACGTCCAAAAAAAGCCATGACCGCTGCACATTTGGTGAACACGAGCGTCCAAAAGCGACGACAGTTTCGAATTTCGCGTTCAACCTTTTCGAGCACGGCGAGCGCGGCCACGCCCTGCCTAGGTGAGCGCGCGGTTTTAGTCCAAGAAGCGAGCAGGCTGAGAAAAACGCATGGTCCCAAGGCGGGCGCCCCGCGCAGCAACATCTACGCCTCACTCTTCACATTGGAACGCCTTAGTGTTGACACCTGCTTGGGGAACCAAACACTGCTTGTCACATGAGATCTCAAGCTTCCTCCCGTACCACTGCAGCGCGAGCTGGATTGAGGGGTCCCCGAAGAAGCCGCCTCGGGGCAAAAAAATCACGGAAACACCGTGCATATGGCAAAAAAAGGTCCTGGGGATGCCGGCAGCCAGTCATCCAAATCCACAGCCCCGCGGCCTTCAATGTCCATGCCTTTGAGCGCCAGGTTGAAAAAGTAAGAGGTGCGCACTTGCTGCGCGCACGCTGCGCGCACTTTCTCTTCCTTTTGTCTGGCGTTTTCTCCCCTTTGCTCTCTCGCAAAAGTTGCGTTCACGTACTGCGCAGCTCCAACTAGAAGATCACGTGCAAGTGCCCGGCACACCAGATGCTAGCAATCCGACTTGTTCACTGTCATGGCATGTGGCATACTTGCGTGCATGGCATGCATACAGAAACATCTAGTCTCGCATGCCTTGGAACCCATGTTCTGCAGACAAAGAGAGAGAGAGGCGAGCTTAGCAGTCGTGGTCATACTCTGGATCCCGAAATCATCATGCGGATCGTTCCTGAGATCTCACCTCAACCCCGAGCTTCGGGCAACGGAGCATCTCAACCACGTCTTCATCACTCGCCCCGACCCCAACCTGCACACACTCTGCATACTGTCACCAGCACATGAATGTCCACGAATCTGTCTAACAACCGGCACCAAGACAGACAAGCATCCGGACAAGCCCACCCGAGTTCAGCAAAAACTGAACATAAGATGCAAAAGCGAAATTCACCAAAAAAAAAAATGAGTGCAAGCATGTTTGTGATGTTTGTGCCCCATGGCGCCTGGCCAAGTCCTTGCCGCAACTCCTGTCCAGACCCAGGGCGGTAGAGGGATAACTCGTGGTGACACTTGTGGCGGCACACGTGTGCCAAAAATGAGCCCTACTGCAGATCCGCGTTCCCCGCTCGGAATCCTTGGCTCGGATGACGCGTTGCCCGTGGTCGGCCACTTGAAACCTTCGTAGAGGACGTGTGTGGGCGCCGCGGGCGTGTGTGTGTGTGTGTGTGTGGGTGCGTCTGCCACTATGCCCGTGTGTGCTCTGCATCGGCGAAAAGTGGGGGGGGGGGGGGTTGGGGCGGGCGCCTCTGGCAGAGCAGCTGCACCGCGCCCGGCCCGCGGGCTCGGAGTGCCGCCCGAATCCTATCCAGCAAGGCACCGGCACCTGCAGTGGCTTCATGCGTTGCAGAGCTTCAGCAATTCTGAGGACTCGTTCCTTCCTTCCCTGCTTGCCCTCGTTCCCCTCCTTCCCCCCTTCCTCTTGACAGAATGCGCAACAGCAAAGTCGGACCTTTCTTGCCAACATGGCAACGCTCGAGGGGGTGAAACACACGAAAGGGCTGCTTGACCCATCTACTCCAACTTCCAGCTGGCAGATTCAGCGTCGTAGGTGTAGTGCGCATCATGAACGGGCTTCAGAAGCTCCACATCATGGCCTCAGCTTCGGATCACTGCAAGTTGAGGTTCCTAACGAGGATGGGTTGCGAGCACTGTGGGTCTGCGTTCCTCAGCTCTGGCACGCTGAGCCTGGAACTCACCGTGATCACCACAGAACCTTCAGGAAGGCTCTTCGGCCTCATCTGCAGAGCACTGCAGAGCTTCCGGCAAGGTCCCTCGAGCTATCGAGAAGCAGTTTTGAGCAAGCCGCTGTCGAAGCAGTTGAAAGACCTCTAACGCGCCCTCAGCCCCAAGAGCCTCAGCTCGGCAGCCCATTGCCATTTCATGCCATTTCATGCCATTTCATGCCATTTGATGCCATTTGTCCAATGGCCCCCGGCACTGGTAGCCTCATCCAGGAACAGTGCCGCAGGTTTGCCTGGACCGTGTGCTGGAGCTGTATGTTCGAAGGGCAAAGACATGGACAGACCACCGCACGAGACCACCGCTGCAAGCACGGCAGCAGCACGTAGCAAGACACGAGCAATGGCGAGCCGTTGCTGCTCACCGCCTGAGAGCAACATCGCCTGGGCAGCTTTGGCAGCACGGAAGCCCTTACCCACTACGAAGCAAACAAGACAGCTGCCCAATTGGCTTCATCCTGAAGCTGGCGACCTGGAAACATCGAGCTTGCTCTCTTCCCTGTTTTTCCTTCTTCTCTCTTCTCAAAGGCTTTTCGAGGCCTTCCAGGGTTGTCAGGCGCACGGCCTGACAGAGACAACAGAGACAATCTCCGGACAAGCCTTGCCCTCTTCACTCTTGACTCTGTCTCTCCATCGCTCCAAACAAGGTCTCCACCTCCAGGGCCGCCTGAACATCCTCGTCCGTGAACTCGGTGGCACCTGAGACCGTGCAAATGTGGGGCATGTGGGGAACTGCCAAAAAGGGACGATCTTGAGTGAGCAGCACCATGCAGCACCTGAAGTAGGACCCCAGCAGGAAGGGTAGGCAACTGCCTGCTTCAGTGTGCCCTGAGGAATGTAAGACCTCAACAACAGCAAGGGTGCGGTACTAGCACTCAGACAGGACATACGGGACCTACGTGCGCATGACAAGTCTGGCATTGAAAGGCGTCAGAGCCAGGCTTCTGCGGCAGGAAGAGAGTCTTGGCCGGGAGGTACACTTCTCCACTTGCGTGCGGCCTGGGCACTGCTAGGCTACATGGCATTCCGTGTCTTCATCCCGCGCACATCCAGCAAATCAAGCCCAAGTTGCCAAATTCCCGCCATTGCCCGGAAGAAGCAGCTCTTGCCGGTTCCCTCCGGCGCCGACAGCAACACAAACCTTAAGCCACAGCTATGTTTAGCTACGTGCTACAAGCATGCTACAAGCTGGTCACGGGCTGGTGCCAGAGCTGAGGCTGGCACTCACCCGGCTTCACTTCCAGGTTTGCGTCTCTCCAAAGTTGGCGCCTCAGACTGTGACTCTCAGAAATCACTTGCCGGAGCGCATGTTCATCTTTCGATGCAGGCGGAATTCTGCGGACTGCACTGATCCACTTTGGCCGGCAACTGGACGTTCAGGCCGCTGACTACAGCTGCAGCTTTGTGGGTTCCGGCCTCATTTCGCAGAGTCGCCCTTCGGAATCTCACATTTACTTCTGCATCTCTTGCAGAACTGGGCAGCGTTCTGGCAGGCGTTTAACCTCGCATTTGGCACCGCTTCTCTTCTCCATGGCCTGCAACATGGAGCCACACAGCGATTCTGTCGGCACAGGCACCGTAGAGCACCTGCGTGAAGTTGGAAAGACGGTCCACAGTGGCTCGGTAGCCTTGGGGGCACTTCCGCACAAGCACAGCGGCTTGAGCCGATGTCAGCGTAAGATGCGCACCGGTCAGCTCGGAGTAGCTTCCCAGGAACCAGTCAAAGCCCGACTTCACCGCCCACAACCTGCATGCCAGGCATACTGTGAGGCAGAGAGCCACGAGAGGGTGAAGGCAGCATTTTGGGGGCCCGACACGTCGAAAAGCATGAACATGGTGCCCAAGGTGATTTGACCGCGGAAGTAGTTCGGAGCCAGAACCAAGTAGGGGAAGATGCTGGAAGTTTGGTAGTAGAAAGACCTGGGCCAAGTCCAGTCTTCGAACAAGCTGTCAAGCTTCGTGAGCGTGTGAGTTGCGCGAGCTGCGTGAGCTTTTTTAGCTTCGTGAGCATCGAGCGCCCCACACGAAAAAACCCAGCCGCTTGGTGTAGCACATCATCATCCACCACCTTGTCAATGCAGCAAAACGTGCACCACTGTGCCCTCGTGTGCCCTCGCACGGTGTGTTGAATTGCGCGAGGCGCTGAGCACCTGGCACCCTTTCAATCCATGCAAACTTCCCTTGCAATCGCTGCTCCTCGCAAGGTTCGGATCCATAGAGGGCGATGCTTTCTGCATTGTCACCTTGCCAGCTGCACAAGAACGCAAGACTCTTATGATCTCTTCACGGTGTTTTCTAGCCACAGCAGCTGTTACTGGTGCTCGAAACCGCCGAAACACACTGGCCAGTTGTGGGCAAGCTGTGGGCAGGGCGGATCTGCACAATGTCATACCGAAAGCCGGCCTGTGGGTTTCTTCTCTTTGACGCTTCGATGGGGTACTTCTCTTTAGCGCCGTGGTGGGGTACTGATTTCAGGAACAAACGGACGAATCATGCGCACATGAGTCGGAAAACGAAGAGGCGAAGTTTGAAACAGCAGCAGCAAAGAGCAAGTCGGCAAACAGACATGCACAAATCAGCATGGATGCAAGGCGTTGGTGTGGCATCGCGGCACAGCATAGCATTTCACCTCACCTCACCTAGCCTAGCCTTGCCGAACCGAGCATTCTTTAGCCCTACAACCTAAGCCCTTCACCTGCTTCGATGGGTCTTCTCAGCAGGGGTTAGGCCTTGCTGGGTTTGGGCTAAAGATTGGGTTGGGTTGGGTCGGGTCGGGTTGGGCTCACCCGAAAGTTGTTTAGAACAGGCGGGAGGGGGAGACTACTATTCGGAAGGAATGATCGGAAGTGTGGTGTATGGTACGTAACTGACACAAGGAAGGTGCCGAATATGCATGTCCAAGCATGCTCAGCACGCTTGCTGATTCACCCTCTGTATTTCCTTATTCGTCCCTCGTTGCGTTCTGATTTCTTAATCACGGACGCCTGGTTCGCGCACATACTTAACGAATCGGTCTTCACTCGCTGCTACCGCACACTGACGTGTCACAAGCCTCATACTTCTGCAGACCAAAGTTGATGCTGATGAGCTTTTGTCCCACCTCCGTGATTGACTGTGAATGCTGCGGAGGCATTCGGAACAGAGATGCTCAGCACGCTCAGGCAGCAGCAAAGTGAGCCACAATAGCTCCCACACCGGAGTATAGCAGCGTTATGTACAACAGCCATCCAGGACAGTAGAACCTGGGACTTCAAAAGGTGAATTGCTGGTATGGGATTGCAGCAACTTGTGCGACGTTTTTTCGCGTTGATCCTGTTCTAAACCGAAATGGCTGGCGCCCGGGCCATCCAAAGGCATAGCTTGGCGAGAGCAGGAGGAGCATTGGCCTCAAACACTGGAGATGCAAGAGACAGGAAGAGATGGACGGGAACTGAGCGCTCAACAACCTGGACAGCAGATGAGTGGCAGCAGTAACGAAACCTGCTCTGCCATGGCATCAAATGCGGTAGAGTTGTCTTTAGAGCCTTTTGACATGGGACTTGGGGGTTGATAATCTGCAACTCCCTGCGCGCCTGTTCCCAGCGACATCGTCTGCCTCAGGACGGACGCACGCGTCAGCCGAGCAATGGGGGTTTCAAGCTGAGACCAGGAGAACTTCCCTGAGTGGAGGGCTCCACAAACAGGCGCGCATCTTCCTGGATTCGCTGATCCGGATTGTCTGGCACCTCGGCTCGCCACGGAAATGGCAGCGGAGCCAGATTCAGTCGTGCAGTCGACATGAGCTTCGGACATCACCTTTGCCGTCGAGCTGCAAAGCGTAAAAGCATTTGTCCTGGGCTAAGCCAACTTTGACAGGCTGGCTCGCGAAGTCTTGAGAGCTCTTGCATTCGGAAAATGACTCGGCCAGCCTTCAACCATTTTGTCAGCAGCCATTGCGTCATGGAACGCCGCCAACGAATGGAGAGCATCATGCCTCATTGAATTGCGCATTGTGCCAAATCAGCTGACGGCATGCACCATCTGGGCTGCTGGCCGATGTACTGGCCATAGGTGGACAGGATGATTTTGGAGAAAGCCAAAAGGCACAGATCCAGAATAAGCCTGCTCCATGACAATCTGACAGACTCATGAACCATGCTCGATCTGAACATGCTCAGGCCGCAACGGGAAGAAGCGCGATATGTTTTTCTTCTCAATCGTATCCCAGAACTCCTTCGACCACACCATGATGATCAGGCCTTCACACTGATTCTGTGGGCGACAACTGCGTCATGGCCGCATTGCTGCATCTGACTGAGGAGCATGCCCAGTACTAAGTCAATCACACCCAGCCTGCGCCGAGTCCGTGAAGAGTCTCTTGCACTTCAGCTCTCTCCATGCGCAGAATCATGCGGCTGCGTGTTGGATGGCTCTGAGGAGGGAACCCTTCCTTCCAATCGGGCCCCATGAGTCTTTTTTTGCGTCGAAAGAGCGTTTGGGAATGTAATTCCAGCTTTGTAGGACGCCCAAGGCCCAAGGGCCTGCTGGGATCTGGGAATCCCTTTCTTGGGGTGCCCCCTTTGAGCAGGGTTTGGAAACCCGCATTGGGGAGTAGCAAGACATGTTCTAGGGAGCCCTCAGGAACGCCCCTCGACCATCCGGGAAGCCAAGATCGAGGTCCCGACATGCCCTCCGCGTTGTTGTCGTGTTTCTCTGTTTCATTGCTGGGAAGAACGAATCTCCGATTTTGTGGGGGCTTCCGACCACCCCAAAGAGGGTGCATCATGAGCATCAGCGGCTCCTCGATGATGCTCGGCGCCGTCATCGCGAGGGAACAATGAGTGAAGGGTGGCTGAATGCCACTGCGTTCGTACATTTTTGTTGTGCCCCCCCCTCCCCCGAAAGTGCAAAAGCACTCCACCCTGCAACAAACCTTTCTCTTGTCTGATTTGGGACGTAGCCGGCTGCCGACTGTGGGCGACAGCCCTGATAGATGTACAAACTATGTACAAATTTCTGTTCTCCATTCCAGCCGAAAGGCACAGAGATCGCTGCCAAATAGGCCCAGGCCGTGTGCCGCTCATCACCAAAGTAGAAGGGCCTCTATGCAATCAAGGTGGAGAGCACTCAGGAGAGTCTGCCAGTCTGCCAGGGGTGGCTGTGGTAGCAAGCATGGAGAGGGTGCACAAGCAGGTGGGGGCATATTGTGTGCCTCACAAGAGGCACGATTCCCTTGAACAAGTGCAGCATCTGGTGCTCGTGGTGCTCTGCTCCACAATCAGGCCTCTGACACACTCCATATATCTTCGCATCTTCATATGTCTCCGCACTTTTCTCTATCTGTTTTCGGTCCACGAAAGAGGCTTGCCGATGGAGTCTGAGGCTAGCACGTTGCAGTGAGGTCCACATCTGCCTCGAAAGAATGGCGAACGGAGGCATGGATCGGAACCGCATCCATATGCTCTGCACTGCTTGCTCTGTCTGCAGAGTTTCATGAAGCTTGGTGTCCCACCAGCCGTCGATGGCACAGCTCAAAGCTCACTGCGAAGACGGCGACAAGGGCTGCCACGACCCACATGTACGGCTCCCAGAACTCGGAAACAGACCTTCCAGATGAGGCTCAAAAAGTCGGTCTCTGCGAACAAAGTGGATTGAGTCCACGGCATCTTGGAGACATTGAAGCCAAAGCTTGACGCACCTGCCGCGATACTAAGCTGCGCCAGCACTTCCACCGAGCAGAAACCCAGAGACGCACCTTCCTGGCTCTGCGTCTCATTCTGCGTGCCGTTGGCAGGTAGACGTTGATCCTTACCCTTCTGCATGTCATTCGCAGTTCTCAGGCGCTGTGCTTCCTTTGCGGCCTTCTCCCCACTGGAGCTGGCCTCAGTCAAGCCCACATGGGTTCCAGACCATGTAGGCCCGAGGTGTCAGAAACCCTGAGAGGCTGCTGCATTTCCAGGCGCTTGGGGCTGAGACAGCAGGATCTTAGCCTGATGAGCACACGGTCTCACTCGATGCAGCTTCGGGACACAATCTCTGAGAGCCGTGCCTTTGCTGATGCTAGGTCGGTTATGTTGCCAGAGCCTGCATGCAAGATCACCACAGTCATTCTGTCAGAACTCAGAACCTGTCTGTACGCACGCCAAAAAAAAACAAAGCGAGTGATGCGCGTGCGTCCTGGGCTTGCATGGGCATGCAGCTTGAAAGCATCCACTCCGACAAAGACGATGAAGCCGATGAAGCTCAGGAGGATGCGTCGACCTCTCTCGGCTGTCACCAAGGATCAATCTTGAAGAACAACTGCACAATACTGCACAACTCAGGGGCTTGAGACCTCTGACAGCCATCTCGGTGTTCCCTACCGGGTCTGCATTGTCCTTCACGCCTTCCTGGCACTTTCGCCCACTGCTGCAATCTACCACAGCTGCTCCCAAATCACAAACTAAGGCGAAGTCTCACAAGGCTTGAAAGGACGGCGGATGCCTTTGCTCGCCGCAAAGGCCTTTATCGATTGCGATCGAGCCAAAGCAGCGGGCCAGACGCTGAAGCAAGGTTCGCTCAGCTGCGCTTGGACTTGCGGCAGATTGTTCCAGCTCAAGCAGCTACATTTCATGGCATTGCAGGACATCCAGCATCCTCAGAACACCGTGGGTGCAGTGATGTGCAGTGAGCGCAGCACGCTCCGAGCACTGGATGGACTCTGCAATCGCCAGCATGCGGTCAGCTCCACCTCTCAATAGCAAGGAAGCAAGGAACTCATCACAGGAGCCATGCACATGCCAACCACTATCAACCACAATCTTCAGGACCCCACGTCGTGGTGGCTGGCCCTTCGGCCCAACCTCCTTGGCCCACAGACGTGAGCCACAAGGCAGACTCTTAGGCAGGCCCGACAGATGCACAATAAGGGTCCTCCGATTCCAGGCGTCTCGCCGGCAGCAGCCTAGCTTGTGCGAAAACGCTAGCTTTTTCAGACCCAACACTCCCCGTCCCTTCATTTATCTTTACTCAACCTCCGTGTCGCTGCATGATGCTGCATGCAACCAGTGTAGTACAAGACGTTGTGGTGCAATGCGCCTGGCTGGTTTTGGCTGGGCCTCTCGCTCTGGGGCCTCAATGCAGAGATGGCGCCGAAAGGAACACGAGGTCATGAAATGTCATATGAATGTTGTGCGACCACATGCGACCACACATCTAAGCCCCCAGCCTGGGGAAGGCGCCAGATCCGCCGGAGGAGCCGCCCAAAGCTGGGGTCGTCCTGTGCATTTCCGACAAAACCAAACTAGGTTGCTCCATAGCCGTGCTGTCGGGGCTCTGGCTCCGCGATACTGGGCAGAGATGATCACGTGAGCCGCTGAGAAGCTGTCGTGGTCCACCTCCTCTCGTGGCAGCTTGAAGCGGTCGCTCAACGGCGTCGGAATGAGATTCCCAGGAGAGCCAACACGGTGAAGTCAAGAGCATCTCGGCACTTCAGTGGACTTCAGAGCGCCTTCTTCGAGCCCCAACGCCGCATGAACTCGCGAAACGCCTTCAGATCTCTTCGTCGACAGGGCTGCATGGGGCTACAATGGGCTACACAAGAGCCCTTCAAGATTTCACGCAGCGCCTCGTCAGCAGAGACATGTCCCGCCTGAGAAAGCGAGATGCGGCAAGGCAATGCAGCATGAGCGTACATTACTCGAATATGATAGTACCAGTATGAGTATGAATACTTGAATACTGGTTCTACTATACCTACTACTTAGATTCAGATTCAATCCTTCTCAGCCCGTGTGTCAAGGCAACTCCCATTCAAAAGGATGCGGAAGGGGCTTGCCTTGACCGCTGGCAGCTCGAGGGCAGCCATTCGCCTCAGGCAGGCTAGAGCGAGCCGGCTGGCCCTGCAAAGGGCGCAATACAAAGAATACGGAGAAAACTCATGAAAATCCCTAAGCCCGGCCCCAAGCCCCTTTCAGCCCTAAATGCAGCCCATGGGGTTCTCCAGCTCGTGCGCTGCTGAGTTAGGCTGCTGGGGCCGCAGCTTGCGCAGCGTCTGAATCGCCAGGGTGCCATGGATATCTCCTGCCGTCTTTGCAGTCTTATGACAGAGTTCTCCCCTTTTGAAACACTATGAAACGCTAGACTTTGAGGCTGGCTATGGCTAATCTCCGGGCCTCCCAGGTCGAAGAAGACATTTGAAGCCTCCTGTGCACGGCCGCCTCGCAGGGGCCCATGGATCGCGGCGACCACGGCATCCGCTTTCGGCGGTCCGCGCGCTTCAGCGCCTTTGGCAGCCCTGCGGATGACGGAGTCTATAGCTTGGGTGCTGAAGACAGGCACACCCAGAACACGCAGAGCCGATTGGAGGCTGTTGGCATCGACGGTGTCCCGGTGCTGGAGGCCTAAGGCGGAAAGAAGGTGGGATGCCCAGGCGTCGCCGCACTGCCGCCGCAAGGCCTCTTGGAGATCCACTCGCTCCGTGCGCTCCTTCGTCTGCTTCCTGGCGGGCGACTTCAAGGCATCTTTGTCCTCGCGCGCCCGCTCAAGGGCCAGGCCAAGACGTCTCTGCAGCTCCGACTCCAAGCCTACCGGCAGGGCCAGGCGTGCCCATCCCTCGGAGCCCAAGCTCAAGAGCTGTTTGGGGGTCTCCAACCATTCCTTGTGCAGGCGTGCCACGAGCTTGTCTGCCTCGCTCATAGGGCGCCGCAAAGAGACGCAGGCTTCCCGGACCAAGGTCCTCAAGCTCCTCTCCGAAAGCTCAGGCTCGCGCGCGGGCTCCGTCCGCTGGAAGCGGGGCTTTTCCAAGGGCCCTCGGCTTTCCACGCGGCTTTCGCCCTTGCGTCTGGCACGCAGGTCGCGGAACTCGCGGGCATCCAGCTCATCCACTAGAGCCGTCACGGGCGCCGTCACGGGTGTGATGGACGAAGTTTCCTCAGAGGGCTCTCTGAACTTGGTGAACTTGTCCCAAGGCTTAAACCGGTCCAGGCCGATAGCATCAGGCTCCAAGTCCCATGCCATGGCAGAGAAGCGACCCGAGCATGGACAGCGGGTCAAAACATTTCCTTGATGTTTCCTTGCATCTCTCGTCTTAAGCTGGATGCAATGTCCCCCACCTGTCCCGAGCTACAGCAGTCTAGACAAATCGCATGTAAATCGTCTCTGTCTCCTTGCTCCGACTGTGCTTCTACAGGGAACATGAGCTGGCCGTCCGACTTCCACACACGCACTCTCGAATGCCAGCAACAGCATCTTGGAGAGCTGCCGAGTACTGCCGAGTCACAGTGGGATGTGCGCCAACCTAACTCCCGTTTTCCGAAAAGGCGAGTCTTGACTCAAAAGGCCTCCTCTTTGAGGCAGCGATTTGCCGTCAAGGAAAATCGCTTGGGTTCGTGGGGCTTCTGGACGTCTTGTAACATCTGCCCCTCGAAGGTGCATAAACGAGAGAAGTGAGACTTTGGTGAGTGCAACAAGCGCTTGGCCACAACACCAACTTTGCCGACTGTGCGCAACCTTCCAGGTCTTTCAGCTGTGGCGCAGCACAACCTTTCGGTGTGCAAGTGACGCCCTGTGCCGTCTGACAGGTTGCGGGAATTCTCAAGAAGCTGAGGTTCCTGTGCTGCGGGGCTGTGACCATCTGCCCAAGATGCAAGGCACTTGCTCCATGTACCCGTGAGACGGGCAGCGTTGCTGCCAAAAATTCTACTATGCTACGTCGGGCCGCCCCCTTCGGACATGCGACTGGAAATTCTTGCTGCTTTGAGGAATGATGGGCCACAGGGGCAGCTCCCTCTCCATGCATTGACAAATAGTGACAAGCTGCAGGGAACGTAAAAGATCATCCGAGCGCCTGCGGCATGCGTCGAACACGAGAGGCAACGAATGGGCAAACTGAGAGAGGCCAAGGCATGCGAAAAGGCAAACTCCCTTTGAATCCTCTCCTCCTCTTCCTCTTCCTCTTCCTCTTCCTCTTCCTCTTCCTCTTCCTCTTCCTCTTCCTCTTCCTCTTCCTCTTCCTCTTCCTCTTCCTCTTCCTCTTCCTCTTCCTCTTCCTCTTCTTCTTCTTCTTCTTCTTCTTCTTCTTCTTCTTCTTCTTCTTCTTCTTCTTCTTCTTTTTCTCTTCTTCTTCTTCTTCTTCTTCCTCTTCTTCTGCTTGTTCTTCTTCTGCTTCTGCGCACTTGAGGGGCCACCCCGTTGCGGCGAACCCGCCCGCGACGGCCAAGTGGTTCTGTCCGAGCAGAAGCTCGCCCGGTTTTCGGAGGTTTCTGTTTCGTCCATCTCTCTCTCTCTCTCTCTGTGCACGCACGCCCCCCGCCCCCCCCCCAAGGGAGGGGGCCACCCCGAAGGGCGCGCAAAGTCCGATGTTCCGTCTGTGATCCCCCCCACGGTTTTCGTAGCGGGTTGAGGGTGAGGGCTCAATCAGTTTCACGACAATGGCTCCATTCCCTCTCTTTCTCTCTCTCTCTCTCTCTCTCTCCTTTCTCTCGAGTCCTCCCAACCCTCTCGAATCCTCTCGACTCCTCTCTGGCGCCCTCTGCCTCCGTGGAGCTCTTGGCCTCTTTCACCTCAGCACCCTCCTCGGCTTCCGAGCCCTTGGAGTTCTTGGAGTTCTTGGAGTCCTTGGAGTCCTTGGAGTCCTTGGAGTGCTTGGAGCCCTGTGGGCGTGCCACGGGCGGCACGACTGGGAGCGCCGGGCCACTGCTGGAGGAGGCAACCATCTTGGCGTGGGCATGCAGACCCTGAGCTGCCTTGACATCGTCGGGCTTGGGGGGCCTGACGTCCGGCATGAAGTCCCGCGCATGAGCCCGCAAGGCCCCTGCAGCCAGCGCATCGGGGCTGAAGTTCTGCGCGTGGGTGCCAAGTGCCTTGGCTGCCAGCGCGGTGCGGGGGCTAACCAACGACCGGCGACTGGAAGCCGAGGAATCACCAGATCCCGAGGACGGCGAGTGTAGGCTGCTATGGCTGCTGGAGGCAGCGTCCTGAAACCAAAGCTGCAGCTGTCAGACAGCTTGAAGTTGCAAGTAGCTACGTACGCGGTCTAACAGGGTGCTTCAGTGATTCAGGACCTGCGGACCACAATTAATGAATGGACACTGGAAACACACGGACACACATCTTCTCAGCTCTGGTGAGTGCCCTTGTAGCCCTTGTGGAAACAGCGGTCAGAAGAGTTCAAAAGCCCAACAAAACCAAAGAGAGGCAGCCTTTCCCTTATGTCCCCGTCCTCTGCATCCGAACCCTCCGGGGTGGATGCTTCGGACCAGGACTTGTTGTCCTCGTCGTTCTTGGCCTCGTCCTCTCGTGGGGTGTCGGAAATCTCCCACGAGCCACTCTTTCGGGATGCCATCTTCTTGGGGGACTTCTTGGCCATGGCCAGATACGGATTGTCCGATGCCTTGACGGCTGCAGTCTCTCGCAGCGGGTTCTCCTTGGTCAGGATGGTGGGGGCGGCCTCCGCGGGGCTGCCTTCTTCTACGTTCACCTTCCCCTCCTCTTGCAACACCTCGGGCAGAATCTTATTCGCATTCTGGATGCGCCGGCGCTGGTACTTGAAGACGCATCGCACTCCGATGACCATGCTACTAAGCACCAGCAAGAAGAGAACGGCATAGAACCAAATCGGAGGAGTCCAAGGTTCCGGAGCGGCCCCCGGTGGCAAGGACGTGGAGTGCTTCGGTGCCAAGACAAGGTCCTCTTCCTCCTCGACAATTATGACGCCCTGACGGCTGGTGGTGGGTATCAAGGGTATCGTGGTGGCAGTTTGAGTGTGCAGGGTGGTGCGAGTAGTTGGGGGAAAGGTCGAAGTTTCTGGCGCCGAACCGAAGATGGGCCGCAGGCCGCTGCAAGACCCATCTTCGGGCAACTTGTACAAGACGTCCCGCGTGTCCGACAACAACTGCCACGGTGGAGTGCCATCCGGAACGTCAATCTCAAACAAGAGGCGAAGGACGGTCCCTTCATCGATTTGAAGCATCTTTGCCGTCGTGCCATCCCGGGCGGTCAGAACCCAAAAGCCATCCAGGGGCAGCAAAGCAGCAGGGACTATCTCAGGAGGCTTCTCGGCATGGATCTGGGCAAGCGGCATGCAGGTGCCACGTTCGTGTCGCGTCACAAACGGCAGGGTGCCTTCTTGCGGGGGCTCTACCACAGTGTCCGCAGCATCGAAGGCCCCGGGCAACCGTTTCAAGCGGAGCTCCACGTGGGGCTGCGGAAAGGCTCCAGACGGAGCTTCGCTCGTTTCCGCACCAGGCTGCAAGGGATCTGGAAGCTGAGATGCCGGCAAGGAGATCAAAAACGCTTTCGCCTCAGAGTGCATCAGCAAGTGATCCCGTCCAGCAGGAGCTGTCAGCCGCATGATCGCGCTGCCTGTTTGGACCAATCCGGCATAAGATACAGGACGCTGATCGAAGCTGATATCGTACCTGAGGTATGCCTGTGCATGCGTCACTGAATGCAATTCCTGGTCACCAATGGCCGCCTCAAGCTTTGAAGCAGCTGCACCCGAAGCTTCGAAAAGAGACATGGCCGGACTGCCGTCGGACTGCAGGCTCCACGGTGACCACGGCCTTCGCCAACTCCAGGTGGCTGGCCCGGCTGCATAGCCATCATCGCGCTGGCCCGAGACCCAGGCGGTCAAGAGCTCCAAGCGACTCAGGCGCCGTCGTGCCAACAAGGCAGCCGATCGGCGGCTGCGGTCCAGTGCCGAGCGCAGCTTGCGGAGCTCGTGCCAGTGCCAGGCTGCTTCCGGTTGATCGCTGCCAGTGGTCATGTTCGGCCGGTCCGACCACTGCAAGATCACGTCTATGTGGGCTGCTATGTGGCTTGACTGCGCCGAAGCAGCTGCAGAAATACTCGGCTCTTTCTGAATATCTCGCACGTCAATGACTTGAAGCAAGAGTTCCTCCAAGATCCGTATTCTGCCCCAAACCATCTGCAGAATTTCAGTGGATGCCCTCTTCAGTCGCAAGTCCTCCACGCGTGGGTCGATCCAAGGTCGGACTGCTTGTGGACCGAAGCCATCCCATGCGTCCTCTATCGCCAACTCCTCCGACAGCTGACGTGCCGCGAAGGACAAGCACCAACCGCGGTTGCCGCAGCTTGATGGCTGTGAAATGTTTGGAAGCGGCCCGGCGAAGAGCGTTGAGCCTTCTCGAGCGAGTGGTTCCAGCACCTGCTCCGTGAAATCTGAGACTTGGCCGACCGTTGCCTGCATGATGGGCAGAAGTCGCGTCAGCGAGGCGCCGCTGGTCCCGTCTGAGCCTGTCTGGTTCTCCACCTCCAGGCGAACGCCCTCTGCAAAGGAGAACCAGTCCTCCGCCACCTGCAGAAAGGGATCCCAGACGCGCTTCCGTGTCTCTGCTATGCTCACGGCCCCCGGTGGTGGCAATGCGCTGCCCAGCGGAGGCGTCATGACCGGGGGCCAAGTTGCAGAGTCCACCCGTGCAAGTAACCGCCACTCCAGGCCGTGATACCAATCGTGGCCCCATGTTCCGAGCCTCAGAACGCTAAACCGCTACATGTACGTCGGTGAGGTGTCTGCAGGCTGCACGAAATCCTACTGTAGGGTCTTACAGTTGCAGATTTATGTTGCAAGAATCAGCCCACTGACCCACTGACCCACTGAGTGCCGGGCATCATCAAAGCCATCGAGGCGATTCTCTGGACGACCTCGATGCTCTTCTGCTCCTTGTCCGACAGGTCGGTGGAGTTGACGAGCTGCTGCAGCTCTCCTCGGAGCTTCCAAGTGATGGCCTGCGCCATGCGCACGACGCTGAAGCCCGCGGCCTCGGCACTTTCGCCCAGGAGCTTGTCGATCTCCTGTAGTTCACGAAGCTTGGCCGGCAGGAGCTGCACGCAGGAGGACACCTCGGACTGCCACTGATCCTTCAGGGCTTCAGCCCCTGCTGCTGCTTGAAGGGCCTCACCTCGGAGCTGCACCAACAAGGCCTCTGCCGTCTCTGCAGTGAAGTCCAACAACTGTGGGAACGTGGTGGTGGTCTCGGTGGTCGTGGAGGCCTCTGCCACCGCCGTACCATTGGAGCCGTTGCTGGCTTCCGCAGCCGTGGCGTTGGTGCCATTGATGGCGTTGCCGTCGGTGCTGTTGGGAGCGCTGCTGTTGGCACTGCTGTCCGTGGCATTAGTGGAAAGCAATCGCCCCGGCGTGGAAAACAACGGACGCATAAGCGACTGCCATACGCTCAGGTTGGGCGGAATCAGTTGCACCATCACCTGACAAACGGACCAAACATCAAGCAACACGCAACTGAGCGGATCTCAATGACCAGATAGGACCAGAAACCAATCACAAGCCTCATGGATGCGCTCCATGTCCAAAAGGCGCTCGCCAGCCTGGGGACAGGATCTGATGAAGATTGCGTTCCCGCTTTGCAGCACTGCCAGCACTTGGACTTCGAAACGCCAATCCCACTCCAACTAGAGAAGGCGGCTCGGGCCGCTTAAGGCTTAAGACTCAAAGGCCGCTTAAGGGATGCCCTGTGTTGCCCTGTGTTTGGGGCCATCTTTTTGGGCCAACTTTGCTCTCGCGGGCGACAGCGATGAACAGCGCATAGACGTGCGCTCAGCTGCCAGCTTCCTTGACGGGAAAGGCGGCCCCGAGCGCCGCGATGTCTGCACTGCCGGCAGAGTGCAGCAGGGCAAAGGGCCTGCAAAACAGCGCTGAAGTTACGCTGCTTAGCGAGTGCGGCGTGCGCAGCTTCTCTTGAAACTCGTGCCTCTCAAACCCCGAGCGCTCTCACGCCGGCATGGGTGAACTTCTGAGTCAGATTGAAAGGGCGGCCCTCTCTGAGAACCGGACACCATGCTCCGCTGGCCCGCCGGCAAGCCAAGCTGCAGTGCCTAACGCATCGAAGAATCGAAGCATCGAAGCATCGAAGCATCGAAGCATGGAACTCGAACTTGGCGCTCTCGCTCTCGGCGCAGCTCTCTTCTCCGGCCTTCGCCCTCTCACAGGCTTCCCAAGAGCCTCCAACTCCCAACCACTTCCAACAGTCGACGACTTCATGTCGGGAGCAACATCCCATCTCAGAGCGCAGCCGTCGACATTGTGCTGTGCGCAGGTGTCGCTCAGCAGGGCATGGGCAGCCTACCGTAGGCTGCCCGGCTCCCCAGCACAACAAGCCACTGAACACAGCAAGAGCCCCCAGCCTGCCAGCTGCCAGCAGAAATTTCATGTGCAGCTAAATCAACCGCTTCCTGGCGTCACTACGTCAGGCGAACTGAGGAACTGGAAAGCCCTCTCAGCGCTGGCGCGTTCTTGGTGCCTGCACGTCCTGCATCTGGCCAGCCAAACTCAGATCTTCTGAGTCCGCAAAGAGCGGGCTCACCGAAGTCGCCCCACAGCAGCTCCTTGCAGATATTGACAAGCTAATAGGAAATGTTGAATCTGCTTGGGTCTTCTTGTGTGTGTGTGTGTGTGCCCGTCCGTGCGTCCGTCCGTCTGGGATGAAGCCGGATATCAAATTTATTGAAGGGTGAGTGGGCCTTAACCTTTTGAGTTCAAATATGTTCAAATCGAAGATTCAGGGTTACTGGGCCGGACTGTGATTGGCAGTGGTGGTCGGCATCCCCAAAACTCCCAAACCTGAATCCGAAACCTTCCACTGTTGCTTTCGGACTTTAGGGCTCAACTAAGGTCTAGCTTGAGGCCTTTCTGGATGTCAAGGATGCGGATTGGAACTCAGAACCGCCCATAACCTTGGTGTGACAAAACCGTAAACCTTCGAGTTTTCAACTTGGATATGAGGGTATTTTGAAACCGTAGACATGAGAGCATGGCGAACCCAAGCTAGTTCCCTCGGAGAAAAGCCAGCACCGCTTGGCAGAGGCGAATTGGAACCGAGGAGGTAACGGAACAACACGAGACACAACTGAGCTCCTGACCTAGCTGGACAGTATTGAAACGATTTATGCATGTAAGCAAAGTATATCCTATGTGAGCTCGTGTTGTACACATGAAGACGGCGCATGAGCATCAAATAAAGTATATCCTATGTGTTCTGCGTTGCACGCATCAAGACAGCATATGTCGGCAGCAAACAAAGCATATCCTAAGCGAGCTTGCGTTGCACGATTCAAAATCTCAAAACAGCGCATGTGCGAGAACAACCGTGTGTCAACATCAAACAAAGTACCGGTTTAAGAAGAAGCCTAGGGGGCGGGGGCCTCGGGGGGGGATGGGAGCGGGGGCGGCGGGGGGACCCCCCACCCTATCTAATCGAGAAATAAACACCCAACTTGGGTCGCACAGCGTGCAAGGGATCGCTTTGTGACGGACACAAAAGGGGGTGGGGAGGGGAGGGGTCTCAACCCCCCACCCCCCGGACACCTTAAATCTCTATATCGGAGAGTAAGGCCCTTGAGTGCTGCTTGTCCCAAAACAAAACATGTAAAGCTGCAAAGGAGCTAGCTTTCGTGACCTTTTGAATTATAATTCAAACCCCAGACAGGAGGAAACTGTAGACCTGTTACATTCCAGGTTAATCAACCTGGAGTGGCAACTCCATCGGAAACTTGAATTCAAAACCTTGCCCTCGTACTGGGCTGTAAATTCGAAATTGAGCCCTCAACTCCAGAAAGGAATAGATGCAAATCCAATTCCCAAGAGAGACAAAGAACATTGAGTTAAACTCGAATTTAAGCCTCTAGAGCAGGAAAGGATAACTTCAAATCCAGGCTCTTCAGAGACGCGACGAGCAGACGGCCCAAAGACAAGACATAAAGCCTGTTCTGAAAGTGGATTCCGTCCATATTCCGTCCGTCTGTTTGTCTGTGTGGGTTGTGTGGGAGCTGTGCGAGGTGTGTCTCGGATCAGTCCCGCCGGCGTCGAAGAAGAAGATTCTCAGAAAGTAGCCCGAAGCCTTGTCGGGCCACATGTTCGCCACACTCGCTTTGATGAAAGCCGATGCCTCTGGCAACCCATCGGGTAGCTGGAGCCCTCTCTTCACGAACACGGCGTTGGGATCGTCCAGGGATGATTCGTGCCTGGCCAGCTCTTAGTACCCTGCCCCCGTCGCAAACTTTCTGCTAGGGCCTCTGCTAGCCTCTTCTGACCACTGAGCTCATCTTGTCTCTTCCTGGGGGCCAGGCTCCAGTTCGCCGGAGAACCACTCTCCCAGCTCGGCCACCTGCGCACGACTAAGTGTTGAGAGCGCTCGATCTAGGCCCCGCCCCCCCACTGTCCTCGCACAAATCCCCCCAGTTTCGAAGTCGTCGTCATCGGAGGAATCAAGACTTTCTTTTCTGAAGCGGTGGCTGTCGGGCCAAAAAGTGGCCCGAACGGGGGTTGAGTATGCGCCTCACTTGCTTGTTTCCCGCATTTTCCCACACAACATATGTCGGAGGTAACTGCAAACTTGATGGCACGTCCTGGCAGCAGACTTCTGCCACCGGGTGGGCGATGGCTTTGTGAGCCCCACTCCCAGTCTGTGACATCTGAGGGGGAAGACGAAAGGTGTGGCTGCGAAGGCTTGGCTTGGTGGGCATTTTCTTCAAGTGTTCTAGCCTACCAAGCCTACACGCACCTTCAACACAGTTTGCTGTGGCGCTTTCAGATCCTCAGAGTTCTGTAAGTTCTAATGCCGTGGAGAGACCTGAACCAGCACCTTTCTTTCGTGGCTCCACATACGCTCTCTCGCGATAAGAATTTTGATATTCGCTGCTTCAAGAGAGGGAGGACAGACAGGCAGGCAGGCAGGCAGGCGGAGAGCGAGAGAGCGTCAGACAGAGGGAGGACGAGACCAACGCTCTGCCACTGCGTCTGGTGAAATGCGACAACCACAGCCTGCGTGCCAGCAAAGTCATCGATCTCGCGTCTGTAGAGAGTGACGCGCCAGAAGCCGGAAAGGCACAGGCCGGCTTCGGCCTAGACATCCGAGACTATGTAATAAGTGCGACATGCCAAAGATCTGCGAAAGTAGCGCTGGTTGACTAAACCGCAAGAATCCGTAAGACGTGGACGGTGCAATTCCCGTACTCCGCATCGAGCTTCCGCAAAGACAGCCCATGCATCGTCCAGCGGGCAGAGACTGATGCACCCTCACAGCGTTCCCGCAATATTCGACACGGCATCACTTGAATTCAGTCGCAGACTTCCCTCGCGAGTCCTCGCAGAGCGCATCCGCATCAGCTGCTGTCGGGCATCTTGCAACGTCCTGGTCAGAACACATTCCTTCGTACACCCATAGTTGCCATGGTTTAACACTATCTCAGATTTCCCAGAGTCGACTCGTGACAGTGCATGTTAGTGGTGTTGTATGAAAGGCGACATTGGCCGGCCTGGAGGTTCAGCTGCGCTGCCATGCGCACCTCAAAATCTGTTCACACAACATCTTGTCGACACGCTTCTCCCCGCTTTCCCATGGCAAGACTTCAATCAAGACTTGCACGCATTTGCCAGTGGAAGCAGCTCCACATCCCACGCGAACCTTGAAAATCTCTGTCGCAAGAATCAGCAACAGGGCATCCAACTTAGGCCAAGATCTGCCACAGCTAAGCCAAATGCCCATGGTCCCGAAACTTGGAAGCCGTCCGCGCTCGTCTCTGCTTCGTCTTCAGAGCATGTTTCGCAGTCCAAGCAAGCACCGTCAGTGTTCGCCACCTTCGAGGATAGGGCTCTCGGTGCAAGTGCGTCTGCAACACAGATACTGTACGGGCAGAAGGCATGCGCCTCGTACTTACCCATGCTGCATTCCGTGCAAACCTTGGCCCATATGAGATCTCAAGAGATCTCAGGTCTCAACCAGCATCATATTTGCACCCTCCTTCCATGCCCTCAGGTAGAAACGCCAATCTGCTGTCCACCACAGCCCCGGCGCTCGCCCTGACGTCTACGGTGCCGCAGACAGGGTTCAATATGATGAATCAGAAATTCCCACCTGGATGCATGTGAAGCAAGTGCGACAGAAAGGTGCTCCGAAAAAGCTGCCTCAACTGTCAAGATGTGAGGTTTTGTCTTTCTGCAGGCCTGACATGTTCATGGTTCTCCGCAAAGCACTGCGACAGCAAAGCAAGCTGCTTGTGACAACATGTCCTACATTCTTGGCTGTCTGTCGGCATGAGCCACAATCAGTTCCTCTGTGGCCACACCGGCGCTGTGTAGTACAAACAACTTCATAAGAACATAGGGGTTGAACATGTATCGAGGGGCAAAAACCCTTGGGAAAAGACTGGGTGGCCAGACCCTTTAAGCGAGCGTCCTCTGGACAGCTCGCAAGAACATGTGCGATGTTCTCTCTGATATTGCGATGGACGGCCCTTCATGCTTTTGCCCGAACAACATGGGGGGGGTCCACTGCCTCTACTCAGGCAGGTGACATTATGTGCCAATCGGCTGTGCGCCGAAGCAGTGGCCGGCAATTTTGACTGAAGCAAAGCCAACAAGAATACTGATTCAGGAAAGCTGCCCCCAGAGCACGGCGAGCAGTGGCCAGGGTCTGCCCCACCTTACACATGTCTTCAGAGCACTTTGCACTGCGGGAAGCTCGACGAATGCCCGAGCCCAGTGCCGCAACCCACGCGGACGTGGCCTCTTGGACAGTCCTCACATGCCTGCCGAAACTAGGACACCATGCTGCATCATGACCCATCATGAATCCCGAGCAAGAAGAAAGCCGATGTGTGCAAAGCTGGGCCTGGCAGGTGTCTGTCCATGCACCTTCCAACCTTCCAACTCCAACTCGCGCAACTTGAGACCGACTTTTGGCCGACATGCTTTACAGTACTTTGCCTGGCTAGCCACATAGAAGCTAACTATGCCAGATCCGCCCGATGGTTTTGAACTCGCTGCCAGCCGCACATTCCACACACAAGCCGGCCGTTGCTGGACCACAGCCCTTGCGAATCCTCGGTTCAACTCAGTTACGAGGCTTTAGCGGAGTGGAGATCGCGGCAGCAACACATGCAGCCTCAGAGTGTAAGTTCCTGGCTTGCCCGCTTCGCATGGCTGGCAAGACTCGCAGCTGCTGCCAGGGCTGCCCGTGGGATTGAACCTCTCCACATCTCTCCATGCACTGTCCATGGGTCATACATATATATATATATAGATAAACATGTACTGACATATGTATACATGCTAATAATTACTGATATACGTATACCTATTTATATGTTTAGAGACATACATATATAAATATGTATATATGTATATATGCATATGCATATGCATCCACTTACTTCTCAATCCGCTTTCCACGTCGGCGCTGTCAGTTTTGATACAAGGGCACTTCACCGGCCTTCCGGCGGCGCATGTCTGGCACTCCCCAGCGAAGTAGGCGTGGCAGCCGACAATCACCTCTTTGCATTCATCAGGATTCCCATCATCTTGCGCATGTCGCTGCGCCAACAGATCTAGCTCTTACATCTCCGAGCTTAAGCACTGGCCTCACCAGGATAGCAGGTTGCACAGCAAGACGCATAGAAGAGCTTGCCATCGATGATCCCGTTGGTGGCCTCATGTCACCATAAGGGTCGGAGCCGGGCTCGAAAACGAAAAAAACACAGGCTGCACGACAGCTGTGGCCTGGCCTCGAAGCCTCTCAAGTAACCATTTATGTTCCGCTGCTGCCGACAGCAGCGAAGCCTGAGAGACACAAGACGAAGCCGCCGCGCGTAGCCGCTGCGCGTAGCCGCTGTGCGTAGCCGCTGTGCGTAGCCGCTTCGCGAAGACACTTGGAAGCTGGAAGCTTGAGGCTCGCGCTCCCGCCAAGCAGGAAAGACATCGTCGCTATAGCAAGGGTTGTTCCTTGTTCTCTGCGCAGTCCAACAACAAACAGTCTCCAGGTCTCATCAGGTCTCCCAGCACATCTAAGGTCTTGGCTCCACTGCATAATAGCCTGGGTCACACCCTGCCTGATTCATTGCAACAACGGCACAAGCGACGAACATCGCTAACATGCAACCGAGTTGTGCCTGGTACAGGCATTCTGTGGTGTAGCCTAGCAGCTGAAGCGACCATGTGCAAACGTCTCTGGAAAGCCTGGCTCTCGGCCCTGGACAGCTGTCGTCTGAGATTTGATCAATGTCATGCACAGTGAAATAGGCCGTCTCGCCTGGCAAATCTGTGCAGAGCCTTCAGAGCCCCTGCGATGCCTTTACACTTCATACTATACAGTTCTACCCGTCTTCAAAGCGCCAGCAGTTCTGGTTGGCAGCGTCATGGACCACAGGCCATAAGCATCTGTGGCCAGCTGCCCGGACATGTCTTGGGGAGGTGCGTAGCCGGGGTGGCCGGCCACACAGGCACCGATCCTCAGGTCAAGGCCAGCCAAGTCTTGGACCCAAGCCGACATGAAGCCGTTCTTTGAGGGAAACACCCCTCCAGCCGCGGCTGCGTATACCTGAGATACCGCTTCGTGGGATTTGTTTGTCCTTCCGGCCACGGAAAAAACACAAGGAAACAGAAGAAAACACCGGGTTCCAAGCCACATGCAATACCCAGCATCATTGCTTTCAGCAATGCAGCTGGTGCAAGACCTGTTGACATGTACGATTTTTTTAAAACGGGGTTCCAATGGTTCCATACTCACATCAGACATGGGCCCTGTGAAAGCCTGGGGCCAGCACACATGCTTGAAACATGCACCGCTGGCTTGATGCAGCAGGGCTATGGGCAAGATGTTGCGAAGCATGCCTCAAGGTCATCGAATTAAAACAAAAACACACACACACACACACACACACAGAGACACACACACACACACACCGCGGGTGTAAGTGCACCAACGAACAAAACATGTGTACACGGCCAGAGGCATATGCAAGTGTGCTCCAGTCGGCCTCTTCGAACTACTCGGTATGGCAACCTGATCTACGTGCTTCACATTGGAAGCTGATGGTCCTAACACCAAGGAGAGCTACACATTTCTCAAACAGCTTGAAGGGCGGCGGGCATGCACTTGGCATGTGAACATCTCTCTCAGCTGCATTTTCAGGACTTTGAGAATACTTTCTCAGAGGTTCTCGCCCTGTGCTCGCCCTGAGCTGCTTTTGTCGCAAGCAGGCATTTGAAAGCATTAGCATTAGCAGCAACCATACAAGAAGCAGCCGAGCTCAGCTGAGTCACAACTTCCAGTCCTTGTTTCCGTATTGGAAACAAGCACCCTTGTTAGGATCTGAGAAGAAGCTTCTCCATAGGGACCATGGAAACACTGCCCCTAAACCTTTTTAGAGGAGGCTCACAAAGGGCTTTTGGAGGGTTTTGGACCCTTGCCAAGGCCGGCTTCCCCCAAGCGCAGGTCATGCACAGCCCAGCCTCAGAGACGCGCATCAGTAATCCTGTCGTCTGCAGGGGGCAGAACATTCTGTGGCACATGTGCACATAGGTGCGAAGGGCATCATGCGCTCTGTTTTCTCAACCTGCATGCACCTTGCTTGCAAGATCTTGCAACACTAGCACACACAGCTCATTAACGACGGCCGATTCGGCGTGTAGGTAGCATGGCTGCATGAAGAGCGGCCAGGCTAGCTTCGTCCATTAACACAGGGAGTGAGAAATTGGCTTCACAGGGTACCGAGACAGTGCTTGCTGGACACTTTGCAGATGTGGCACGGAGGAAACGTGTCAGAGCAACGGAGTCGTACGTGTGGGGCCCTTGTGCTGGTGAGGGCGATGACTGCTTGGCGCAGTCCGTGATGCGTTCCCGTAAGGCCTTCATGTCTTGGCCTAAGCCGCGCAGCCGCGCCTTCTGCGAGTCCGGTGCAGCTTCAGGCTCCGGCTCATCAAGCATCACAATTTTGGGCCGAATGTGCTCATGCAGCAAGCCTTCTCTGAATGCTTGCAGCTCCTCCCACAAGCTGCCAACATGTTCTTCGAAACCCTCGCATGACTCGAATGTTTGTACAGGGCCGCTGCTGCACCGCAGCCGGAAGCCGTCTCGATGCCGATGCTGACTCAGCTGAAGCTCCCGGATCTCAGCATGTTGTCGAGCGACCGCACGCCGCAGTGCCAGCACCTCCTCAGGTGAGACGTCGTTACAGTAGCGCCGCATGATGCGCCGCTCCAGCTCGTTGAGGCGATGATGGAGCTCTCGGCATCTTGCCTTTGCTTCTGCCATCGTGTCTTCCATCTGATTACACTCTTGTGTTTGCTTGCTCAACTCCTCCTCGAGGAGCGAGCATGCGTGTGTTCCCGCCTTGGCTTGCTTCTGCATCTGCACAACGCTTGCCAGCATCAAGGCTCGCCTCTCAGATTGGATTCGTGCAGCACCAAACTGCCGCTCTGCTTCCTGCATCTCCTGCTTGGCCTTGGCCAGGCGTTCCCCCACCCTCTCAAGCGAGTCCTGGACCTTCAGAAGCCCTTTTGTGGCTTGCTCGAGTGCAGGTTGGGCCGCCTGCTCTGCTACCTCCAAGCTGCTCCGCTTCCTCAGCCTTACTCTTTCCCATGGCCGTTCCTTGGACTTGGCCTCGCAAGCTCTGCTGGTACTCGTGGCCACTTCGGAGAATATGTCTGACAGCTGATCCAGCTGTGTCTCAGCGTGGCTGAAGGTTCTCTCTAGTGTATCGACATCCATTGTGGCCTCGTGTTGTGGATACAGCGCCAGCGCTTGCCTCAGCAGCCCGTCTAGCAGTAACTGAGTGAGATGTCCATGTTGAGCGGCTGTCTGCTGACGTTGTTCTGCATGCTCCTCCTCCGGCTCCTCATCCTCATCTTCGTCTTCCTCATCATCCGTGCCCTCGCTGTCGCGGCGTTTGGGCAGTTGCTCTTCACAGGGCCCAATGGCGAGAAGCTCCGCATCATCTGGAGTTTCATGCAATCGGTTGCAGAGGCGGTTTGCCTGGTCATAAAGTGCTTGCCACCGCTTTCGGTGTGATCCACCTGCATCTGCAGATGCATAGAGTGCAGAGGCACAGGCGATTCGCAGGGCTTCCACTGCGCAGCTTGCTCGCTGCCAGGATGCAAACTGCTGGTCCTTGAACAGAGACTTCTGCAGTGACAGTAGCTGGGCCCCATGGGCCCTCAAGGCAGCCACCTCCGCCTCCCTCGCGGCCCTCTCCTCCCTCTCCTCCCTTGCAGCCCTCGCAGCCCTCGCCGCCCTCGCAGGGCTGCGGAAGGTCTGCAACAGCGAGGCCAGCGCCGCGTCCAGCGAGGCTTCTCCGGCACAGCTCGTAAACGCGGCGTTGCGCACCAGCCAGCAGTACCTCGAGTCGGAAATATTTGTCTGCATGTGTGTGTGCGGGGGGGGGGGACGGGGGTATGGCTGTATGTATGTGTGCGTAGTTGAACAAAAGCATCGCTCGGCACCGCTACGCACTTTCGCTACTCACGTCAGTGCTAGTACGTAGCCTTATGCGCCATCTCCGACTGAGTGACCTCTCCACATCAGTGGTGTACAGGCAGCCGAGCACCCCCAAGGCCTCGCAGGGGATGCTGTGGGATTTTGTGGGATGCTGTGGGATGGGATCCCCAAACTGAAGCTCCGGGCTCCGGGCGGCATATGCCAATTGGCTGGCAGCCAGGCTCACGGAGCAGAGCCAACTCATGGATGCAGCATCCTGTGAGCACATCTTCTCAACACCATGTCAAGCCCACCGGTTCACACGCTTCAAGACTGCCTGCAGAACCGCCAATGCTGCATCCGCTATGAAGTGCTCGTGGATGCTTCGGCTCAAGATGCATGCCTGAGGCTGGATTGGCTTTTGTGAGTGGTTGAGAGCGGTCACGCCTCGTTGTTTTTTGCAAAAAAAAGGCCCCAAAGCCTTCACACGACGCAGGGCCTTGCGGAAGCAGCGATGGAGAGCACAGAGCGAATGAAAGGTAACCCCGAGCTCCGCATCATCACGGACCTCAGCTATGGCAGCAATGGCTATGTCCATGTCGGCTATGTCATATTAAGCACTTTGCTCTCCGTCCCACAGAGTCCGAGATGTGACGAGCTTCTAAGCCTTAGCTGAGCCTTGGCTAAGTCTTAGCTAAGCCTTAGCCAAGCCTGAGCAAAGCAGTTAAGAGCCGAACCTGGCCGGGTAAGCAAGACATCCAGGCTTCTGCATCGGCAATTGCTCCACGGCAATCCACGGACACCTCCGGAGAAGGGCATCCGAATGACAAAGTCACGTCTAACAAAGTCTCACAAGCTGGCCTCAAGCGTCTCTGCCTCAATTGCTGCGGGTGAAGCTCCTGCCTCCACTTCAAGGCGGTTTGGTTAACGTGGGGAGAAATCGATCATTGTTCTGAGGCGGCCGAAGCCGAGGCCGTGCAGATCGGAGATGTGTTCTGTGCTTTGACATGTTCTGAGGCCCAAGCGCCCTCGCCCTTTCCAGCAGACCGGAGCATCTGCAGCCGGGTCTCCAGCCGGGCAACCTTCAAAGAGGATACAAGAGGATACAAGAGGAGAAGCGAGCGTGAGACGAGCATCAAGGGCTGTCCCCGAGGTCACGGGATCCGCCTCCGCGCTGTTGGCCAGGCGTTGGCCCTGCATCTGCCTCCGAATGCGACCTGCACGGATCCGCATGGCGCTTTCGATGAACGTGCGTGTCGCAAGGAGAGCTTTGAAAAGGAGCGCTCGTCTGAGTGCAGAAAGCGAAAGCTCCAAGTTGGGTCCAAGGCACAGAGCTGCAAAGCCAATTCTTCCAGCTGCTCCTCACGGCCCTTGACAGATGCACTGCAATAGGGTAAACATATCTGCAGCCCACAAGTCCCTGCCTTTAATGTTAGCAGCTCTTCTGAAAGCTGAACTTCGAGATCTTGCTGCGTCTGCGTCAGCGACAGCGCCATGCAAGTTAGCACGGCAACATCCGCAGGCATTACGAGGCTTCTCACGAGCGACGAGGCAATGGCCCAGGCCTCAAGCATCTCAAGGCTTGTCTTCTGCAACGACCTCTGCTCCTTCAAGCTCACATATTCACATGCCCTGGTACTTCGGTACATGGGAACAGATGAGAGCAGATCATGTGAACCAAGGCCAACCTCGACCAGCTGCTTCTTCGAGGCCAAAGCAGATGCCAAGCCATCATTCTGCACACACCACTTGGGATTTTGCCAGCTTGGACAGTTTTGACAAGATACGTGTTTCTGCTGAGGTTTTCGAGCAGTGAGCACAAGGAGACATCAAGCTTGAAGCCTGCACGGTCAGCTGCTCCACAGCTCGCTTCAGCATGGAAACGTCCTGTCACGGTGAGCTTTGATGAGCTTTGATGAGCTTTGAGCTTTGAGGTGCCAGTTGGTGCCAGTGCCAAGTCCTCCGTCACCATGGACTTAGCTTGCAGCTGCTGTGCTTGTAGCTGGGCGCGCTCAAGGGCCTGATGCCACACTGGATCCACGAGCCCCTAAGGCTCCATACGGCTCAGCCGTGGAGACTGCGCTTTTGGGCCCAGGCTGCAGCGCGATGCCTGAGTCGGACCACTTCGGCCCTGTGATTCTTGTAGTAGTTCCACAGGGCCTCAGAGAGCAAAATCGCGAGAGAGAGAGAGAGAGAGACAGTGCGCAATCTTTCTCAGCCTCTTTGTCTAAGGAAGAGAGAGAGAGAGGGAGACAGAAAACTTTGGGTTCGCGGCCTCGCGGTGCCAATCGACTTGGACCTTGGAGCAAAAAGGCCCTGAAACGCACACTCAAAGGCCCGCTCAAAGGCATGCGAAGCAAAGAGCCTGCTCGGTCCAGACGGCATTGTCTGCTGCCCACTCCGTTGTGTCGTTGACTTCCTGTGCCAGGAGCATTCGTCGCTGGCATTTTCAAAGAGCGATGCATCATCAAACACTCTAATGAGCCAAACCCTGATTAGCGTGCACCGTGTCCACCCCCTCCCTCAATGAAGCTTCTCAAAAGACTTACCCCAACCTGCCAGTTTGTTTTGCAAGTCGACAAAAACCAAGTTTCTTGGGCTCCAGCATGCTCCAGCTACAAGCTCCCCCCCTGAAGGAAGCCCGTGCTTACGTCAGGCTTCGCCGGACCCCCCCTAAAATGCTCGAGACAACCCGTGGTAACCTACATACTTACCTGTTCGACGGGTTTGCTGGGACTCAAGCCCACTGTCAAAAATCCATTGGGTGCTTTGTGCTTGTAAGTTTTTGGCGTGGCTGCCAGGGCCTGACTGCAGCCGGTGCACAGATTCGAGTGTGTCTCTCATTCTTCAAACTTTAGCTTGCGGGGGTCTGTTTGTGTGATCATATGTTTGATCGATTGCCTGGCGTCAACATTGATTGGCGCTTCACGTCTGCTTAAACATCACTTTTGCAAGCCTCCAGACTAGCGGCTATTGTTGGTGTGATTGTGGGTCAGAGCATTACTATTGAAGATCAATGGCACAGATGACGATGGCACACCTCCAACTTCAAAGTGATCTCCTCAGCCTCGATGTCCAGCAGCTCCTGCGGATGAATTTGTTCAGTTTTGGAGAACTGGCAAGCAGGTTCTCGGCCTTCTCCTTCAGCTCCTTTGCAAGTTGCTCCTGCAAACGCCTTTGCTGTGTGGCAGCCCATTCAGCTCCCTTCAAGTCCCCAATTTCAGCTGAATAGCTCGACGACTGCCCGCAAGCTTCCAGAGCCAGAGGCCACCTATACGGGCGGGAGAAAAGCGGAACACTGGTCTTGACATGTCCTGAGACACATGCGCTCGCGTGCGTGCACACACAACCAGGAATGGCAAAGCCTCAGTGAGCTGTTCAGGATCGGGTACTTCTGTGCCATCGTCCTTCAGACGGAACCAACTGGAGCAAAATGGAGCAGGCCCCAGTCCCTGGCGAGCCTGTGGTAAAGCTGAGAGGGATTCCGCCTCGAAGGCCGCACGCTCCTTCTCGAGGGTGCCCTGGCTCTTGGCCGCTTCCTCCGCCTGCCAGAGCCACCATAGCAACCGAGCCCACGACCGCAAGTCGACATGACACGGCCTGAAGCCGGATCTCAGCCGCCTTCACAGGACACTCCGCAAACTCATCCAGTCTCCGTGTGTATCCTTCTGGCCTTCCTTTCTTGCGCGGCTTTGGCCGCCGCAGCCGCCGCGGCTGCTGCGGCTTTGGCCCTTTCTAGCTCCGCTTCTGCCTGTTCGGCCTGCTCCCTCGCACCTCATGTCGCGACATTCGTTGCACATTCAACCGTCGCGAAACGATTCCTCTGATGTCTCTCTTCACGTCGTGCCTTCGCTCTTGCTTCTGACCTCGTCCAACTCAGCCGTGGCTGTTGACAGTTTGGCCTCTCACAACAAAAAGTGCAATGTAGCTCGATGCGACCCACAAACGTTGTCAAGTTGTCGAAGGGCTGCCTGCCTGCAAGTCCACAGCCTCTTCTTCAAGTTGCGACGTCAGCTTGATCGCACGGGCCTGTCGCAAGTGGGCAAGCATCTACCAACCATATCTCTGCAGAGGCTGGGTTGCAACGCAGCACGTGAAAATTATGCGAAGGAGCCTCTGCTTCTTTGGCCGCCTCTGCCGCAGCAAGAGCTTTCTCTGCGGTCGCCGATCTGGCTGGAGGGCTGAAAGTATCCGTCCTGGTCAACACAGCTCGCCAATCCAGACTGGCCCTGCCTACTGCGATGGCATGCTGCCAAGGCTCATGGCTTGCTGAGCCTGCGGCAGGAGTATAGAGTAGAGAGATCAAGGTACACAACACTGTTCCTCGCATCTCTACAACTGGCCTTCGTGAGGTTCATCACGGTCTGGTCGGCAGATGCTTCCGAACGTTGCTTGGGCTTGGCCACATCGGCAGGGACGTCTGCCCGCGCAGCTGTTGCTGAGGCGGCTGCAGGTACAGCGGCTGCGGGCACAGCGACTGCGGGCACAGCGGCTGCGGGCACAGTGGCTGCAGCCGTAGCGGCTGCGGGCGCAGCTGCGGCGGGCACGGGTGCTGCGGGCACAGCTCCTGCGGGCACGCCGCCTGTGGGCGCGGCGCCTGCTGGCGCTCCTGCGGGCGCGGCTCCTGCGGCGCGGGGCCTGCGGGCGCGGCTCCTGCGGGCGCGGCTCCTGTGGATCTTGCAGGCGCGGCGGCCGCCGCCGCGCCGGCTGCAGGTGGGGTGGTGGCGGCGGCCGGAGTGGACGCGGTGGCTGTTGGCGCGGGGGCTGTAGGTGCAGTGGCTGCAGGCACGGAGGCTGCAGGCACCGCAGCTCCGGGCGCGGCGGCTGCGGGCACGGCGGCTGCAGGCGCGGCTGGCTTCGGGCTTGCAGGGCTGGCCGGCTGCTCCTTCACCTCCGCATCCGCTGCTTTGGTTTCTGGCCTGGCCTCTGTCTTTGCCGCGGCCTTGGCCTCGGGTTTGACATCGGGCTTTAATTCGGCCTCTGCTAGCTTAGGAGACGGAGGAGCCTGCAGTTTGGCAGATTGGCGACTCGGGGAGGCAGGAGAGACAGGAGAGGGGCTGGCGGCTTTAGCGGTGGGGCTCGCCGGCGATGAGGTGGACACTCTCCCCGATGCCATCGGAGTAAGTGTAACTTGAGCTGGACGTACAAATATTCCATGATTTGGTGGGCACGTGAAGTATGCCACATCTTTCACCGTTCCGTCATTCCTGGAAAGTGACAACTCATGACAAGCAAGTTTCGAGCAGCCTCGGAAAAGAGTGCAGGGGAAGAGGTGACCGGGTCCTTCCAACTGGATCATCCAGCTGGATTCCAACCCACACTCCACCAGCGAACTCTGTCTGTCCACAGAATCGGACCTGGAGCGATCCATGAGAATGGAATCCAGTGATATCACTTTGACCCCACTGCTGCCTCGGCATAGGCAAAGGACGTGGAACTTAGGCCAGGGCTGTCCCAGCACGGTTGCTGACGAAAACACGCTGGCCAACTGAGAAGCTTGCACCTGGTAGGCAACGTATGTTTCGGCTTTGACATCATATGACAGCTTTCTTGGCAGCTGGAGGGTTGCCCCGAGCCTGGAGGTGCACCCTCCATGCTACACGCGGCAACGCTCCATGGATTGGGGCTCTACTCCTGGCTTGCGGTTCTCCTGATACCCCAAGAACCGCATCTGGAGCCAGAAGCTGGCAGAGCGAAGTTGGACCCTGGACAACTTTGGATTGGCAGCTCTCTGAACAGCCTGCCAGCATGCCGAACAAGCACAGCGATGTACAGCATGCATCCCTTGAGCAGATCAAGTCCTCAATGGATTCCCGATCACGGCCGTCACGAGTGGCCTGTAAGGGCAAGACGTCGGCTACTCTGGCCGTGCAAACCCGGCGCTTCTGCACTGAGGCACCTCCCCATGCCGCGAGCTCGTAGGGCTGCCTGATCACAGAACTGTTTGGATGGCGGAACATCTAAACTCTAGACATGAAGTCGTTGTTTGGATCAGTTTGCGGATGCTTGGGGACATGTCGCGGGCCTGAAGCAATCGGCTGAGTGACACAGCCGGATCCTTTTCGTGCCTTCAGCTGGCTCAACTCCTCTCAACCAGAGAGATGCGCATAGATGCGCAGAGGTGCACAGCGAGGGCACATTGGTCCTCGCAGATGCGGCCGACCGCTTCGGCCATGGAGTCCATGCCTAGCTCACTGCTTTGGACCTGCGGGGAAACCGGCGAAAACCAAAGCCGGCCACAAGCATGATGACCCCTACAGTGATCCGCACAACGATTCGCATCGTGATCCGCACATCGATCTAGGCATATCACATGTCCACAGGCATATGTGTTGTTCAGTTAACCGTGTTGAGTGGCGCACCCTTTGCCACAACGAAGTCAAATCTTCGCTCATTTCTGTCAACTCCTGCCGAGGTGCTGAATGAAATCCGCCCTGGCCTCGAGCCGTAGGGGTCCGCCCCCACCCCCCACCCCCCTACCCCACTCCCAACCCCAACCCCCAGCCAACTTCCCCGCCTTGTTTTCTCCACTACGAGTACTACATTTGAGGTGCGTGGTCTATAGGGCTTCACAATCTCCGGTTTGGGTTGCCTCGCCACTGGGCAAGCCCCAGGCTGAGGCGGGTCGCGTAGCGCGAAAAATTAAGCCTCCAATTCAACCAAAGTAAACGAAGCCATCTCGGCGACAGATAGCCACACACTTCCTCACGCATCTCTCGGGCATCTTCTGAAAAGTCTTGAGCATTCACGGCCTGGCACTTCGATTGCATGATTCTGAGGATTAACTTAACACGACCAAGGGCAGAAACATTCCACCCTCTGCGCTCGGAGGGCCAGTCGGACGACCTAAACTGACATGCAAGCCGCATGGATTTGTAATGTGAGATCGTTTGAGGTTTTGATGCACTTGGGCACTGATCACCAAACCCTCAGAGGGGACAGCAAGGAAGGCAGTGGCGGACCCAAGCAAACACACTCCATAATCACTCTCCTGTACTCACTCTCCTACGGATCTTTGGGACCTGTGGCCACGACCCTTTCTCCGACGCTGTCCACTTGAAGGCGAGCTTCTTGTGTATTGACCAAGTCCTGAACGTCTCCACCGTCACTGTATCCCAACACTTCACTGAGGTGCACTTCAAATTGCAGACCTGCGTACCATGAAGTGCTACCCCCTCCTGCAGCTCGGAGCCGAATGTCTCCAAGCGAGCATCAAGGTCTGCGACCTCACTGCAGGATTTCGCGTTGTGATCTCAATGCAAATGGTTCCCTGCACCTGATCCTCCAACATGCCTGTGTGCTCCTCTCAAGTTGCTGCGTTCAGCCAAAGGGGCAACGGGTCAACATGCACACGGCATACAAACAGGAGCAAAACGTCCTCTACATCATTGCGAAGTAAGTCCATCTGGGCAAAGACCTGCACCAGAGCTGACGGACAAGAGTTTCATGGAGATTCGTGGATGATCAAGTTTATGGTCCTCAACAATTGGTCCGCGTGCCCTCAAAAACACGGATCCCCACGGCCTCCTGGCATCTTTCTGCCAGCAAACTGCCAGCTTCCTGTCGGGGGCATGGCTCTGGCACATGCCAGCAGCAGCAAGACCACTCGACCAGTCGCATGGGCCTGAGGATTCTCAACGTGTTGCACTCGCTTTGCGAGTTGCTCCATGGCCTCATGGATGCCTGGCAGCATTGGCACGACATGTCACGATTTGCATTTCGATAGGCGAAAGAGAGACGACGAACCCTGAGAGCATCTGAGCCCTGAGCCTTGCAAGCTTGTTCCCACCTGCAACGAGAGATCTCTCGATCCTTTGAAGGGCTCTTCCAATCGAAGTGATGAGGCGCGCTGCCCGACTCCGAGTCAGGCAGATCCCGACTCGGGCCTCGGGGCCACGCTCCGCTTTCTCCATGCGCTCGACCTGCGCCAGCCTTGCTCGAAATGCCCCGCGTACGGCGCCACATGCTGGAAAACAGCACACCGAGAGCCTTCCTACCAACTGCAACAACTTCGAGTCCAAGTCCGCAATCTGAGCCGTCCTCATGTTGCCCAGAACCGGGAGATTTCGGCTGTGGAGAATAACAAACAATCAAGTCAAACAAGCCAAGTTTCACTTTGTCCGTCTGAGATTGCAAGTCAATGAACTTGCCACGAGATTCCTGCAAAACATCGCACATGTTTCTCGGCTGACGCTGCCTGTAGTTGCCCCAGCCCTGTCCCCTTCTTCGCGGCCCTCTACCATTTGATAGCGTGGGCTCTAAGCATACCCACGACGTGGAGACATAGCTGAAATGTGCTTCACAGAAGCGCTTGAACTGAAACCCCTGCAAAGTCCGGCTGCTAGAATACGACGCGAGCTCAACTCTGCCACAAGCTCAATCTGCAAGTCCTGCCGAGCCTCCAGCTGCCGCAGCTGGGCCTCCATGGCGTCAAAGCGTCGCCACACTGCGGTGTCCTCCACTGGAAGATCCCAGGAATCAGGAAGAAAGAAACATAAAGAACCTCAAAGATCCAGGGCAGAAGAGCACCCTCGCCTGGGTTCCGACCCGCTCCGTGGCCTCACTGTGGTTTCCTTGTGGCAGCTGGCCCCTGACAGGTGCCACAAAGGCCACAAAAACGACTTCAAGCAACTCAAAGCAACACAAGACTAAAGAGAATCAACATGCCTAATGAGGCTTTGTACCGCATCTGCAAGGCCATCAACCTCAGGTCGCAAACCCGGATGCATTCTGGAAACCCGTCCATGCTGGATACCTCCGTGTATTTGTCTGAAATAGCGCATATGCAAGAGGAACGGACGGAGCTTGTTCGCAGGCCATGTTTTCGGTGTTTGCTGAGTTGTGAAGAAAGCAACAGCACACATCAAGCAAGAAAGTGTACAACGAGGTATCAGCATGTTCAGATGGGTGCATCGCACGTTGCAGTTGTAGATCAACTTGCCATGAAAACACACAACAAACGCGCAACGTCCCCAAGAGACCGCAGGTAGATATGGTACAGACCGTCGAAGAGCTGGGCGGCCAGGCATGGCCCTGCAGCTCGGCCCACCTCCCTGATGCGGCACTGGCGCAGGCCACCTCCAGTTCGAGCAGCAGACAGCAGGGGCGGTTCGGTTACAGTACCATGTGCCTCTTCGACCCGCTTCTCCAGTCTCTCCAGCTTCCGCTCCATCTGCCGTCGCTCCACCTGTGGGACACAAGGGTAAATAAGCAGCAACCCCCTGGCAACTTCGAGCAGATGCCAATTGTACAGCTCTTAGAATGTCAAAGCTGACCTCGATCTGCTGCTCTAAACGTCTCACAACCATTGGAACAGCAGACCGCTCAGTTCGAGCTGCTTCGTCCGGCTCCTGGTGCATTGCAGCATCCTTCTGTGCTACTGGTAGCAAAACCATGTGAACACGGATCTTGTTTTTGGTCCTTCTGGCGAAGCCTATCCACTGGTAGATGTACCTCGCAATGCACAGCACAAGGTATTTGGCTGGCATCAGCCTTTCTGGCACTTCGGGCGTGCCTCAGTGTGGTCCGCAGCTGCCGCACATAAGGCGGCAGCCTAAGTGTCTCACCATAGGCTGGTGCACTATTTCCATGTGCAGAGTGCTGGTGCGTGCCGCGCAGCACTTCAACTCTGAGCCTTGCACCAACGCTGCCCCAGGTCTCCTGAACAAGGGGGGCTCTTTGGACTCTGTAAACTTTGGGTTTACCCCTGGAAACACCCGACCCTCTCCAGAAGCACGATGCAAGACTACGGCCGCATTTAACGCAAGAAACCTGTTTTGGTGGCATGCTGCGGGAAACCGACAAAACAGGAAGGTTGTAGGAAGCGTTGCAGCAAACCTTCTGTAGTGTCCGCTCGTAGCTTTCAACCCTACAGGTTTGCCACAATGGCTCGTTGAACGTCCTATCCTCACAGGAAGCTCTGAACACAAGTGATGCATCAATCCTCCTCTGCATGTCAGGTCAAACGGAGCATTTGCCACATGACAACCCCTCCTTACCCCCTCCTTACTCACCGTCTGGGAACCTCACAGAACTCTGCAAGATTCATTATAAGCCCAGTCCTGGGTGGATCCCCTGCACGGGTCACCATGTTGCGTGCTGGCAACGCAGTTTGGGAAGATTTGGAGCCAGTCCATAAGGAGCGTCCATCGGTACTACGAGATGCTGGCTATGCCAAAAATAACAGCGGGCACAACGGTGTTGCATCAAGCCTGGAGCCTTACTGTGGGGCATCAACGTGCATTTCGCACATGACACTTGAAGCAACGGCGGAATGCTCGCAACCAAGTTCTCGTGACTCCACTCTGTGCGCAAAGTGACAGCAGTTCAAAAGAATCCACCAAACTAGCAGCAACTTGCAATTTCTCAGAGCTTCATTTTGCTGGCCCCCGCTGTACTGTCATTCATGGTGCAATGACGTTTTTTGGCCAGCAGGAGGATTTGATCGATGGCCACCGTTAACAGAGAATAACTGTCCACCCAACTCAGGAACAGTAGCAGCGCCAAGCAGGATCGATATTTCCAAATCTAGAATTCAACTGGTGAGCTTACCAGGAGAAGGACGGAGGTGTATGAGAACAGTGGCGCCTGAACGTGGCATGCGCAGAGGCAGAAACATGACCTTCACTGCAAAATGATACCAACAGCACGGGCATACGGATTCTTTGTTGAGAAGGGGTGCACAACTGGCGCACAGTGTGGCACTGGGCACTCCGTAGGCTCAACAAAGCCATGGTGAAGATCAAAGCAAAAACTTGGGAACTCTGCACTTGTTCGGCACAATCTGCCTGCGAAGTGCGTTCCTTCAATTGCGACTCCCCTGGGTCCCAATCAGGGTGCTGTGCAAGTCATGCTTACGACAGTAATATTTCAACCATGATTGATCCCATGTCCAGTCGCGCGAATACCAGCACGGCATGAAACCAACATGAGTCTGCTTATGTCTGCCTCCCGCAGAAGCAGAGAAGCAGAGCTGTCATGCTCCTATCATCTGGCCTGTCGCATCGGAGCGGTGAACGGTCTCGGACAAAATACCGACGCCGACACAGAAAGTAGCCGCTAAGTAGCCTTTCCAGTGCGATTGCCACTAGTCATGATCAGAAGTCATGTCTAGAGTCCTTTCGTGTTTAGAGGAGTGTGGGCCTCCAAAGGCTGCTCCTATGGCTATGATACAACGTGCACAGGGACTCCTCGGGACACTGCGCTCGCAATTTGCACAGACCGATAGCCCCCTTGTCTTTTCAGTTAGAACCTATAGGACCTATAGGTTCCGTGCAAAAAGAGATCTCGGCAACAGGGTTGCTGACATCTGGGACTATCGGATATTAAAAGTGCGCACCTGCCCCCAAAAACAGCGAAATGCTTGCCAATCCAGCTGTTGAGTCTTGGAAGCAGTCGACTCACGCTACGATCATCCATCCACACTGTGGGCGTTGCCTTTAATGTCCTGGGCACATGAGTCGTGCTTCTCAAGGCCGTCTTCGACAGGCCAGGTATACACGCTGGAGGACAAGGGCAGCAAACACACGTCGTCGTGCCCTTGACATAAAGCATGTTCAAGAGAGCCATGCATATGGTACAGCCATTGTCGTTGTAGACATGGCTATGCGGTCCTCTATCTACAAAGGGACGGCGCTATACCAGGTTTCCGGACCGAGAAACATGGTACTGCGAACCGGCCCAAGCACGAAGCAGATGAATTAATGTCATCAATCATCAAACTGCGCACCTTCTCAGCGATCTGGGACAGTTCGCCTGGTATGCACTAAGAACCTCAAAGTGGAGATATGAGCACAAGGACACATACGACATGCACGACACATGGGCATGGGACCAACCATGTGAACTAGACATCGTAAAAGACATCGGCGCTTATTGGGGGCTTCTTCGGACTTATAAAAGCGGCCCATTGGGAGACCCATGAGACGCACTGCAAGCCCGGCGGCCCGGCGCTTAGCCCACTTGGGCCCGGCCTTGGCGGCTTTCTCGTGCGCCGAGCGGAGTGAGCCTCCTTGCCGAACGGTGTATTGCCATCCGCATCCTCCTCGTCGGGCAGGTAGCTCAGCTCCTCTCACAAAAGACAAGAGAACTTCGCTCTCTTTCCAAAATGCAGTGCTTCAGAGGCCTTCAGGAGCCGCTCTGCGAACCTCGTATCCTTCGACGCGCCCTGCGTTTGCAGAAGCTGGCCGCAATTGACAGAAGGCTGCTGCGCTCGCCCTCGCGCACTCAGCTCACAGCTCTTTATTTCTTTCGTTCGTTCTTTCTTTCTTTCGTTATGTCTGCCTTTCGTTTGATAATTATTTCTTTCTTTCTGTATTATTTCTCTATTTCTTTCTTTCTTGCTTTCTTTCTTTAATTCTTACTTTCTTTCTTTCTCTCTTTCTCTCTTTCTTCTCTTTCGTCTCTTTCTCATTTCATCTCTCTCGCTCCCGTTGTTCTTCTTTCTCTCGTTGTGTCTTTGCTTTTCTTTCGCGGAGCTTACGGAAGTGGCCCCAATGCGCGGTGCGCGCCCCTGTTTAGGGCGGACATGCGAACTCCGGACACGTGGAAGTACCAGGATAAAACACAAAGTAAGTATGCCTGAGAAGGTTTTCCATTTAAAACTGCGACATTCTATCCATCTCACACCCACTTGCTCCACTTCTCCGACGCTGCCTTGTCCCCCAACTCCCAAGCCTTGCACGCGCACACACAGACACACAGACAGTCTTGAGCACGTCATCCCCTCTTTAGCCCTGCCCCCCAACTCCCAAGCCCCATGCACTCACTGCTTGCACCTGCTTCCCTGAAATGGGAGCGATGGCGGAGTGGCTGCCGTTTGCGCTACAAATCTCTACACGCCTGAGAGAAAAAGAAAAACAATAAGAAGAAAAAGAAAGAGAAGAGGAGACAAACGCGATCACAAAACACCAACAGATGCATGGACAGATGGAGACGGTTGTGACCACAGGCCGTGAAGCACCGGGGGCTAAGAACCCGACTTCTGGAGGGGGGGGGAGGGGGGTAGGGGGATGTAGGGGGACCAGGCCGGGTCAGGGGGGGGGGACCATCAGCCATGAACAGGGAAGATGCTTGCGGATCAAATCAAATATAGTCTCGGTTGGGGCAGGACCATAAGCCGTTCAGTACGGGGGGGAAACCACCCCCGTGCTTGCAGACTGCGAAACACCGAGGGCCAGGCACGGACCAAACTGTCGGGACGCGCATTCCGCATTACCAAGGCAGAAAAAACACAGGTCTGTAAGGGGGCTGCTGGGGAATCCTCTCCCTCTCTCCCTCTATCTGTTTCTCGTCGCGGCTGTCGTTTATCCCACATCAACCCCTCCCCCCATAGTCTCAAAACAGCGTCGTCTCCCCACCGGTGTTGGCACCCTCCCTTTGGAGTAGAACTCTCTCTCTCTCCTCCTCGTTCTTGCTTGCTTTCCCTCGCTGTGCCTTCCTGCCTTCCTGCCTTCCTTCCTTCCTTCTTGCCTTCCGTCCGTCCATCCGTCCGTCCTTCCTGCGCACGCTCACTGTCTCTCTCTCTCTCTCTCTCGCTCTCTTTCTCTCTCTCTCTCTCTCGCTCGCTCTCCGTCTGTCTGACTCTGTCTGCCTCTCTCTCTCTCTCTCTCTCTATCGCGCAGACTCCTGCCTTGAGCTCAGAAACTCGGCTGCTGAGGTGTAACAGCTGTCGGCGAACCTCAGTTCGCAGACTTGGCGGCGGCTCATTCGCAGTTCTTGACGTGTATCGTGCCTGGCCTCAGCTTCAACGTCGCCGCCGAGGTTCAGAAGCGCCTTGACTAAGCCACGCGCAGAATGGGTGCGTTCAAAAAAAACATTGCATTCCTTCCATCAGCTACAGCATCTTGAGATTCCTCCTGTTCTCCAAAAGGAGGAACCTGAACCTCACGACAAAGAAAACAGAAGTTTGAGGATCCTCCCACTGACTTTAGGCACTGCCTTGAAGAAAAAGCTCAATCGCCCAAAAGATCTCCAGAACCACAAGGTTTAGACTTTGGGGAAAACGACCCAAGAATCTACGACCATCTACTTGGGCAGCTAACTGATCTACAGAAGTCTTGTGCCTTCGAATGCCCTCGTGACACACGGTGATGAAATAAAACCTCATTGATTTATCTTCATGCATCATCTTCATTCTTTACTTTTCTTCTAAGTTGTTCTTTCATATAGTGCATATGTCGGGTCTGGTGTCCTGAATTCTTGTGGGAAGAAGTTGCTCAATCCAAGCATCAAAGCTGATGCTGAGTGCTGATGAACATGACCGCACCTACTTCTGAGGGCGGCGCAACAAGAACAAAATAAAGTAAATTCATCTTATCATTCATTTCCGTTCCCGGTTTCCTCGCCTTGACTACGAAGCCACCGTACTGTGTCCGCCTGGCTTGTTGCCAACACATGCCAACAGCATCCTGCGCGTCCCCACCACACTGTGCAATCATGCCGGACTTACGCCAAAGTCTCAACTCCAGTGTCCTGATGGCGAGGCTCCTGCTGCAAGGCGGAGGTAGTGATCGACATAACTGACGCGGGCGGCGAAATCCTACAAGGTTCCCTACTTTTGGGTACATTTTTGAATGCCTGAGACCAGTAGGCCCTGCAGATTATGAAGCTGGAGCTGTTGCCGGGGATCGAGGAGCAAAGATGAGCAAAGGCAGCTAAGGTGGCTTCGCCCTCCTCACTCCTCAACCGTCAATCCAAGCCTCCACAAGCTACACAAGCCTGAGTCCACAATCCCCTTCATCATAATGACTGCAGATGGGGCGGTCACACGCAGCATGTGCAGAGACTCTTCGTACATGTCCGGACGTATATGAGCATCTCCTGCTGCAGCAGCTGGAGCGCTATGGCATGCCTGTCACTCGCGGAAGTCCGACCAGGACGGGGCCACACGCAATGGCGAGACTTAGCCGCGAAAAGCTGCCAGGCCTGTCATCCACTGAGCAATACGTCAGTGCCTTCTCAATGACATGGCTGGCATTTCCTGACTGCAACAGGGAACTCGGTACCCGATTCAAGGAGATGCCCAGGAGGCCAAACTGCAAAGAGAATTCAACAGCTAAGGGCCGTGACTGTGCTGCGCTAGGTCCACGATTCGGGGGCCTCAGCTGCCAGAAGCTACTCGGCCCGCTTACACTTCTGTATGCTAAGGTCGCCACGAAGAGCTCCGGCGAGCATCCGCCTAAATCCAGCGACGCATTTCTGGCACAAGTTGCAACTGCAAGTCGACAAGATTTCGCAAAGCACAGGCCACGCCTCTGCTCATCCGTCCCATGTTCAAGGACTGCTTGGGCCTGCGCCGTGCACTGACGTGGACGGTCACGGGCTGGAACAAATTGACAGTTCTTTGAACAGGGTCCGATAGGGTCCACACCACGTATCGTCCAAATTGGTTTTGGACCAGATCTTCGGCATCTCTTATCACCTGCACAGCTGACAGGATACATCAGGGGTACATTCCACTAACGTTCTCCGCTCAATGCTTGCTCGACAAGCCCGACTCAAGGTCGCCCCGTTGGGACAATGTGCCTTCGCAAGCAGCCTCTGCGTAGAGGTGAGGTTCGCTGACTGCTCAAGCAGTCGGCAGAAAATACGGCAACCGAAGACGTTGCGAGCGACCTGGCGTGATTTCCCTTTTCCAGTACTTCGAGAAGTCTCGTGCCATCACATACCTGCCTCTGCAGCTCTTGTCACGAGTTCTTCTGCAATGAAGTTCGTCTTCGAGGACGGCAACACCTCTTTTCCCATACCGTTCATACCCCAACCTTGACACCACAAATTTCCACAAACAAATGCCTCAATGACACGCTGCAGCACGTGATTCCCATGCAGAGACAATGCCACCTGACTCCACAGGTCACTGATATTCGCTTTCGTTCACAAACGCTCCAACCCAAGCCCAGAAAGCCTCTGCAATATGTCCCGTCAACTCTGACGACAGTTCCGTCGCGGTTTGGCGAGTTGCCACCTGCCAACTGATTTTTCCCCAAGAATGCGGCAGTTGTCAAATAGAACCAGGCGGCTGGCGAGATGTGAGGTACGAAGTAGTAGTACGAAGTAGGACACCAAAAAACCACACCAACCAGAACTTAGCATAACCCCTCACAAGCCCAGGATCTGCTCTGAGATGCTACAGGCTGCTGTAACCATACACCCATGAATGCACAACACACTGGTGAACACAAACCCAGCCTTCAAAGCCATCTGCACAGCACGGCTGGAGCTTTCGGACTCGGCCACGGCTTCGAGTTGTCAGCTCCACATGTGCTTCATGCGCTCTGACATAAAGCATACATGCCATACATGCTCTCATACTAAAGGCAAGTCACCTCAGTGGCCAGAGCCACCACATTCCCCTGAATTTGCTGGATGGCATCAAGACGCGCCTGCACAGCTCGCTGCTGCACAGCTCACTGGCCAGAATCAGAACACAACCACGGCAATTCCGGCAATTCCCCGCAAGCAAAATGCCAGACCTTCTCGTCACCCACTTCCAAGTTCGATCTGAGCGTCTGGAACAGTTTCGCGTGATCGGAGGCTGCTTTGGCACCCGGCTCCTGTCTACCGGAAACAGCTGACTGCGCTTGAGTCTGAAAGAAGGCCAGCCCTAATTTTACGGCACTGTTGGCATTGTTGGCACCTTGCGCCGCGTTCGAAGCTTGCCGGCCTTCGGTTCGCTCAAACTTCTCTCCATGTGGAGCACCTACAAATTGCCTAACTTTTCAGCACTGCCATGCCTGAGATGGCTTGGTGTCCATCTCGGGGGAGCCTGGAACATTGCAATCATGGCTTCACTATGCTTCACTCACGAGTTAACTCACGTCAGAGGGTATTCCAGCTCAGGGCCCAGCTTTTCACTGCATGTGCCTGACTCAAGCAACTGCGCACGAAGCGGCACGGCTGCAAAGGACTTCGCAGGCAACTTCAGCAGACTAAGACCATGGCATGCGAGCGGTTAACTGGCTGCGCTGAGAATCCTTGCTGCCTCTGCTGCGGCTGATGCTGTTGCTGATACTGCTGCTGTTTTTGTGTCGTCCCAGCTTGCGGTTCCTGCTTCGACTGCTTCGGCTGCTCCTGCTGTGCGTGTCGAGCTTCGCGCTCAGCATTTGAAACTTTGGCTAGTGCCAAATGTGCAGGTGTATTGAACAGCGTCTTGGGCTGAGAGTCATCCGACACCTGCGTAACTTGGAAATGGAAGGGAGATTGCTGGAAAATTTTCTTGTCCGTCTGGTCGGGGATGTGATTTTGCTGGACTGGTTGCAAGGGGAGCTGTTGCAAGGGCATCTGCTGCATCTGCGATTGCATCTGAGCAGCTTGTTGCATTTGCGCTTGCAGTTGTACTTGTTGCATGTGTGCCTGCTGTTGCATTTGTGATTGATGCATCTGCACCTGTATCTGATTTTGCGGTTGCGCTTGCGCCTGCGCCATCACTTGCAGCATCGCCTGCTGAACTGGTGCCTGTGGTGCCTGTGGTGCCTGTTGCGCCTGTTGCGGCTGAGTCGGCTGCTGAGTCTGTAAATTTGCCGGCTGGGCTTGCCCGGCTTGCGTCTGCATTTGTTGCACTTGCAAGTTCTGGCAAGTTTGCATGGCTTGGTTTGGCCACCATGCCGTGGCATCCACCATGCCACTCATGTTCGTGCTTGCACTTGTGGCAACAATTGCATTTGTAGCAAAATTTGCGGTTGGAGCAGCACCATCACATGACGGCGCCCACGTCACCATGGGACCTGTCTGTGTCGCAATGACTCACACTGGCAGACCATCATGTGTGTATCCGACCTGTCATGCCAGTCTGCACATACACCATTGGGTATTGCATCACGTTCGGGACGTTCGGCGCGAAGCACACCTCCAGCGCATTACAATGCCTCACGCTCTTTATCTGTGACTAGTAATGCTGATGCGCAGTAAGATACCGACAGTGTCCCCCGAAGGTGCCATCAACGTCATGCACACGCGTTGGGACTTTTGTTCCTCAGCTGGCCAGGGCCGCAACATTTTTGCACAGTTCCCGCTGCACTTCTCCAGCTTGGCAGCCTTCCAAGTGTCGCCACAGGACGCTCCAGCTTGACTAAGTTCACGAACTAACCTAAAACGGCCTACAACAAGCTGCGGGCCGGCGCAACAAGCGCACGCACAAGCAAGGGTGAAAATGGCTCAAAAAAACAACTGCCTGCACAATGTAGCATTTGCACAATCTGCACAAACTGAAAGCAAGTTGAAAGCACAAATTTCTGCACATGTGGGCCTTGCCACAATACTACAATTTACGCGCAATCACGCGGTCCCGCGGCCCTGCGGCCTGTGCAGCCCGCGGCCCGTGCGGCCCGTGCGGCCCGCGGGCAGTCGGGCAAATGAAAAAGGTGTTCGGCCTTCAAAATGTTGTGCCAAACTGACCGATATAGACTGCCTGTTGTTTTGATCGTCGGTTACAACAGGAGGGTAGCGGAGCGGTTCTGAACGATGCAAACGCCCTATTGCCCGTTTTCGACCCTGATTCATCTCATCTCACTCAGCCCACTCCACACAGTTACTCGCACTATCACTCATCACGTGCTTGAGAATGCAAAAATTCGTCCACTCATTGACTCACTCGCCCAAACATTATCCCCAGGGTTCTTGACTGCAATGGTCTGACAAATTGTGTAGCAAGGGGCAAGCGGGATGCCTGGGCCAGCCCGGAAACAATTTCACACAAAATTTCACCCTTCATGCAAAGGGCTTCAACAACACCCTTGCGTCTGTGATCAAAGAGCACGTCGTGCTGATTTCATTTCAACGAGCAGCGATTGCGTGGATAAATGTGATCTGAGGCTTTGCCTCATTGAGCTGTGGGGACTTGAGGAATTTTCTCAACTGTCGAAGCGGATCTGCAGATGTTCGGTTGGGAGCATCACCTGTTGAGAGAGGGCCGCAAATTGCATTGCACTCACGAGCTTCAATGACAGGGACGAATCTTCACCAGAGATCGCAGGAAGCCTTTTACATTGGACATGCACGTTTCAATTCGGAACCAAACTGCCCCGAGGCCTGCCCTTTCAGTGGGCAGGTCTTCCACTAGCTCCGCTGCACGAACTGCAGGCCACCCAAAGCTGAAGTTGCGAAGCGTGATGACGGCTACGGTCCGAACCGCCAAGCTTTCAGCAAAGTGAACGCAACTACCTCGTGCCTCAGCACCACATCTGACCTTCGCTGTAGAGCCGGGCATTTCGAAGGCTAAACTTCAATGTGAAGTTGTGTGGGCGAGCGGCGATTGCTCGGCACCAGCGAGGACAAGGCGCATCTGCGACGCTTTAGCTTTGGAAAATCGGGAAAGCGCCAGTGCCGACAGAACTGCATTTGGCCAGCGCCCATCTGACGAGCGAAGGCCTAGGCGTCCATGTTTTGCAAACGGGGGGGGCTAACCGCACAAGGTTTTCAAGGTTCTTGTTGTCTTTTTGTAAGTGGGTGGGGGTGGGGGGGGTGGCGGGGGGGGTTTGGTTGCCACCATGCTACTCTAACCATGCTCAAAACACTGGTATTTGCAGCGTTTGTGCCTTTGTATATCATATACTGCGAAAAGATGTTTGACGTTGCTGGAACAAGACGCGCTGTCACAAGCCTTTTGTGAACATGCCCACAACACTGGAACAACCAGCGGTGTGGCGTTTACGAAAAACAGAAGAATGCTCGATGCCTCTGCAACGAGACGCGCTGTCACAAGTGTTCATGACTGTTGCGAACATGCCAAAAACTCTGTTGTTCATATCATTTTTGCCTCTTGACCATCCGCTTCATTCAAACCGTCAGTTTGAGAAAAGGAGCTAGACTTCGGCCACAGTAGTGCTCATCTGCTGTTCCTCAAAACCGGACTCTCTTGATATTGTTTTGCTCCGGTGTACCTGATGCACTCTTGGGTGCAAAATTTTGATACTATGAATCGAGTGAGTTTGAAGTCGCAAGCTAAATGTGTTAGATGTTTTTTTGCTGCTTGTCACACCCATCCACATATACACATCCCACGTGTGCGTCGAAGTACTGAGCTTGGACGAAAGTTCGAGATCTTTAGGGTCATCTCATCTGTCGGCAGAACGACCCAAAGAAAAGAAACAATCTGCTTTATTCATCTCGACTTCACCCAGCACGACTCAAGCAATCGCTCAACACACATGCTCGGATGGCACTTGAATAGCAAGCTCGCTCTCCGATGTGACTGTGTGTGAACGCTTGCAAAACGTCAACTCGTCTCCAGTGTAGTAGTAGGCGTAGTCGTGGTAGCAGTGGTAGCAATTGCAAAACAAGAAGCGCTCGCAGTGACAGTAGCAGTAGCAGTAAGAGTAGGAGGACGGAGTGAAAATGTAGTAGTAGTAGTAGTAGTAGTAGTAGTAGTAGTAGTAGTAGTAGTAGTAGTAGCCAGCGGCGCCTTACCCGTACACACTTAGGGTTTAGGGTTTAGGGTTTAGGGTTTAGGGTTTAGGGTTTAGGGTTTAGGGTTTAGGGTTTAGGGTTTAGGGTTTAGGGTTTAGGGTTTAGGGTTTAGGGTCCTTAAACGGAGACATGACTCTTTAACCACAAAATAGAGCTGCCGCCTAGGCGAAGCACATGCTTCACAGACGAAAAGGGTTCAGTTTACGTGCCGCCGGGTAGTAGTAGTAGTAGTAGTAGCAGTAGCAGTAGCAGTAGCAGCAGCAGCAGCAGTAGCAGTAGCAGTAGCAGTAGCAGTAGCAGTAGCAGTAGTAGTAGTAGTAGTAGTAGTAGTAGTAGTAGTAGTCGTAGTGTAATAGTAGTAGTAGTAGTAGCAGTAGTAGTAGTAGTAGTAGTACTAGTACTAGTAGTAGTAGTAGTAGTAGTAGTAGTAGTAGTAGTAGTAGTAGCAGCAGTAGTAGTAATAGTAGTGTTAGCAGCAGTAGCAGAGTAGCAGTAGTAGTAATAGTAGTAGTAGTAGTAGTAGAAGTAGTAGTAGTAGTAGGTAGTAGGTAGTAGGTAGTAGTAGTAGCAGTAGGTAGTAGGTAGTAGGTAGTAGGTAGTAGGTAGTAGGTAATGGGTAGTAGGTAGTAGGTAGAAGGTAGTAGGTAGTAGGTAATAGGTAGTAGGTAGTAGGTAGTAGGTAGAGGTAGGAGGTAATAGGTAGTAGGTAGTAGGTAGTAGGTAGTAGGCAGTAGGCAGTAGGTAATAGGTAATAAGTAACAGGTAATAGGTAGTACGTAGTAGGTAACTGGTAATAGGTAGTAGGTAGTAGGTAGTAGGTAGAGGTAGTGGGTAGTAGGAATAGTTAGTAGGTAGTAAGTAGTAAGGGGTAAGAGGCAAAGAAAGGCAGAAGGTAGTAGTAGTAGAGTAGTAATAATCGTAGTCGTAATAGTAGTAGTAGTAGCAGTAGTAGTAGTAGTCGTCGTAGTAGTAGTAGTCGTCGTAGTAGTAGTAGTGTAGTAGTAGTAGTAATAGTAATACTAGCAGTAGTAGTAAAAATAATATTCGTAGTAGTAATAGTAGTAGTAGTAGTAGTACTACTACTACTACTACTACTACTACTACTACTAGTAGTAGTAGTAGTAGTAGTAGTAATAGTAGTACTAGTAGTAGCACTAGTCGTAATCGCACTAGCAGCAGCAGCAGTAGCAGTAGCAGCAGCAGTCGCAGTAACGATAGCAGTAGCAGTAAGGCCGGAGAAGCCCAAAAACTAAGCGTGAGTAGCCACAGGATGCTTGTGGGTGCACGTGAATTGCACAAGCAACAGCTCGAGCATTTTCTGGACAAAAAACTGCTTGAGCGGACATGATGTGCGAAGGTCAGAAAGTGCCAGGCGCAACAGGAAGCGCGTGGCGTGGCGGCTACTGCCACTACGACGACGACTACGACTACGACTATAGTAGTAGTAGCCGTAGCAGCAGCAGCAGCAGCAGCATCAGCAGCAGCAGCAGCAGTAGTCGTGGTCGTAGTAATAATAGCAGTAGCAGTCGTAGTAGTAGCAGTCGTCGTAGTAGTAGTAGTAGTAGTAGTAGCACAGTAGTAGTAGTAGTAATGGTAGCAGCAGCAGTAGTAGTAGTAGTAGTAGTAGTAGTAGTAGTAGCAGAGCAGCAACAGTAGTCGCAGAAGTAAGTAGTAGTAGTAGTAGTAGTAGTAGTAGTAGTAGTAGTAGTAGTAGTAGTAGTAGTAGTAGTAGTAGTAGTAGCAGAGCAGCAACAGTAGTCGCAGAAGTAGCAATAGTCGTAGTAGTAATAATAGTGGTTGCACAACTATGACTACTAGTACTGCTATCACTGTTGCTATTGCTTGTACTGTTACTGTTACTGCTATTTCTGCCTTTCTAATGACTTGCAAAACATGAGGTTCTCGGCTTAGCCCCTCGCCACGTCACTGCTATGCAAATGGGGGGGGGCTCCCCGTTTTAAGGGCTTAAATCCTCCCCTTCAAGCCCCTCTTTTGAAGCCCTCTTAAAGCCCCCCTAAAGTTCCCACCAGCCGCAACCAAGGTCTAGGCAGCAGTTGAAAGGTCGAATTCTTCTGGGCCTCAGTTGAAAGAGAGTCTGGACAGCAGTGCCTTCATCCTCATCTTGGAAGCACAGAGCTGATTGTCACAGGTATTCGTCCTGGGTTGGTCACCTTCCACCGCTTCCACCAAGTTTAAGAGAACGCTCGACGTCCGAT